TCCACGAGCGATTCGTGGGAGCCTCGCTCCATTCTTCTCGCCGACGTTCCAGACGTAGTACGACGCCGAGGCAAACGTGGTGGTTCTCGCGGTCGAGGACTTGCAGACCGCGAGCGTGGACGTGAATCACGTGTCTATCGAGTACGTGCACGACCGAGCAGACGTACATGCTCATAACTCGAGAGAGCACGTTCATAGCGCCCTCTCCACGGGCGCTCTTCTTCCGTCATTAGATATTGCGCAAGAATTTATTCCCACTCGTCGCGGGTTGGAGTTTGCTCACCGCGACAAAATCGACATCTTTCGCGCCTTCGCACGTAGCAATACGGTCGTCCAGCGTTTTAAGACATTGTACACACCTTCTCACGCAAGTCGGACAGCCCATACTTCCGTCGCTGTTCCTCCCGATATGGTAATAATGCGCCGAAATGTGGTTCCGAGTTCCAGCGTCGCACAAACTCAGTCCATGACTCAAGCGAGTTTTTGGTCACGGCTAGGGTAGCCGTGACGGGTTTCTTACGCGTTGCTCTCCACCTTCGCCACATATCGGCCATGAACTCGTCTCCACGTGATTGCTAGATACCACTGCAGTCATACAAGGTCCAGACTCGCAAAGTATCTACTTGAATTCTCGGTGGATTGAAGGTTGTCGAAGACACCGCCGGGTCTTCTTGCGGTGCCGAAGCTGGTTGGCGACTCGGTAAAGCAGCGCAATTTACGCTGTGTGCGTTTGCTGTGCTTTGGACCCTTCCACTCATGGTATTTGTCAGGTTAAGTGGGGGTGGTGTAACGTGGTCGTATCGTTACACGCCATATCAAGTACGATATGGCAATAATAACGGTCCCATCATTATGCATAGTTAAAGAATATTGAGAATATTACATAAAGTAGAAAACGTAAAAGATACGAATAGCGTATCTTTTAGTGCCATTATTTGATTGGTTGAAAGTAAGGTTTAGCCCCATTTCACCCAATTATTATTTAGCACGTATTTGGGTGGTTCACGGAAGGTTTGGAATTTTGTATCTAACCTTAATAATGATAAACAGAGTTTAATTTGGTCTAAGCACGCAAGTAAATTGCGTGCTTCTTACGCTTCCTCGTAAGACCGTTATTGTAGGCTACGTAACGGAGCTCTCGCCCCGTTACACTTACAGTGTCTACAAAGTCGGATATCCCGAAATCCAGCATATTGACCGACTCGGTCCAATATCCACGCCAAAAGCGCTTTTCCTTCCTAGCAGAGGTGGGTCCATGACTCTCCAGAGTCCCACCAGGAGCGTTGCGCGTTGCGCCTAAGGTCTTCGACCTTCCAATCAATCCATGGATCATGACGTTCTAGCCATGCCATGACTGAGATGAGGTCATACCTCGCATTGAAGTCGAAGACCCAACAGCGTTCCATGCTATTAAAGTCCAAGAACTTTACGTTTAAGTCTATCGGGACTTTGGGGACCGTAACACGCGAACCCGTCGCTAAACGAACTGTGACTGTGTCACTCTCACGCGTTACAAGCGCTTCAGCACACTGCTGACTACCTTCCACGGTGGGAAGGCGCACATAATTGAATAGTGCTCCTGGATCGAACAAAATGATCCATGGCTTATCAAAGCCCTTAATTGTCCCTTCGACGACTAGCAAGCCTGGCTTGCATTTTTGTTCCGTTTTTGAGAGTTCGGATCTTTTTGAGGCTAGGCCCTGTTTATTTCTACCTCCTAGGGACTCAACAAAACTCAGTTCTTTACCATTAGGGCGCCCCGCGTCTACAGGCTTCCCCGCGGCAAACCAGAGGGTGTACCCATGGGTTGTTGGCCCTTCGAGTCCAATATGTCTTTCTTACAGAATATTTTGCCATCAAATGGCCTGTGTTCTTGCAGATATACATCTGCGCACAGTTTTCTGCGCCGCAGCTTGAAGCTTAGCTTCTTCATTCTCCGCTTGACTACAGTCCATGGAAACAGACCATCAGACGAGTTTATAAGCAGCAGGCCTAGCGGCCTTTAGGTTGATCTCGGCATTCCATGCCACACCAACAACTTCATCGAATGAGGACGGGTTTACCCGGAAGACTTCCGTTCTGGCAACGCCAACTCGGAGGCCCTCCATGAAGACCGTGGCGGTCACTGCCTCAGGCATAGGGTATATGACCATGACAGCAATAAGAGTTCTCAACTCTTGCACATATGCCGCAAGCTCACGCTTGCCTTGGCGACACGCCAAAAACCGCGACCGAGTTCGGTGTGCTTGGTTTGGCGGTGCATGCTACCGGGTCATCTGAACTTTCAGATCTGCTCATGTGAAAAATGCATCTTGCAGTGATGCACCACATGTGAATGACCACTGTTTGGCTAAACCACCTAACTTGCTCGTGGCAAAGCCCACACGGTACGGCTCATAGGTGATGTCGGATATAAACATAGCCGACTCAACCTTTCGGAACCACAGCATAAGGTTGTCGCCTTCTCTACCGTCGAGCTTATCGACTTCCATTTGTATGTGTTTTGGTCTGCGGACCACTTCTTGTGCCATAGTCGCCATCAGCGAAGGCGCAGAATAAGGCATCTGTGCCTTTACATGCTCAACTAGAGCTTTGTTATATTCATCAAGCATATGAATACGCTTGTTAACCTCTTCTTCGCCCTGGGCGATGAGGTACTTCACGCCTTACGGCCAAGGATAGGAAAAAGCTTTTGCAACCTTCTTGTTGTGCCTGTGACATGCCAATCGCTGACATGCCATCGATGTCCATTCTCACACAGAGAAGTAGTCGCAAACCCAGGTGAGGGATTAACTACAAGTGCTACCAGGTATAGCCGAGCTACTGTAGCCAAGCTACTTATGCACTATGTGCAGAGGAAGATAAGCTCCGAGAGCTTCTACGTCTTAGGGTGCTTAACCATCCTAAGCTAGCTCACAAGCTTGTGTCTTTTATTTGTGAACAACTATGTCCCTCAGAGACAGTATGAAAAATACAGTTTCCTTTTTTTCAAGGAAGAGAACTCTCAAGCAGTGATGCTTATAGAGCAGGTTTAAAACTGATTTACACTTATGTTTATCTTCTAACACTAAATACAGAAGCACCTACTCTATACTTAGTGCTTGTCACTATTTACTGGCTCTATAGCCTGTTTTTTATGCAAATATGTATAGTCACTATACTTTAAATAAGTATAGTGACCACGTGGCTCTCTGCCACGATGCAACCCTTCGTACTTCAGGTACGGTCACATCGAGCCTACTCTTGTACCCAAGATACAGCCACACTACATTGGTGTGGCAGGTGTTTATGTAAGATACACACCTTCGTGTAACCCCTCATCTTCCACGGCATATCCCTGCAAGTATTTATGCCACTATATGAACTGTAGCATTGCTTCTAGTCAATCATGAAACATTCTTAAATGTGAGCCATGCGTTGACTGCATAGAAAATTTTCAAGTTTCAATTCAGCAATTGAAACTCAAGTGAGAAAACGTCTCGAAACTTTTATTACTTGAATAGCTAAAGAATGTATAGAAAGCTTAGAGAGATTACGTACAGGGACAACAAAGTCCATCGACGCTGTGTGGAGACCAACATGCTCATGATAAAGATGATTACCAAAATAACACGAACGATAGCGCGTTGTGTTTGTTCACATCAATCCATGTGTGCTACGTCATAGGTTCAAAGAGGTATACGAGACATAAACTAATATTTAATTGAGCTTCTTATCAACGTGCAAACAGCGCTAGTATACATGTTATGTTTTGCCAGACCCTTAGATAAAAGTTTTTTTTCATTCCTGCTTCAAGCAGAACAGAAGCTGGAGTTAAATGACAGCACTAAGACGTGCAAGTGGAAGACCTATTTACAGCAAAATTTTGTTCAAACGGCACAAACGCTGTTCACTACCGACCTCTAAATAGCATCAAAGATAAGAATAAACTAGATGGAAAAGGCAATCGGTCATATTTTCGTGATGATCTCACTGAAGATATTATCAAAGACGGAATCCGTCGCCGACGAAAGAGTTCTAATCTCTTGATATCCTAGGCTGACTTTGCTTCAAGCCGATATGACTTTGGTCTACTCGAATCTTACCTCAAAGCTGGCCAGTTGCTCGGAGCGAACACTAATCGTTGCGCGTGATTGCCTCATTCTCTGCAGTCAATGTAAGCGCAATAACAGCAAATCACCGTTTGTGCTAGGCTTTGGCCTGATAGCAGTATGCCCGAGTACCTCGCGGATCTAAAAACTTGTAAATACTTCACGTATGAATCGACGACAGTGTTATGACGAACAAGCAAGCACGTTTTCTACTAATTCTAGGACATGACAAAATAATTCACGCTCGATAACTAAAACACTCGTTCTAACATTGCTTTGGGGTGAAGCAAACACATACAGATAACTCAAAAAACTATCTCTGCCTGCTGCCTCAGAGGTGGATGCAGATGAATGGTCAAGTGGTCAAGTGGAAGGTGCTATACTGCTTGCATCGTTTGTATCATTGCATGCATGCTAGATTCTTTATTTTTTGCTGCATGATGTCAGGCTGTTACTAGTGGCAACGGACGGGATTAATCAAAGAATGTATGGGACATGCCTGAACATCTGATTGATATGTAAATAACGGAAAGGTTTTCCTATCTTTTACCAACCAGAGCATGTTACTGAAAGCATAAGAGTCATCGCGTGCTTGAGCAGTTGTCATAGAAAAGTGGCATTATATTATGCAAGTGACCTCCTAGTGATGACAATGTAATGCAAATGAAAGGCAAAGATAAGCAACTAAACTGCATTTGGATTTAAAAGCGCCTCAAAGTGCAGCACGACGGAGGGGACATAAGACCATCGACGCCTTTACAATTATACATGCCAAGCAGAATATCTTCAGGGTAACGTTTTCGCTTTCTTGGAGGCTGGCGGAGAAAGCGCGCTGTCCATAGCTTCCTGACCCTTCTCACCATCGACAGGCTTGATATTTTCCATCAGCAATTTCTTCTGGTATTCACTTCAACGCTTTAGACGATGGACAGCAGGACAAAGCTTTGCGTCTGCATGCAAATGATCAAGCATCTCAATCTCCTTAAATCCATATTTTTGGAGCAATACTAATATAGGCGATACTGGTGGGTTGCAACTGTCCACGTAATTTAGCCATCCCACCATTTTAAGGCTGTCAAAAAGTACGACTCCATCCTTATCAAGATCGAAAAGGTTGTAAACTTCGACTTGAGAAGAAATCGTGCCATCCCTTTTTCCAATCACCTCGTGTAGCAGTTGATATTTGACAGTTCCTTTTGGTAGCGAATTCATGCGATTGTGGTAAATCATATTGATCATTTGTTTGTCGTCGTACGGGAACAAATCGCGAACGCGTGCTTTGATATTGGGGTGCTTCTGCGTGAAAGGCATTATCAAATATACCCAGTAGCTTAGTCGTTTAGAATTAGTAACATATTCAATAATGGCATGTCCAGTTTCATCTCGTGAAAGACTTCGTCATCAATTTCAACCAATGCCCTTGTTCCACTGTTAGAAGTACTCTCAGGCAATTGGTTCACATACTGAACCAGCGCTTCATCATTATAGAGCTTCATGATGGTTTCAGCGGGATTGATTACATCAACAGGGTGCTGTTCGTTGTAGAGTTTGATGTACTTGATCCATTGTGAAGGCCACTCGTTTGACGTTTTGCTCCCAAACAGATTTATCCATTTGTCGCGCACATATTTCATCACTCTTGCTGTGGAGTGATTTATTTCTAGCCACCACTCCAGCTGCGTAGCTAATTTTACAACATTAGCAGTAACAGCCTCCTCGTCTGGGGTAGTGACCACCTGCTCTGCGGCAGTGGCCCCCATCTCTGCACCATAAACTTGCTTCCTAACAGCTCCAACTTTGTTTCCAGCCGCAATCATTTGAAGCAGCTCCGTGTACTTGCACTTGGCTGCGAACTTTTCCAAGAGAATGGCTTGGCTGCCAGAGGGCGATGACGCGATCAAATTACTGAAGCTATTCAAAATTTTTGGGTAGGGTCCTCTAGAAATTTTTTTTGGCGGCATCGACGATATGCTCCAGTAGATCATTACTTACTGGTGTCTTATCTGCGATGAGGTAAGCGCTCCCAACAAAAGTTTTGACCGACTCCACTGCCGACTCTAGCACGTTCCCACCCCTTTCTTCTTTGCTGGCCGACGGCAACACATCAGAAGGAGCCCCGTTATCTTCACTGTCTCGTATCTGCCGTTTTGAGGGCCTCTCGGTGGAGGATGTAGCTCGATCAACGGGGAGCGAGCGAGCGGATCTGACGACGTCTAATGGTTCTGCACAAGAGCCATCACGCAATAGGCTGACAGTAAGAGCCCCACAGATGAGGACGGACGGAAGACGCATTATTATTTCAGTAGATGCGGTTGAGAGTGTGCAGTGAGGACAAACTGTTCGAATGAAAAGTGAGGATTCATATCTCGAACTGTTGGAGACGCTGGAGACACGGTTCATTAAATCAAGCTAGTTGCTGGATGTGCTAAGACGTGTACAGCAAATACATTACAAGGGAAGAATCAGCGTACTTTGAACCAGTAGTGAGCAAAGCAAAGCCAACTAACCGATCCGAATCTTTTCCTCAAAAGAATCTGATGATTTAATTTCACGTGTTGATTGGATTCTAAGATTCGACAAAGACTCAAACGAACAACGACAAGATTGAACCAACAAGGATAAAGTCATATTTGCAGAACACACGTTACATTGTCGCAAGGGACAATAGAATATATACTATCTAGACGTGTCATTTTAATGACGATAAGAATTCAAAGTGGTCTTGATACTCTAACATTCGGAAATAAAAAGACATAGATGCCACACTCTGTCACTTGCGAACTGAATCCTTGTGATCCCGTTCATATGCCTTTTTTGTTTGAAGCTGTCCCGCCGTTGAACATCGTCATTGCGATAAAAAAAGGTGCAAGTGTACGACGTGCAGCATACCTTTCTAGCCATATTTCTGGTCGGCTTTTTTGTTGGTTGTTGTAGCTTCCACGCTGATTAATGTGAAGCAGCAGTCATTCTCTTTGACATACGTGGTTGGAAAAACAAAAGAAGAGACGGTCCTGATCTGACAGGGGAGCAAAAGTTTATCTCGTTTGACAAAATGATTTGCAATGGTTTTATCATCACATCAACAACCACTATAACCACTAGAAAGCGTAGATCCGGACTTGAATACTCTCAGACAACCTGACGAACTTTCTTCGAGTGAGGATGCTGTCATCGATAGAGAATGTAGAAGGTAAGCAAACGTATTGGCAAGTGTTTGTGGAGGAGGAGTGTACTGTTGACTCCGATCACCATAGTCAGCTCTTCTTTTATGTGTTGGTATGGTGACTGAACGCAATGATACTGCTCGCCTTATGCCCTTCTCGGACCAGAAAAAATGTCCGACGGATTCTCAATTGCCGTCATTTTCTCACTGTATCCTCGAGAAGGTACTAGAAACTCGCTAGACAAGTCATGGCGCAGCATCAAACACCGAACATGTCGCTGTCCAGGAGTATCCATTACGTCTACCACTCTACCAGGTGTGACTCAAGAAGTAACATGCTATTACGTCTGCCACTCTACCAGATGTGACTCAAGAAGTTACGTTTCCGCAAACATGTGCAAGTCACATCAGTACTGCCGGCTCGAGAGAATTAAGGAAGATTTTGCAGTGCCTTCAGATCGTACTAGTGTCTTGTTTACCGACGGAGATGGCGAATGTATGCAAAAGGTTTGGTGTAATGCAACCAGGAGAGTGTGATTGTTGACGGTGTCGTAGTTATTGTGTTGCTGCTCGCGCTAACGAGTAACACAATGGCATTACTTCAGTTCTTGCTCACTGCAGTTGTCAATGCTGCTTAGACGCATCCTCGAATGCGAGCCCTGAATATTAAGATCAACTGCTTACAAAGGACTTGATTACACTCCATGTCTCTAGTGTGGTCGCAGTCTTGACGAGATTCTGCTCTGACAAGGTCAGTAACTCTCACTTAACACAATTGTGAATTTGTCGACGGCTCTGTGTCGAGAACCTGCCATGCCCTAGTTTTAGTCGGCGTGAAACCACCTGTTTCCTGCTAATCCACACCTGCATGCACGTTGTCGAAAGAAAAGGCTGTCATCGCATGATGCTAGTCCCTGCTTGACGTATCTTTCGGGCGAAACGAGCCCTGTCATCTTCTACTTGAACTCGTCGAATGACTAACGCAAAGACTTGTGGCCACATCTCCCCCATCCAAGCGTTGCACGAAGATGCACACGTTATTAACGATGTGATATTTCAAGCGTCTAGCGAACTCTATTGCGTCAGAAAATGCAACAGCGCGAAATCTTCAGCCAGATCAAAAAACTTGTGTTTGTACTTGAGCGGAGCTAGACCGCGTCAGTTAACGCCAGGCTATTGACTACGAGAGCGAGAGCACACATATGTTAGCAGGAATGATAATTGTGCGTGTTTTGGATTGAATAGTCTGGAGCAAGTTGGGTTGCTAAAGTGTACCTCAGGTTATTACTATTGTGCTGTTTTGGTGATGTTCGTGGTCAAGAAGATGTAGTAAATGTCAAATGCGTCTTGATTGGTTGCATGCAATTGCACTTATGTGTTTACAATTAGTTTACCTGTATCATACGCTGTAACCTTCTCGATTATCTGTCGCCCGCGTTCAATAAATGGTGATGTACAAGTAAATACCAAAAGGTCATTTGCTTCTTTACATGTGGTGCTTCATCAGGTTGCTGTGCTCTGATAACCATACCAACCGAATGAGTTTCTTCTTGTCATACTGACACATTTGCTCACTCGTCCAGCCGAACGAAAATGTCCGTTAGGTTTTCGTCGCTGTAAATACTACCCAAACTTTCGCAAACCAACACGACCGCCGTGAATAAGTCGTTCGCCACATGAGACTCAATCTTATGCGTCGTGGAATCAGCATATGCTTTTACCGATGACAGAAAAAACGTATCAGACGGTCTTGTACACGTGCAAACAAGCAATAGAGATCACATTGTGTGAAATCGAATGTGTGCTTTCTAGCCGCCGCAATTTCGTCAAACTTCCTGTTTTATTCGATGACATCACCGATTGATGAGTTTGATTTGCCACCAACAACCGACAGCGTCGTATATGTGTCAGACGAAGCTGTGAGCGATTGCTGCTTCTTATACGGGTAGTTGATCACTTCAGCAGCTTTGATATCGGACGTGACAGAGTGAGCAACGCGTACATCCTGAGAAAAGACGCATTCGTCTGCGCGTTGAGATTCTAGTCGGCTGTGATGGTGGGAACTGCAATTGCCATTGTGTTTTTCAAGTTTGCATCGATCTCCTGCGTTGCACGACTTGCCAAGTCCCAAAAGTGCGTCGTCAGCAAGTCAACACCTTCTAAAGTGAGCCAGTTAAGAGCGACCGTCTCAACAATCTGCTGGTGATAGCATCCTCACTCGAAGCAAGTTGGTGCGCTGGTGCAGTCTTTTGTCGAGACGACTTCATGTCGTTGGTGTAGCGGCAGTGGCAAGATAATCTAACGTAGATCATAAATACGAGTCCATACGCCGTTGCACACTAATTCTGACGCTAAGAAAAGTGGCTTTACTATCGCCATTTTGAGCAGCTCAGTTCGATACGTTTCGGACAGCATCGCATCAAGTTATAGTTTAACTAATAAATCCTTACAGTCCGAATGTCAGCGTGTCCTATGGCAGTTGTTGTACGATCCGTTAATTATTTATCAAGCCAAATAACATCATTACAACCACTTATTACTACTACTACCTACACTTCCTAACGCTGACAATCCCCAACTGTGCAGTGACATGGCTTGGTCCTGTCAAATGTGTCACAGCGGCCCACATAATGATACTTCTGATAAATAAGGATCGCTCTTGCGCAATCCTGTATTTTTTCCTCTGTCACTACTCATTCGGGTCCTCGCCTGAATTCCCCTGCAGAGACATCCTCAACGCAAGCGTCTTATCTCGCCGTAGCTGTGCATAATGCTGCATCGCCGCGTACTGATCCTCTCCCGACGCCAATTCGAGCGCCAACATCAAATCCGAGTCAAATTCTGTCGCAAGTCGAATCCCACCACGCAAGATGGACGGGAACCCAAGCGGCAACGCAGTTGGAAACAAGTCTGTATGAACAAACTTGCGCAGCGGCGTTTGCTTTACGGCGATGGCGGCCGTATACACCTCCGCTGATCGCTTAATTTCCTCGTCCGTATAATTCGATCTGTCACGCTTGTCCAGGTATTCGTAGATCCGTGCCACTAAGTCGGTTGCGTACGAGCCTAAATCTTCCACTTCATTCGACGTAAGCTGCCACAGCTCATCGCCTTCCGAGCAATTGAATTTAGTTCGACAAATCGGACAAGTTTGGCTCTGTGTACTCCAGTGCTGGAAACAATTCAGACAGAAACTGTGACCACACGGTAGCGCGACCTGTTTCTGCTTGTCCATGCAAATCTGGCATTCCGTCTCATCGAAGTCCGTGTTCCCAGTGCTTTCAAGCCCAAACATGCAAACGTTAGTTTAGACACTCCTCCATCCTAACTGCAACTTCTTCATTACAGTTTACCTTGTGGTCTTCTGCGGAAAACGTACAGTGTGTGCGGCACACGCCTTAATGTCAGACAAGAAGCAATAAATGTAGTAGAACTGAGCAACTGTCAAGGTCTTTGCGTGACCAATGGTCTCAAAGATCCTAGTGTCGTACAAGTACGCCGGATCACGCGGGACATCCACGCAAAAGTCATCCAGACGAAGCTGCAGCTCCACGGGTCGTCGCATTTTGCGCACTTCAACGGCCACATTCCCACGGATCCTCCACATATATGGCAACAGCTCAGCTGATGTGTTCGAGTTAATCACGATGCGAAACGACAGATAACAGTTCTTGGGCGTTGCGCAGATCTGAGCCCTGCAGATGAAGACCAAGAAAAGCAAAAATCAGATCAGTACTGCAACAACAACAACATGCTTCGTTTTCTCCCACACTACTTCAATATGAACATGTTACAGTACCACTCATTCGCGTTTTTCAAATGCGTGCCAAAATCCATGAACGTGCCCATGGATTGACGAATACGTTTCTTCATTTTATCTTCTTGTAACGATAATGTCTGTCCCATAACGGTTTCGTTACTGCAATCGTCTTCGCACCACTGTATTCAAGACCTATTTCTGCTATTTGCTGCAAATTGATCAATGCCAAGTCTCTGTGGTATGAAGAAAATGCCCAAATGGCCAAGAAAAAGCTGCAGAAAGACCGTTTTTTGACGGCAAAATACGAAGAAAAAGGACATTGTCGTCTCTACGCACAGCCATCTGATAATGTACAGTACACAAGCTGCGGACCTCTTGACCAGATCTTTTGAGGCAAAGCTTGCTGGTAATAAATACGTTTTGCTTCGACGAAGAGCAGTCGATCTGGGTATTTTTAGTGTCAGGTATATGGGGGAAGAAACAGTGCGTACACACGTCTATGCAAATCAACTTTTTTGTCGTAGTGCCAATCATATCAGCAATATTGACCAATGAGCGCGTTGATCAGCTGGTGACACAGGGCAACACGCTTGTCACTGTCCTGTTGCTTTGACAAATCGCTCGGTCAACAATAGAGTTGACTACTGATTGGAAGGAGGCACAACCTCTCATGATCTCACGATGTGAAGCTACATCACACGACGCTCTCGTCTGGAAAAAGACAGTTGAACCACGTAGAGCTGCGCCTCCTACGTGCACCATGTCTTTTTACTACGCAAAAACGAAGAACAAGCCACCGGTCTGTGTATATATCCACTTGCTTCCTGATGTCTCATTACAACAGCGGCTTGAGAGGAATGATGTGGCGGCTGAGACAGATGGTCCTTTGACTTGCGATGGTGCAGTATGACCTCACTAGGCGCGTTACGAGAAATCCAAATACTGGACCACTTTGTGACGATGACTGGCAGCTCTCTGTCCGGTCATTTTCTTTGCCTGTGCATCCTGCACGTATTTTACTTTCTGTACGACATCGTTGTAGTGGCTCGTGATGCTGCAAGTCGTCATAGCCACGAGGTCGAGCTTGAAGTCCTGTTAGTCTATGTCTTTGTTGCTGTGCATTCTCTTCCAGTAGGTGGGTGGACCTGTATTCATATTGCCGTTGCTTTCTGCAAAACAACAAAGAGGTAGAGTACAAATTGCATCATTGCATCTAGAGACGCCAAGCGCATTGCGCAGCATTCTGTAGCAAATGCTCGTGAATGCGTACTTCAAGTATCACAGAGATAGTAAGAAGGTGATGACGATGTAAACGAGCAGATTTTTGACAGCCGTGATGAAAACTGGCGTCAATGGTGACAGCGAATGATAAAAGCTGAGTAGAAGCAGTGTAGCCATGTTTCAATGTAGCAATATCCTTCCTTCTTGTTGTTGGACTTCAAGTTAATGTATGATACACTACAATCCTCCTCTATAGCATAAAAGATAAAGCTCTCCTCATGAGCCCATCATATTGAATACTTCAGCACTTGACAGAGAGACAACCTAAGTAGAGAGGAATTCCCTCAAAGCAGCATGAATAGCGCCAACGGGCAGACAATTACCGTATGCGGCAACGTTTTCCGGTGCGCCTTGTATTGATCTTCCTTTTCTATCAAAAATCGCGCTTGAAAATATCTTCTCTGACGCTAAATCTTGTGTATATGAATGATGGTCCTGTTTGTGCAGCTTGGTAGAGACTGTTGGACGAGGTTCCTATGGCACTGTATGAACAAGATGCTCTGTTATGTGTATATAATGAGAATTCATGCTAATTCGTATGCTTGGATTATCGTTTTTAGGTGCATAAAGCTATCAACTTATCGTCCGGAGCGGCCGTGGCTGTTAAAATGATTGGTAAAGATAAATTACGGCGACCACACGAACGTCAGAGCATTGAAAAGGAGATTGAGACTATGCGTGTGGCTGTGGAGCAATTTGAAAATGGTCACCCGCATATTGTGCGACTGTTGTGCACGAAGGAGTCGCAGTATTACATTTTTATCGTGCAGGTCTAGTAGATCGATGAAGAGAGAGCAAGGAAATGGAAACGAGTATTGTGCTGACCTAAAGTATACTGTACTGCTATATATTTCTAGGAATATTGTGCTGGTGGAGACATTGCACAGCTGATGAAGGCGAACAATGGGTTAGCGGAGGAACAGGCACGGCTTTATATGACGCAGTTGGGTACGTGTAGTTGAAAATCTCGAGTGTGTAATTACATTGAAGCGCAGCGATTTATATGCTGTTTTTGATGTTTTTCAGCGTCGGGGTTACAGTTTCTCCGCTCGCAGAATGTGGTTCATCGTGATCTAAAACCTGCCAATTTGTTGCTTTCATCGCGGAATATGACGACGGCAAAGTTGAAAATTGGTGAGTTCAGCACGTTTGACAAGTGAATGGTGCTTGTTTTTTGCTGAATGTCGTGATACAATCGTGCAGCGGACTTTGGTTTTGCGCGCGAGTTGGAGTCGGAGATGATGGCTGAGAGTGTTGTGGGCTCGCCGCTCTATATGGCACCGGAACTATTGGAGTACAAGGGTTACGATGCTAAAGCAGATTTGTGGTCGGTTGGCATCATCTTGTACGAGATGATTGCCAACGAACACCCGTTCCTGGTAGTGGATAATCGTCACGCAACTAATCACTTGGCACTGCGCCGTAATATTCATCGATATTTTGAGCATTATGGCCATGTTCGACTCCCGAAGAGGGTCGCTGTGTCTCGTGAGTGTGAGCGATTAGTAGAGGCACTATTACGGCTTGACCCACGCAAGCGCATTTCGTTTGAGGATTTCTTCCGCGAGCCATTCTTATTACCGCCTATTCCGGCAGATGCTAGCGAAGGCACAAACATTTTTGATTTGGACAGCTCCGAGACAAAGCAGCCTCTTGTTGCCGGAAACCAGCCCGAATATGGTGTGTTGTTGCAATACTGAATAAGTTGTTTGGTATTGACCATTCTGACTTATCTTGGCATATCTGTAGAGGATTGGGCTACCTGTAGTGACGAATACGTGATGGTGGAAAATGAGTATGAGGACGTTGGTCGGAAGGTTCTTGACGGCCAAGATCTGAACGTAGACCTGGATGAAAAGGTAGTAGCTGAACAAAACAAACTATTTAGGAATTTTAGACCAAAAAAATGCTAACATTGTTGCCGGCATGTATTTTTTTCAAAGGCAACACAGACGAAGCTCCATATGAAAGAGCGTGTATCCGTAACTGTTGCAGACGCTGCCATAGTCGATGGAAGTATTGAGATCAGAGACTTTGTGGTTGATACGTCTTCTCCCCGAAACGAGAGAATTACACCTGGATCTGTGATTGCACCAATGCCGACTGAGTTGGAGAGAGATGCTAAAATGCCAGCACGGGACGTGATTGCGGCAGCCAAAAATGACAACTGGTTGGTCGGCGAGCGCCGTCAATGGGTGACCGATGATAACCGTCTTGAGGAATTGCTGGGCATTTGCTACAAGAGTTTCTCGTGTGGTAGCGTAGCACTCTTCGTGCCCACACCATTTGGCGATTACATTGCATTTCATGAAGGATGCCCTCATTATTATTTGTCCGAAGAATCAATTGCAGCATCTAAGAAAGACGACAGGTACGTTTAGTCACATTGCCTTGAGCTTATTGATTGTCCGTACATCTACACTTGCTGAACTCACTTGTGATTTGTCATAGAAACCCTCCGTACGTTCTTGGTCATATCGTCTACATTGAAGATCATGAAACCACGGATGTAAGGTTGCTGCTGCTTCTGTTCCTAATTTGACGCCAATTAATTCTTTTTCTGTTGTTGTATAACTTGTGGTACAGAAATTAAATCCATTCTGTCTCCGAGAAGGAACCAAGTATCATGTGGTGTCTGTAACACCCTTAGCAACGTCATCCCATGATGCAAATGGCAGTGTCGGGACGACGGGCAATTCGTCTGCATCCGATGAGCTACCACTTTCACAGGTCCTAACTGGTCGTACAGTGTCAAGTGATACGGAGGATAGCGGTATGCACGAAGCCGTGGATGAGCTGCGTTGTAGCGATACCGCGTATGACTCTATTGAGCATCAACGGATATCATTCCGTAGTTTTCAAATTAGTTCACTGGCGTTATTTTTTCTCAAAGGAGGAAAGTTGCCATATGTGGCATTCAATGAGGGAGCACCACACTATTATCTAGCAAACGAGTCCATCCAGGCGGCAATTTTGGGAGTGGGGAGTGATCGTACCCCACCTGCTTATATTTGCGGTGAAATTATCTTTATTGATACTTTTCATGCAATTGAGGTATAGTAGTTGCATGTTGTCTGTTTGCCATTTTCTAGAGTGTGACTGACACAATCTGTACTGACATTTGTTATTAGGATTTTAATCCGTATCGCTTACCATATGGCACTCGATTCCATGTTGTAACAGTTGCCAACCCAAAAAGAACGTGAGAATGTGACTTTGATTGAGCAACTGAAATATTGACGAAATAGGGCGTTGAATCATACGTACATATAATCAAGAAAACTAGTATAAAATGGGTATTCTTTTGGATAAAACTGGGTGTCATTTCAAAAAAAAAAGATGAGGTAATACATTTTAAAAAATCTGTCAGATCTATGAGAAAAACAGTAGTTTATATACCAGTCAAAAGAAAAAACCACAAAAAAAATGGTACTCTTTGACCGTTGTTCTACAATTGTCGTCTGAATGTCGCTACAGTCATTATTTTTACTCAAAGACCGTCAACAATGGGTCACTCGACCGACGAGCGTAGTGTACGTGCTAAACGCCATGAAAGCAAGAAAAAGAAGAAGAAAGACAAGAAGAAACGTTCATGTACTACATTATTAGAATCCGATAGCGATGTCGAGTCTCATGTTGCACGTAAAGTACGTAAACAATCAATTAAACTCTTAGCAAGTTTAGGTTATTCCGATGAGATTAATCCATTTGGTGATTCGAACTTAAGTGAACCATTTCAATGGAGCAAGAAAGTTGATGAGCATCATGTGACTCGAATGGCACAAAAGGAGAAAAAGACATGGAAGAAAGAGGTGAAGCGAGCACAAAGTGAACGTGTAAATGCCATTCATCAAGCACGAAAACGTCGTCAAGAACGAGAAGCAGAGAAGGAGGAAATGGATCGTCTCAAGAGTGAAGAAATGCGGTTAAAGGATGCACAGGAGTATACAAATTGGCAAGAAAAGGAAGAAGAATTTCATCTCAAGCAAGCAAAAGTACGGAGTCAATTGCGAATTCGTGCAAACCGTGAAAAACCAGTGGATTTACTGGCCAAGAATTTACTTTTAGTGTCGGCAAAACAATGTGGTACACAAGAAAAGAAGGAGGAGGAGGAGGCTTTTCTTACACGAGAGATTGATCGAATTCGCGTAGAACATCGACGACCGGATGCGATTATCGAGGTTTTATCAATGGAAGAACTAGACGAGTTGCAGCAAGATGTACAGACGTATCAGGAATTGGAAGAAAGTGGAAATCAAGGACAGAATGCAGAGTTTTGGACATTGATGAAAATTCTATGTGATGATCGGATTCGACGTTTGAAACGTTTGTCACAGAAAGAAGGACGAGCAAATCGAGGAGCAATTCATGATGCCGTGAATGAGACGATTGAGACAATGTTACAAGGAAAGAATGCCGAGGAATTGCAGAAACTGCAAGGGCAAGTGAGAGAAACGATTGCTAGTGCGTCGAATGGACCAACGGGCGTGGATGTGGATTTTTGGGAGGAAGTGGCGCAGCAGATTCAAGTTTATCAAGCTCGAGGGAGACTTGCACAATTGCATGAAGAAATGCTGACGAAATTAGCTGGTCTCATGGAGGAACATGAGAGACGTGCAGCTTGTGCTGCTGAATATAAGACGCACGGCGTTGTGGATGAAAATGGACGTGATGCTGGACGTGAAGCGTGTGAGATGGAAAGATCGTTTACTCGAAAGGGCCTTGACGAGTCGGAGGAGCAACTTGGCGCATCGGAAGAGATAGTGCTGACCGACGCGAAAGCAGTTCCGCGCTGGAGTGAAAAGTACCAGCCACGCAAGCCACGCTACTGCAATCGCGTCAAGACAGGCTATGACTGGAATAAGTACAACCAAACGCACTACGACCACGACAATCCGCCACCGAAGGTCGTGCAAGGTTACAAGTTTAATCTGTTTTACCCCGATCTTATCGACAAGCAAACAGCACCACGTTTTTTTCTGGAAAAGGCCAATTCAGACGAGTTCTGTATCATTCGCTTTTCTGCGGGACCGCCTTACCAGGATATTGCTTTCAAAATTGTCAATCGGGAGTGGGAACACTCCCCCAAACGTGGCTTTAAGAGCGTATTTGAGCGTGGAATCTTGCATCTCTATTTTAACTTTAAACGCTACAGGTATCGTCGGTAAGTGTGGTTGGAACTCGACTTTCTCGGTTGGCATTGTGGTGCGATGGTATTGCCAAACACTAAGTCAAGCATACAGCTTACAAAGGCGGCCGCTGATGCTGACCGATTCGCACCAGATCGACGTTGACAGCTGAACAGAGCAATATGAGGAAGAGGCCGTTTTAATCTTGATGAATCATTTGTATTTGTTGATGATGCTGGTTTTCCCTATGTTCATGTTGCTCACTACATCAAAGTATTCTTTCCTGTATGAATACGGTCGCATTGTCGACCTGCTTTTGTAGACATATACACTACGTACTATGCACCTTGCTTTGCTCCCCGCCGTCACTTCAAAGATGGACGTCAACTCGGCTGACTGTCCGTCGTGTTGTGGCTTACAGCTCAATGCGCTTGCCACCGCTGCTGTTGCTCGCATTGCTCCCGGTGTCGCTAGTTTGGCGACTCTTGTGGTTGCTGTTGCGATCGTATGACCCACGGCGAGAGCGTCCACGATTGCCACCGTGGTGGTGATTACCGCCCGTGAGCGACTGTCGAAGCGAAGAATTCCTCGCAGTGTCACTGCCACCATACTCGTTGCGGTCGTATGAGCCACGACGAGAGCGTCCGTTCTCAACGCTGCCTGAGAACGACTGCCGTAATGTAGAGTTGCGTCTACTCTCGCCGTTATTAGCAGACTCGGAGCGATCAAATGAGCTCCGGCGTAAGCGACCCTTGGACTTGCCTGTGCCGTTCATGTTTGCCTGTTTCGTAGCAGGCGCCGTGCTGGTCAGTGATACGCGCTGATGCTGTTGCTGCTGCTGTTGTTGCTGTTGCTTTGCATCTTCCAGCATGTCCACTCCCAGCGTCACACTAAAACTCACGCGATCATTGCTCTCCTCAGGCTCGCCCTCGATCACAATTCCCATAACCTTGCCTGGTGCTGCGAGAGGACCGTCCTCACCCGTAGGCTGGCGAATGCCCACGGTTTTGGTAGGAGCACTAACACCAGCATTTGCGGCCGGGGTGCCAGAAGAGGAACCCGTACTTGACACAGACGATGAACGGCGATCGCGGCCCTTAATAACCTCAGCAAACGACAAGCGCTCGCCAACCACCTCGGCCGTAGGCGACAGAATCACAAGAGGTTCCTCTTCCGGACCAGCGACCGAAATTTCACGAATGTTTACCACACGCGACGACTTGGAGCTTTCATGGGATAGCTTCTTAGTAGACAGTGAGTTGGCGCGCTTGATTGGAGTAATCTGCGGCTGGCTAGAAGCCAAAGGAGACTCCATAGGAGGAGCAGGTGGCTGCAGCGCTGGCAGTGACACACGATTGCCTGCAACAGGATCCGAAAGCTCAATGACCTGGGACGGAGGAGCAACCGTCTTGCTGATTGAAACCTTAGGCTGGGGCTGTTTTGATACCAGCGCCAGCTTCGTCAAGCGAGGAACCTCTTCGCGGTGCTTGCGACTCAGCTCCGGGTCCTGACGAAGGATCAGACGAAGGCGTGCGTTTGCCTTTGCCAACGCCATGTTCTCACCCTGCAAGTGCTCCGTGTGCTGCTTTAGATGGTCTACAGTATGACGTAGTGCCTGACGCTCATTTAGCGCCTCACTCAAAGAGCTTTGCATCAGCGTGATCTTTTCCATCACACCAGCGTGCTGGGCCTTCAAATTGCGGTGACCCGTCTTGTAACGCGCTAGCTCGCTTTTCAGCGCCTCGTTCTCGTCTTGCAGCTTCATTGCACGCTGATTGGCGGCAGCAAAGGACGCACCGTTCACGTAAGCACCACGCTCCATCACTTCCTTCTCTTTGCGAAGCTGCACTCCAAATGCTTTTAAATTCGTGTTGGCCTCCTTAAGGGCCGCATTTTCTCGACGAAGCTGGTCAATCACCAGATCGGCATCCTCAAGGGCCTCCTCGCTACGCATGTGAACAGAAGCGCGGCTACCGTATTGCGCCTGCTGCTCCAACTCAATACGCGCTTCACGCTCCTGCTGCAAACGCTTTTTCAGCAACTGAATCTGGTTCTCCAATTTTGCGTCTTCCTTCGCCTGCTTTTGCAGCACTGAAAATGCCTTGGTAGCCAAATGCATACGCACAACACTTTGCATCGTGCGAATTGCCTTTATCTTCACCAGGTATTTACGACGAGCAATAAACATCTTGCACACATTCTGAATCTGCGTAGCTCGGTGCACCTCACGCATACGAACCAGTAGTTGCTGTGCACGGTGCCGACGTACATACTTCTGCACACTGACAACAGCCATGCGCTGCTTCTTGTACTGAACTGATGCACGGTGGCCGCGGTATACTTTTTGCACCACAATAGCTGCATACTTTACCCTTTGGAACATCGCCATGGCCATCCACTTCTTAGCGTACCGCTGCAACACAACAGCAGCCGCATTGAACCTGCGCGTGCGCAGCTCTTCAAGGGCCTCTAGAGCACCCTGTCGAAAGAACACTCGTGTCTTACCAACCTGGTACTCGCTTTCCTTGCCCGGCATTAAGTGAGTGGCAAGCAGCTCACGAACAGCTGCAGCCACCTTTGTCTCATCGGCGGGGTTCTCGTCAGCAGTAGCGGTCAACACGGCGAGCGCAGAGGGTTTACCGTCGACTGTCGTGGCAGACGCCACGCCACGGAAACGCTCGAGGAACATCGTCTGTAGCACACGGTTGGGATACGCCATACGACTAATACGGACCGCTTCCACGACACCAGCACACTGCAACTGCTCCGTTACACGCAGCTTGTTGAAAACCTGCGAACTCTTTTTCCCATTGGGCTTAATGCAACGAATGTAGTGCACATTAGTACGACGAATGTCCTCCATGAGACCATTCAGCTGGCTTTTGAACTGAGTACCAACTGTATCCGCGACAATCGAGTTTTTGCGCTTCATCACAGGACGTCCACGTAATACATTTGACGCAGTCGCCGCACCTGTTCCCGGAATACCGGTCATTGCATCGCCTACATGCTCATCAGGGAACAACTTCTTTAGAAACGGCGCCTTTGACTTCTTGATAAGAAGAATAAGGTCATTCTGCAGTGCATCCGTGTTCTTGATCAAAAAACCGTTCGTATCGTACTGAACGGGACCAGCGTAGTGCTTGATAACGAAAGCGTCGCGTGCAAAACGCGGACACTCAAAGCGATCGTTGTCGCTGTAGTGCGCCTTCAGCTTATTTGCAAACGCAGCATCGCTACCCTTGGGGCGCATACACTCTTCATTCAGCAACGACAGCACACCGAAACGACCCTCGAGCAGTGATAGGACGTTGGCGTTATCAGCAAACTCAATACGCGTCCAGGGAATACCCTCGTCCTCGTATTCTTGCTGAATCGACTTGAACACATCCTGTGTAAACTTCTGCTGAAGCTTTTCATTGGCATAGTTGATGCATAACTGCTCAAACGAGTTCTTCTCAAATATCTCAAAGCCAAAAATATCAAGAATGCAAATCTTATGGGCCACATCTGCTTGCGAAGCACTCGTTGATATGTTTACACGGTGGATCAACCACGAGAACATGTGCGAGTACAGGGCAACGCCCAGAGCAGTACGCGCTCCATCGGCTTGCGAAACATTCAACGGTACTTCGTAGGTTTCCATGACAGCCGTCATCTCACGCGTGCAGAGAGCAGTATGCAACTGATTATCGTCAAGCTCCAGCAACTCCGATACCAACTCACTCGCGTGCTGGTTCTCCGGTGTACTTGTCAATTGAGATGCATCATCGTTGCCAGGCATTGGCTCAAATTGTAATCGCGATAGGTGCAAAATTGCCGCCACAATTTTAAAAATGCTCATCTGATCTTCCTTTGATACACTCATGGTTTCCAAACACGATATTGTCTGCTGAAATCGCTCAGCATCTCTCAACCCAGCACTTACGTCAATCCCATTCGCCAAATCTTCGTCATGTGGTTTAATAAATGGAAAATCTTTTGCCTCCATTCCCGTAACTTTTACTTTGGTCGTAATATCAGCAGGAGCAGCGAGTAACTGGTAGAAAATATGATAATTCCGTTCACCAAATCCTTGTAACGATACACGTGACTTTTCCAGCAAGTACGTACGAGATCGAGCTCCAATCAATTGACCAAGTGTATCAAACTGAAGTTCCGAGAATTTACCAAATCGACTGGAATTATCGTTTCGTGAGGTTTTCGCATTACCAAATGATTCCATCAATGGATTTGCATCCAAAACACGTTCAATAATACTCGTCTCCTTTGCTTGAGCATCCAAAGTGGATTGACTACCAGCGGATGCCAAATGAGACATGAGAATCTTTGTCGTTTCGGTCTTGCCAGCTCCAGATTCGCCACTAACGAGTATACTTTGATCTTCATTATATACACGCATATGTTGAAATGCACCAGCACTTGTTGCATAAACATGAGGTGGCAATTCACTTCGATCACGATCTAAATATTTTTCCTGAAGTTCCTTGGTGTATATATCAAGCCATGAATACTATTATCATCAGTATCAGACACATACTCAGAATCAGATATCATATTTGACAGGGTTTTGTGTCACTTCTTCTTCTTCTTCAAGTGTACACAATACCACACGAAACAAAAGATAGTGACATAAAACGTACGGGATTGACTGCAATACAAATGGCACCAGTGTATGTATATGGAATTTGTCTCAGGAATCGATGCTTGAGATTAAAGAGAATTGCTGGTTCATGAAGATAATTCAGATTTACCATGTCTGCACAACCGTCTTGAGATGGTAATGTATTTTGTAACAACATGGTTGACTTCTATACCTCATTACAGAAAAAAAGATCAAATAATGTCAATAAATCGGGTACATTACAGTGTAACACAGAAAGACATGCACAAACATACGTCAATGGTGCGAGTTGTACCAGCCTCTGGCTGCTTGTCGGCACATTCCTCATTCAAGTCACCTTCAATCATCACTTGGACCGTAGTCTCACTTACAACATGACTCTTTGTAATAACGGCCTCAACCCAGCTTACGTTCGTGTCGGGTACATAAATCTAATGGTTGGGAAAGGGGGAAAAACGAATCATCATCATCATCATGTTTACCGAAAGCGACAGGGGGAGGTCTCAACCAAGACGTTACCTTAGTCTGTTGATCTTCCATAGTTGTCGCAGATTTACTATAGGGGTAAAAGGAGGCAGCAACAACGTGTTGTTGTCTCGTTCACTTTTTTTCTATGCCGAGCTCTCGTCGTCCCTCGTGGCAAAAGTAGCTATGGCGTCAAGAATTGTAAAACCCAAGCGGGTAGACGGCCCGCCTTCCCCTAAGGCCCACCCTCTGTCGAGGGGTGCTCTCTCGAGAAAAAATCTCGATCCTGTCCAAATCGATTGTCTGGAGTCTGTCACTTCTGCCGTCCAACATGGTTTGACTTGGAATCAGTATGTTGACACAGACGATGCGCGCGCTTGTTTCTACCCCGAGAACAAAGAATTTACAAAACACGGTCCAAGCAAATGGCAAAAGAAGTCCTACGTAACCCAAACAATATTAGGTGCGAAAGAAGACACTAGATTGCTTGCTGCCCATCACGCAAGCTTCTGTTTAGCAGAGACATCAATGAATATATATGGACTTTAACTATAAAGGAAGCCATCTGAGTGGCCACTGAAGCTAGTCGAAAGATTCCTTTTCATTAGCAGTAGCATCAAGCAGAAATACTATGAAACCGCAGTGACCCACACCGACGCAAACATCGTGTTGGGTTTGGGCAGCGTAGCATTGCCATCGGATAAAAATCAATAGAGCATGCGAAAATTTGCTGATGGTAACAGAGCTGCCACGCCGGTTGTCACTTGAAGTTGGCTGCACCTGCAAGGAGAGACGTGTCACCTAGCCGCCATACGAAAATCAGGCTCAAGAAAAAAATGGCTCTGAGGCTTTGGTTTGAGTCACTTGACTGTCTTGGACTGCAACTATATTGTCAGCTTTGTTCCAGTACATGGCCATTGGAGTCTACGCTGTGTGCTCAGCGTAGACTCCAATGGATAACAAAGCAGCTTGTGTAGACAGTTGTACCTCGACAAATAGACCGCTTCGAAACGTTTTTCACGCCAAAGGAATGGCCTGCTTTTTCCGACGTGATGATGGTAATGGAGCAGCTGTTGTCTGCGGTTGCTCACAGTAATTTGTATGGTCTTCATTGCATACACAATCAACCTCGCAACGTGGCTCATTACGAACAGCACAGCTGCGTGACCTTGCTGGGGCCTTGAGTGTTGAACAAACCCGTGCATAGCGTGATGCTTTGGCCTCAGCCTGCTTGATGCGGCTGCGTGAATGAAGAAGACGCGAAGCGTATCCATTATTTCTGTGCAAAGCGTGAGCGATTGAAGCAAGAAAGCGCAGCCGGTACCTTCACCTCTAGCAGCTTGTCCTACGTAACATGTGTCTCTTCACGCCAACCAATTGCCACATAAAGAGGCACATTAGTTGCAGTGCATTTTATTCTTACAGGCTCTACGAATTGAGCATCACATTCCGGCCAGAGCTATTGGATAGAGTGTCGATTGTCCACCAGGCAGAAAAAAACAGGTCCAGAGAGCGTCCATCATGTTGAGGCTTGATCTCATTCGCGACGTCCCGCAGCTAGTCATGTTTTGTTATCTTTCAAGCTCAGGAAACGGGAATTTTTTGTTGTGAAGTGTGCAAGCGGCTGATTACCGTTCATGTGGCAGAGTGACTTACTTCAGGATTTAACATTTGCATACATGTATCAATATATTTGCAATATGACACATCGCTTTGCCAGTAAACGCTCTCCAAAGCATATTATTACTTTATGCTAGTGAACCGTATCAGTAACTGTTCTACAGCTCACGTGAAGATTCTCTTGACGCGACTTTTCATGGCAAGCGGTCACTTTATTTTAAGAAAGAATCTCAGCTACCAGTGTCAGGTCATGTTAAATATGAGACATGCGTTGGGTATATTTATACCGTATTGTCTACCACGTGACCGCCGACGAATCCAATAGCTCTTCCTGGCCATACAAATGTATACAGAGACGTCTTCGTCTTCTTCCTACGTTATTAAAAATTGTGATAGAAGCTACTTGTAGTGAATGCATTCTCTACCCTTTCTCTATACGAGATCAACTGCAGTGAGAAATGCTATAGTCTCATTGCAGTTGCTAGCTGCATCTATACCGTCTACCTTCGTGTACATCTCACATCGCTGGACAGCTTAGGCGCTTTATTTTGCAGCCTTACTGGGCTATGGCGCCCATGCAAACATGCAAGATGTTCATTCTCTTGTATTTTGTCGTCCAAGAAACATTCAAGGATTGTGTATCGCAGTTCTACTCACTTACGTGTTGCTCTCGGACTTGAACAAGCGCTTGTATGACAACAACAAAAGAAGCAATGCATTATAGGTGTAACCATTAAAAGACACTAACGATGATGATGATGACTGTTCATGCTTGAGAATTACATCAATTTGTTTACTGTCACAAGCCACACTTGTCGTAACATTGGTCCTTACAACGTTAGCGATGGCAAAATGCGTCCGTCAAGGTTCTTTGCAGTCACTAAGAGTTCAGCGTAAGTTTTTCTAACGTCTGTAGTAAATATCGCCAAAAAGGAGGCAGAAAAAGGAAAATTATCAAAAAGAGGTGACGTCATATAAAAAATGGGTCATTTATGATAAATATCGACAAGTTTTTGATTCATTAACTCACAATACTAAAACAGCTATTATATTCCCAAAGCTACAATTCAAAACGTTGCATAAAAACATACAATTTTTTGTCGCCCGTTTCAATCAATTTCTAAAAAATAGAAACATGAACAAAAGCCCCCAAATTTCTAAATCTCCCCTCACTGTTGCTCACTTCATTGTGTAATTTCTATCGCACATGGGTTTACTTGTCGAAGGCAGTCCATTAGATTGGTCTGACGCTTTAGAATGGTTACAACACGTTCGTACACAAGGTATTGATCAATTTCTTCATACATACAATCGTGTCAAGAACATTGAAGGTGATGAATTGAAATGGGGGGATGAATTAGAATATGGTGTCTTTCATATGGATCAAATGACAAAACGTGCCCGTTTATCATTACGGAGCCAAGAAATCTTAAAACAATTACAAGATAAAGAGAATCAAGCAAAGGAGTATGGTTGCAATCTTTCCAATACACTCTCATTTACTGGATCTTGTCTGGATGGATGTAATTGGGTACCAGAATATGGCTCTTGGATGATTGAAGGTACACCAAGTGCACCTTATGGAGGTTTTACAAGTGATTTAGGTAAAGTAGAAGCTAATATGCGTCTACGTCGTGCACGATTACTTGCACTACTACATCACGATGAAATTGCACCGTCCGTTACGGCATTTCCAATGATGGGTGTTGGTGATTTTACCATGCCGTCCAGTCAATCTAATGGTCCCGTGGCTGAGTCGGATTATATCAGTGATGCTGTGATTAATCCACATCCACGATTTGCAACCTTGACGAGAAATATTCGTCAACGTCGTACGAGAAAAGTTGATATTCGTGTCCCGATCTTTCCAGATGTTAATACGGAAGCAAAGCTTGAGGAAGAACAAGCAGGGGTATCATGGAATGCAGAAAAGTCTCGACCAAAGTATGAATCAAAAAACATGGTGTCAGTACCTACTGACTCGTTTGGCTCGGCTCCAACGTCACCTAGCTCGACGTCGAATTCGGACGACAATGCCGAATCCAAGTCACCTGTGTCACATTGTAACCTTCCAGCGCTGGAATCGGACCACAAAGCCGAGCCGTACCCCGGCTTTATACATATGGATGCTATGGCATTTGGCATGGGAATGTGCTGCCTTCAGGTGACCTTCCAGGCCAAAAACGTCGGTGAGTCGAGACACTTGTACGACCATTTGGGAGTTCTGTCGCCTATTTTGTTGGCACTGACGGCGGCTACGCCTATTCTGAAAGGTCGACTTGCCGACACAGATGTGCGTTGGGCAACGATTTCGGCCGCAGTAGATGACCGGACACCTCAGGAGCTGGGGGAAGCTCCACCCCCGACAGATTTGGAGACCAAAGCGAAGTATGCAAAGATGGCAGGCAACGGTATTAAGCGTCTACCGAAGTCTCGATACGAAGGTATCTCGACGTTCATTTGCAACCACAAGCAAGGTGAAGACCCACACACGCTGACAGACAAATACAACGATGTCGAGGTTCCGTACGATGAGGAATCATACAAGACTCTCAAGGACGCTGGCGTGGACCGCCTTCTTGCGCTCCACATCTCGCACCTGTTTATTCGCGACCCGTTAGTTATTTACAAACAACGCTTGCACCTGGACAATGAGCGTGAGACGGACCACTTTGAGAACATCCAATCTACGAACTGGCAGACCGTGCGCTGGAAACCTCCTCCACCAGCCCCGTCAAGCACAGAGGGACCTCACATTGGTTGGCGCACCGAGTTTCGTTCTATGGAGATTCAGCTCACTGACTTTGAGAACGCCGCCTTTACGGTGTTCATCGCTCTGGTGTCGCGCGTCATCCTCACGTTCGACCTGAACTTGTACACCCCGCTGTCCAAGGTAAATGACAATATGGAGGCTGCTCACCGAGTGAACGCAGTGTTAAGCGAGAAGTTCCATTTTCGTTGCCACATGGCTCCACCTGAAGTCGATGACTGTCCGTCAAAGAGTCCATGCCACTTGCACAAAGACCCCGATGCATGCGAGTTAATGACGATTGCTGAGATCATGTTGGGCAAGGGTTCATACTTCCCGGGTCTCATCCCTCTTGTCTACGCTTACTTGGACTATATTGAGTGCGATGAGGCGACATGGACGCTTGTGGAAAAGTACATGTCTCTGATTGCAAAGCGTGCAACAGGCGAGTTGCCGACGGCTGCTACCTGGATGCGTCGCTTTGTACGTGCACATCCAGACTACCGTCATGACTCCGTGGTGCCTCATTCCACCGCATTTGACCTCCTTATCGAGTGCCAGCAAATTGGCGAGGGAATGAAGCAGTGTCCAGAGCTATTGGGAGAGTTTAAGATTCTCCCTGTGCGCGGCCAAGCGGCGTATCGTGTGCCATTGAAAAGTAGTGGAGTTGCTACTGAAAAGCGCCAGGCACTGCTTCAACGATACTTGGGTCGTACTACCTCAAATGCGTGTCATACATGTGGCTAAGTTGTCTTGCTGCAGGAAATGTTTTGCTCGAGAGGTGTAAAGCCGGGTGGTTATCGACACGTACATGCTAATTGTTGCTAATAAATCAAGTATTGGTGTCATTGCTTGGACTGATTGACTGGCAGATCGATATGTGCTGAAGAATCGAAATATCTTGTCAAAGTTGCAAACAAATGAATATGCATTTGCATTAATGAGCTTCAGTGCTACCTCGAAATCTCATTGAAGGAAGACACGAGAGTTATGATAAACAGTACTACTGTAAGGTAGTAAATTGGAAACATACAAGCAGTAGTCATACATGTGCATACGTAATGTAAGCATACTTTCAATGCCGTCCAATTTGTCCCTTTGTATCAACTTGATCAGCTAAAACACGACACAATATTGCCTGTGCATTCACATTGCATAATGTCACGAAGCGGTCCAAGAATACATCAGAAGCCACGACAAGCGTAAAAAGGCTATCTGGAATTGCATATTCAGGAAAAACAATATTCCACGCGGCAGTGAGTACCGTCAGTGCTCCAGATGGAATTGGTGGTGCCGTGGCAGTGCACAAGAAAACACCAAGAAAAGTCACCAACATGGTCGAAAGTGACTGAGCGTGAACAATACCAGCTACATCAGCCATAAAGTGTACCAACACAGCTAGATAAATTGCCGTCCCAGGCATGTGCAACGATGTACCCACTGACAAGACAAAGTGCATGACAGGGCTTGAAACCTCATCAGACGTTTCAATGCACTGGAGGCTCAGCGGCATTGTAGCCATAGATGATGAGCAGCCGAGACTATACACGTACGCAGGCAGCATCTGACGCATGAAGCGGAACGGGTTCTGGCGAGTAATGAGCACAAATAGTATAGGCACTACCACAAGCATGTGCACAAGTACACTAACACCCAATGCAGCAACTAGAAGCATGACTAGCGTGAGTGGATGATCTGCCACTGAGTCTTCCAATGAGGTAGCTAGCGAACCAGCAAGTAGACTAAGGACCGCAAAGGGTGTGAAGCGGAGAATATAGTGAGCCATATGCACGAGCGTCTCGTTTACTTCACGGAAAAACTCCAGCAGTGGATTGAGATTTGCAGGTCCATGAAAACTGCGAGCCAGAGTGACACCAAGTGGCAGTGAAAAGGCCACGATACTCAACAACGTGTTGGAAACAAATGCTGCCATAATGTTTGCTGGTACAACCTGGTTAATAATGCTCAGTACATTATCCGATAGCGTCGTATTCGTTCCTGTTAATGCTTCATTCCGCGCGAGTGCACTATTGATATCATCCAGTGCGAATTCTGACGTGCTTGTAATTTCAGTAGCAGAGCACGTGACAAGTCCATCCTCCCGTGTTTCTAGATATTTTCCATTTCCACATTGAATTCCAAAGATTGCGTCCGTATTGAGTATAAAATCTTCCTTTTGATACATTGTAAAAACCAAATGGAAGATAGAACCTGTAGCAAGTCCAAGCATAATAGCAATAGTCATGGATACAATAACAATAAACAATAGACGAACACTTAAACGTTCACCCAAGCTTTTGTTTGTCAGATCTGCTGTAGCAATCACAAGATTCACAAATACCATTGGAATCACAACACATTGTATGGCTCGGACGTATAAATTCCCTGGTATCATAATCCATTGGGCGATTATTGTATCAATGTGTAGATATTTCAAAACACCACCACCAATTGTACCAATGAAAAGAGCCAGTAGAATCAAAAACATATGACGTTTCGACGCGCGATCGTTCGTACCACCTGAAAGTGGAGATGTTTTGATTATCAGATCTGAGAATGGCATATCCGGATCATTCGCTGGTGTACGAAAGTGTCGAAACGCTGCATCTGGTGACTCATCCGTATCATTCGGTATTACCGATGGATTCAATCGGTTTCTTGTGGTATTATCCGTCTCATTTGGATCAGTTGACGTTACCGTGAAATTAGAATGCATGGTATCGGTATTCGGCGGTATTGGACGTCGATTCGGTGCATGAGTATATCCACCACCATATAGAAATGAAGACGCATCACTCGAGAACTCCGAGACGGAACTGAATGTACTATGTACGACTGATAGTTCACTATTTGTATCATCCATTAGTACAATACTCTGATTCCTGCTATTAAACTCCAGCGTCTGCTCTGCCATGTTTTTTTTCACCGATAAAAACGTCTATACGTTAAGTACGCAAATTATCCAAATTACAAATCTAATCATATCATGGTAATCTACATATATACTATAGAACAAATTGTATGAAGAGAAATAAAATACATGGAACGTGTGTTATGCAGACGATACAAAAATGTTATGTTGCACCGTTGAGATGATAGTTATGGTCAGCAACATAAATGTGATAGGATTCAACATGTGCAACTTCATGTTGACCACATCAAGTTATTTCTTCTACTTTGGATGGATGAAAAGACGTCTAGAGAGCATCATTTCGTCTATAGTAAAAACGAGTATGAGTCGTCCTGAACATATTTCGCCACCTGAGGTATGTTTATCATCTATCTACATCTGTTGTATTTCGATCTAGAAGATAAAAACACTTGATTAATATACTAACAAATGCCTACATTTCTGTGAATAAACTGCAGTTTTATTACAATGAAAAAGAAGCAGCCAAGTATAATTCAAGCTCACGTATAATTAAAATACAAGAAGAACTTTCGAATCGTGCGATTGAATTATTGAATTTACCCCATGGACAAGAAGCATTTATACTAGATGTTGGGTGTGGTAGTGGTCTTAGTGGAGGTAGATGAATGCTGCGTGATTTATTATTACGATCCGTCATGTTGTTGACTTTTGCTCTTGTACTGTATGTAGTTGCACTTGAAGAGCATGGACATGCATGGGTTGGTGTCGATATCAGTAAAGACATGTTGGATATTTCTTCAGAGCGTGATAGTAGTGGAGATGTCTTTCTACAAGATATGGGAGGAGGTCTACCCTTTCGTCCAGGAGTATTTGATGGTTGTATCAGTATCTCAGCCGTTCAATGGCTTTGTTACTCGGATAAGAAAGAACATACAGCTCGTAAACGTCTTACACGCTTTTTTACGTCATTATACACGTGCTTGAAGACTGGCAGTCGAGCCGTGTTGCAGCTATACCCGGAAACACCAGAGCAGATGGAAGAGATTTCAGCTACCGCCATGCGCTGCGGTTTCTCAGGTGGACTTGTGATTGACTTTCCCAACAGTGCAAAGGCGAAGAAATTCTTTCTTTGTCTTTTTGCTGGATACATGCACCAACAACAGGTTCCACAGGGTCTCGGTACGGAAGCCACGGCAAACCAGATCTCGTACGAAGGACGCGCTCGAAACGAACGTGTAAGTGGTGTGATAATTGATGGCGTTTGACGTTGTTTTTGTGCACTAAATTGAATTGCGGCTGATTTGTTTGTTGTGGATGCACAGCAACGCCGAGGCAAGGGGCGTGAAGCTGTTAAAGTCAAGTATGTGTGATGTAGCACTATGTGGTGACAGCAGTTTTTGGTACTAACTTGTGGGTAATTTGCTCTTATCTATGTAGGGACTGGGTAATGGCGAAGAAAGAGCGCTACCGTAAGCAGGGCAAGAAAGTCAAGTCCGATAGCAAATTTACAGGCAGAAAGCGTCCGGGCAAGTTTTAAGATGTAGCAACAGAAGAGTCATACGAGCACTGTTGTGTTTATTAGATGAAGAAACAAACGAATGCAAGATTATGAACATACAAGTGAGTGCGGAACTACTTTTTTTTCTTTTGGCTTGTATCGTAAAATGACTTGCTCAATCGATCTTGTAAGTTGTACGACACTTACATCAACCATTCTACCTCACGAGCTTTCTTGTGAATACCAGAATATTTACTCTTCCATTCAGCTTTCTTGTCACTGATTCGCAAAACCTCGCTCTAAGAGATGTTAAATATAACAATCACGTAAGCGCGTCTTCTTCACACGATTCATTCCCTCTTCCGTATACATAATCACATTCTCCTGCTCAGGGTTTCAATGATGTAGACGGCAACTTCTCAACCGGTGTAGGCGCTGGTGAGTTCGTAAAGTATGGATGCTTTAACGCTTCAGCTGCAGTAATCCGCTCGGCTGGATTGTACTTTAACAACTTTCCCAACAAATCCAATGCATCCTCGGACGCCGCCAAAAATATTGATGCCAATGCTGGAGCTGCACTAGGTGTAAACTCGACAAAATTAGCTAGCGAACTCACACCAGGCCACTCTTTCTCTGTTGGAGTGCCAAGCGCATGAAAGATCTTGCCTAATTGATCCAGCTCATTCATACCCGTAAGATACGGCATTCGAAGCATTAGCTCAGCAAAAACACAACCAGCGCCCCACATGTCCACTGATCCACTGTATTCTCTTGCTCCGAATAGCAGTTCTGGTGGACGATACCAAATGGTACACACCATGGACGTCATATTGCGATTAGGGCTGCCGTAGACTCGAGCAAGACCAAAATCTCCAATCTTCACTTGTCCATCAGGTCCAATGAGCAAATTCTCAGGCTTCAGATCACGGTGCAGCACGTAATGTTCATGACAGTAAGCAAGACCCTGAAGTAACATCTGCATGTACATTTTGATATCAGCAGCAGTTAACACGACTGCTTTATCCTTAATAACGTCATCTAAATTGCTTGGCAGGAGTTCAAATACGACGTTTATTGTATCATTAGCGACAAAAACATCCAGTAATTCCACGACATTCACATGTTTAAGTTCCACTTGGAGCTTCACTTCACGTAACGCCGTAAAATCGACACCATCTTTAAACTTGCCACGTTTAAACTTCTTAATAGCGACAGGACGTCCCGTGCTTTTTTGTATCGCTGCGTATACGATACCGAACGTACCTTCGCCTAAAACCTCACCCATCTCGTAGCGTTCCATGATGGAAATTGATACAAAAATCTACACTTAGTGACGTGTCACTACGATGAGTAGAATATAGAAATGCATAGATTATGACTGACAAGCTTTTATCCTGACCATCATTCTGTATTTCTAAAAATAGAGAGACTAAACCTAAATTACAACGGTCAATTACAGTAGATCACGCACTGTTTCCGATTTTCTGACACCGTTTAAAATAAAAACAAACGACCCAAACTATTTGATAGCAAAAAGAAGCTTTGTCTATTTAACGAAATGGTGTAGCACTAGATAAATACTCAAGTAGTTAGCTAGCTATAAGATAGAAAGCTAAATCGAAATTGAAAGTTGTCAATCGATAGCAGAGTGACGGATGGTCGTAAAAAATTAAGAATCTGCAACTCAATTTGTTATTGCAACTTGCAAGCAACTTGAGTGCCCCATCTTTAAAAGTCTTCCGATCTTTTGTGTCCTTTGTTCCATTTTTTATGGATGACCATCGAAGTGGTTCCTAGAAATCGGTTTTGTCCTTTATAAAACCTCAGACAAGTCTCAGTATTGAATTTGCTTTGGACGAATTCAGTCACAAACATTTTCGAGTCAGAATGACATCATTAGCTGAACCGACAGTCTACGGCACGAGTTCTCTTGCAAGTAATGTACGATGTAATGTACGCTCTGGAAGTCGAACAACGTGGATTAAATGGGGTCTGATTTGTGTCTCCATTGGTGTTGGCATTCTCGGAATAGTGGGAGTCTTAAGGGCTGCTTCTTCTTCAAAAGCGTCTACTGTGGCTAATGCGATTGTTACCGAAAGCGACGTTGCGTGTTACCAAAGCTCTTCGATTGATAATGTGACTACCATGATGGAGCCAATTACGGGGCTCAAATGGAAGCAGAGTGGTGAAAAGAACGTCAAGTCTTTTCTCATTGTGGATGTCAAGACCAAGTTTCAAGAGATCTTTGGTTTTGGAGGAGCTTTTACAGAAGCAGCAGGACTGCAGTTTCAGAAACTCCCACAAGAGAAACAGGAACAAGTGCTGACACTTTACTTTGACAAGGAACAAGGCAGTGCCTATAGCTTTGGCCGTGTGCCAATGGGATCGACTGATTTCTCGCTGGCGTCGTATAACTTTGCTGAAACGGTGAATGACATGAAGTTGCTGGATTTTGATGTGAACGTAACTCACGACACAAAGACAATGATTCCGTTCATCAAACGTGCGTTGAAACGTCGACCGGACATGAAACTTTTCTTAGCACCTTGGAGTCCGCCGGCTTGGATGAAACGATCAAGCTCGGACTACAATGCGAGTATGTTGGGGTCGGTAAAGCCCGTTGGACTCCGAGATGACATGCGTGCACCATGGGCTCTGTATTTCTCCAAGTTCATCACTGCTTACAAGGACCACGGAATTCCATTCTGGGGTCTTACCCCGCAAAACGAGCCTGAGTTTGCTGCACCATGGGAAGCATGTGCATTCGATCCGGAATATCAAGCTGAATTCATTGGAGAGTTTTTAGGCCCCGTACTGGACCGTGATCATCCTGGTCTCACCCTCATGGTATTTGATCACAACCGCAACAACGTGCACCACTGGGCAAAGGTGATCTACAACCACCCGACAGCAAGTAAGTACGTCGATGGCATAGCCTTTCACTGGTACGAGGATGGCGGTGAACGTTATATGGACGGAGTAGAGTACCCCGAGCATTTGAACGACACTCACTTTATCGATCCAAACCGCTTTATGCTGGCTTCAGAAAGCTGTAATTGCCCTGGTGTGGCATATGACAACGACGCGTGGTTCCGTGCTCTTCGCTATGGTCACGACATCTTAAGTGACCTAAATCACCACGTGGTAGGTTGGGTGGATTGGAACTTGTTGCTCGACCACACCGGCGGTCCTAATCATAAGGGTAACCTTTGCGATGCTCCTATTATTTTGACTGAGGACGGAAACGACTTCACGATTCAGCCCATGTTTTACTTCATTCAACACTTTTCCAAGTTCATCCCGGTCGGCTCTCGCCGTGTCAAGGTGCAGGTTGCTGTTCACTTTGAGAAACCTGGAGATGCGCAGTTGTTTGTAGACTACCAGTCGTCTCTCGAGTCGTGCGATGGAAGCTCGCGTCAAACGATACACAGAACCGACGATGGCAAGATACAGGTCACTAACACGCCATTCTGTCTCAATATGGTGTCATTTCCAGGTAAAGGACATGAAATTCGACTGGTAGAATGCCAGTGGACGCAGCAAACATGGACTTTTGACAAACTTACACAGCGCATTCGCATCGACGATTTGTGCCTGTCATTGAGCCATGGATCAACTGAGAACAGCGTTCGTGTGACGGCGGATAAATGCCAAGACGAGGCAGTGAAGTACCAGCAGTGGACGTTCCATGGAGAAGATGGCACTCTCCGTTCACACGCGTCAACGAGTGATCAGTGCGTGACGACGGGTTACGCGTTTATCCAGGCTGCTGCGTTCGTCACGCCAGAGGATCGTAAGGTGTTGGTAGTATTGAATGAGAATACGGAGGTAGCTGATTTTCAAGTGCAGGTCGGTGATGCAGTGCTTGATACGACTATACTACCACGTGCTATTCGTACTTACACTTGGGAGTAAAACCAAACGAATAATGCAGTATCACACGTGAAAACCACAAGACAAAAGGCGTTAAAAAACGACGTCAAAACGCTGTTAAAACGTTTTAACAAAGTGCACAGAAACATTGATATCTGATTTTATTCAAACATAAACATTGCTTGTGCCACTAAACGTATCAGGTCACCTGGATCACCGTCACGGCAGCAATGAATGTACATTCGGTGTCATCATGTATCTTCTCACTCCTCCAGTATCAACAATCGTATCAATTATTAACCAATCACCAGTCTCGCTTTCTCCTCACCATTCATCTCCTCACCATACAAAATCTCATATTCCTTTTATCTCTCGAGTCCAAATGACAACCGAGCCGACACTTTATGGCACGAGTTTCTTATCAAGTGACGAGCGGCTGAGTGCGCGCACGAGACGACGTCGATCACTACTTAAATGGAGTGTTATCGTGCTTAGTATCTGTGGCTTATGTGGCATTTTCACAGTCTTTCGACTGCTTTCAATGATGCCACAGGATCATGTAGCTGTCATAAAAACAGCGCAATCGTCTACAGCCACTGGTGGTGCTATCAATGCAACAGTCTTTTGCGTACAAAGCTCGTATCAAGATAATGTCACGACGATGATGGCACCAATCACAGGTCTCAAGTGGACAAAACATGAGATAAGAGACTCCGTGTCAAGGATTAGAGTTGATGTAGCTACTGAATTCCAGACGATATTAGGCTTTGGTGGTGCATTTACAGAAGCAGCAGCACTGCAATTTTATAAATTATCACAGGAGAAACAGGAAGAAATCTTAACACTCTACTTTGATCCACACAAGGGCAGTGGCTATACCTTTGGACGTGTGCCCATGGGTTCGACGGATTTCTCAGTGGAGTCGTATAATTTTGATGCGATTGTCAATGATACTAACCTGGTACACTTTGATCAAGAGGTTCAGCATGATGAAAAAGTTGTCATTCCATTTATTAAACGTGCCCTAGCACGACAACCAAAGCTCAAATTGTTTTTCACACCATGGAGTCCACCTGCTTGGATGAAACGTAAAACACTCACGTATACACCTAGTATGCTGAATTCAGCCAAACCCATTGGGTTAAAAGATGATGTTCGTGCAACGTGGGCACTCTACTTTTCAAAATTTGTTACGGCGTACAAACAACACAATATTTCATTCTGGGGACTTACGCCGCAGAATGAACCACAAGCTGAAGTGCCATGGGAGTCGTGTATGTACACGGCTGAGTATCAAGCTGAGTTTATTGGAAACTTTCTTGGACCTGTGCTAAAACGTGATCATCCTGAGCTAATACTAATGGTCTTTGATCACAATCGTGGCAGTGTCCGTCAATGGGCAGAAGAGATTTACAACCATCCAACGGCGGCACAATACGTGGACGGTATGGCTTTCCATTGGTACGATAACGAACGCTACATGGACGGTGTTGAACACCATACGCGTTTGAATGACACGCACTTTATGAATGAAAACCGATTTATGCTTGCTACGGAGAGCTGCAACTGTCCAGATGTAGGCCACGGTGATGTAGCATGGTTTCGTGCGCAGCGTTATGGACACGACATCATGACGGATCTGAACAATTATGTTGCTGGGTGGGTCGACTGGAATTTGATACTTGACAGTAAGGGAGGACCAAACCACTTGGCAAACTTTTGTGACGCCCCCATCATTCTCATGGAGGACGAAACGGATTTCTACATTCAGCCTATGTACTATTTCATCCAGCACTTTTCCAAGTATATTCCTGTAGGCTCACGCCGTGTCAAAACAAAGGTAGCATCAAAATTTGCTCATCCTGGCGACCCACAATTGTTCGTCGACTATCCATCGATGCTGGCTGCTTGCGACGGAAGCTCGCGTCAAAAGTGGCGTCCGACGGATGATGGAAAACTTGAAGTGACTGGCACTGGATTTTGCATTGATCTAAAGAACACCACATGGCAAGGACATCAAGGTCTTTTGGTAGATTGCAGGTACACGCAGCAGCACTGGATATATGAGATTGGGAGCGGCCGCATTCGCATGGGAGACTACTGCATCTCGCTGAACCACGGCTCGACTCAGGATGGTGTACGGATTAGCACCAATTTGTGTCAGAAAGAGGTGGTACCGCACCAGCAGTGGAGGTTCGACGCCAAAGACGGCACTATGCGCTCATATGCGTCGACGACAGACCAGTGCGTGACTGCCGGTTATGCTTTCGTTCAAGCCGCTGCCTTCGTGACTCCGGAGAACCGCAAAGTGCTTGTGGTGATGAATGAAAACACGGAATCAGCTGATTTCGAGCTGCAGGTTGGCGGCGTTGCACTAGAGACGACGGTGCCAGCTCGAGCCATTCGGACGTTTACTTGGGAGTAAGAAAAGTGTCGCGCTTTAGTGGTGTATCTTTTACGAGAAGTTGGAGGTTTATGGGCAGGTATGTAAGGTAAAGAAAATAAGAAAGTATAGACGTGAGCTATACTAACACTGTGTGCCAATGGATATTGTTATTAACGTCAACATTGCTGTCTATCTGCAGGATCAAGCGATAAGTCTCGCAACAGGTCATTCCAGAGATCACGATCGTACGGATCCACCTCGTTTCCATCTCCATTGCGTAATGGATGATACTCCTGCTCATCGGCATTATAATTCTCAGGTACCACAATCTGCATCTCGAGCGGCACTTTGCGCTTCTTGGGTTTCATCTCAAACACTTCAATTGCGTCTTTGAGATACTTTGCATCCAGTTCTGCTTTCGGCACTTCCTTCCACTGAAAATAGGCATCCAAATAGCGCATAAACTCGGCTCGGACTTCCGGTGCACGACGCTCATTAGCCAAGAAGATGACCGTCTTGCGATGCGATAAAGCGAGTATCGACTGCACCAACGGCTTTACACACGCCTTCTCGTACACTACATCTGCACACAAAATGCAGTCAATTGGTGCCTTCAGATTCGTCAGTGGCGTGCCCCTACAGACATACAATTGATGAGAACCTCTATTACAACGCCATAGTGACTGCAGTCAAGCAATTTGCCATCATACCAAGCGTGTTGCTCAACTCGGACGCGCTGTAGCTCCTGGTCCGTCAGATTTTCTCTTACATTGCGTCTTAGCCATGGAAGCACTGGTCCAATGTCCGTAAGCACTACATCGGTGAGACCAGCTGTGACAATTGCACTTGCAATACCTGCAAGTCCTCCACAACCAGCACCAAGCTCACAAATGGATGTAAAACGCTGGAATCTATCAGCTCGTTGCTCGATGAACTTGAACAAGGTCTTGCTGCTATCCCAGACAGTCGTTCCTAAAACAAAAGAGTCTGGATCTTGCTCCACGGACACAACTCGTGACTCGCCAATTGTTACTTCCATATAACGAGCCCAATGCGTAAACGATGTCTCAAGTGCCAGTGGCTCCGACGCAGTCAGCGCTTCTTCCTCCGCCATTGCCAAATTGTCAGGCACACGGGGATTTGTAGTACTTTATTTGTGTGACTCGAACCCGAGAGATCCACGATTGATAGTGTTCGTCTCAGTATGAAGCAAACTCAGTACTGGTGATCAAGACTGTCTCAAAAGCATTCGCTCTTTCCTGCAGCTGCTGCTGCTGCAAATTCAATGCTGACCATTGATCACGTATTCGTAACCAATTCTCAGATAAGTTGACGAAATAATTGTCAAAGGCTGATGTTTCAGAGGTTCCCACAGCGTGCAGCAATTGTTTTCGCACGGTGTTTACTGCAACTCATCAAATTTTGAACCCACCTTTGTCTTTCTTTGGCAACGTCGTCGTCCAGAGCGTGAATGTCGATGAAGTCGACAAGGCCAGGCAGTAGGTGCAATTTGTGTACGTAGGAACGTATCAAGATCAACATAACCCAACGTTTTTGCTCGTCTACGAGCTTCAACGAGACATCCTTCATTTGAATATCGACACGACTCTTTCAGCACTTGAAGTTCCCCGGTGGCCACAACATCCAGCAGTGTATTGTTCAACGGTGTGCAGTGTCGTCGTCCAAGCGCCCCGACAATCTCTGCATGTCCACATAACGCCGCTTTTGTCATTGCAAATGACGCTCTTGCCATCACTCGGTGTTGTTCAACACTCGTTCTGCCATGAATGAATGAAAAGAGATATCTCACTACGTCAATATGACCATGAGTCGCTGCTTGATCCAATGCCCTCGAACTACATCCTTCTCTTCGATTTTCCAATAGAAACTTCAATACATTGGTATGTCCTGCACAGGCCGCATCGTCTGCAGTCGTGCACGAAAAGCCCTGAAATCCATGCTCATGTAGCCATTTCATCTTCAGTAGCTCCCCGTTATATGCTGCCAGTCGCAATGCCCATGCTGTAACCTGTGTCTTTACATTCGAATGTACACGTATTATCCATTCCATCACCTCGGCTCCTCCCTTTGTATATCCGACTGCAATATCCATGAAATCCGTTTCAAACGTATACGAACTTGTCAAGTCCAAATGTCGTTCAAGCCATTGCAACATCTTTACATGATCAAAACGATACCGCACATCGTACGATACCGACAGATTCAATTGCTGGATTGTTGCAATCATTCAGTGACCATGACCTTGTCACGAGCTTCCATAGAGCGTCTAATACAGCAAAATCATTGCAAATAACCGCAAGTTGTGGCAAACGTCCTCTCAATGTCGACGGATATCTGCCTTCGAGACAAGGTTTATACCGCTGTGCACGTGAAAATTGCACAATAACAAGAGGTAATCCATTCATCAATGATACCACATGGCGAAACAATGATTTATTCGTTAACACCTGCATAAACGCCGTCTCAGAGCGTTCACGAGATGATGAGACGTCCATTTGTGCCATTTTCTTCATGGATTTTATCCAAATTGAAGTTAGATTTTATCGATTCTATGTAGTCCACACCATACGCACACATTATCACTTTCACCTATGACACTCGTCGCGGCTCTTTGGACGCTGCCACCATCGGATGTCCTTATCGCTAGCAGCAGTTGGTTCCTATGCTTTCTCTTTGCACGTTTCTTCTTTTCATGGTGGTTGTTTCGTGATTACGTTGTACGCAGTGCTGCCACACCACTTCTCTTTGCAGCATCACTGACGTTTTCACTCAGTATCTTTCAAATGGTGTTATTTGAAGTAATGGACGTGATGAACGTCCTGAGTCGGCAATGGGTTTGGAGAATTGATCTCATTGCCATGACGTATTTGGTCGTATTTGTACTACCACTCTCGCTTTTCTATGAACTCGCGAGAGAATATGGTTTGACCAAGAAACACGCTGCTGGGACCGCGACTGGGACGTTATTAGTATATCTTTATGGCTTTTGGAGACTTGGGAAAGTACTGGAACAGGATTTACCGGATCAATCGGTTGAAGGTGCGTCGAAGGAGAGAATGTAGTGAGATTTTGAGAGCATGGGAACATGAGATTGATATGACTGGGTTTAGTGACGATTGTTGATGGGTTTTACGGCATGTGTGCAGCTTTCTTTTCGATTAGGAACTTTGTAAGTCGAGTGAGTCTCCTCGGTGTAGTGTTCATGGCACTATTATCGGGTTTTGGAGCCGTAAACTGTCCTTATGAGTACATGACGTTCTTTTGGCGTCGAGTAGCAGAAGAGGACATTGAGTTTCTCGAGAAACGGCTGCGGCATAATCTGGATATTTTAATAGCAAAGAAGAAGCGGCTAATACTTGAGGTGAGAGCGTTGACAAGACGACAGGACGAGGCGATAGGTGGAAGCAGGAAAGACTCGTTGTTTTCACGAGCAATTTTCAACTTCTTCTCGTCCAGCAGCGATAACATGACATACGTCAAGGGATTAGAGGCCGAGATCTTGACACTCGAGAGTCTTGGACGCGAGCTGTTTTTGGAAGTAAATGACCTCCGAGATGTACAGGCTCGATCATTGCGTGCAAGCACGTTGCGGGGTCGTCTGTTCAACTTTTTCGGCTACGTGATGTCTGCCTTCTGTATGTATAAAATGGCAATGAGCACCGTAAATGTGGTCTTTAGAAAAAACCGTGACAAGGATCCAATCACTGATGCTGTCGAAAAGCTGTTGTACATCTGGCCGTCACTGGCGATGCAACTGAACATCCGCTTTGTGTCGGAGATAGCGTCACTTGGCTTTGTCGGAATTCTCGTTTTCACTCAGACACGAGGCTTTCTCGTGACGTTATTAAAGTTCTTCCGCACTTATTCGAGCACCGTATCCTCAAACAGCGTCGTGCTCTGGCTGGCGCATCTCATGGGAATGTACTTTGTCTCATCCTTTGTCCTTATGCGAATGAATCTCAGTCCGCTGCACCGGTACGGCATTGAGATTTTATTTGACCACAGACAGCTGCTAGTAGTTTGACAGTGTATTTTGTGCTTGATACAGTCAGCGGATTGACGAAGTGCTGGGCGAAATTGAGTTTAACGTGTTCCACCGGTATTTCGACATGATGTTCGTTATAAGCGCGTCCTCCAGCCTTGGGATATTGGCGCTCACCAAATTCTCCAAGGCTTCGCGCACGGCCAACAATGACTATGGCGCACACGACAAGTTTCCGTAATGAACCTCATTTTGACCTCGACACAGGTAAATAGATAGACGTATAGGTGCGCTGAGTCGGGCTGCTTAAATTATAAAATGGTTAAAGCAAACAAGTGTTCGGTCAAACCAGCTAGTCTTGAACGAAAGGAAAGCTCAAGAAGTCGTTGTAGAGCAAGGTTCCGTTGGCATCGTAGTGAGCAGCACGGTAGCATCGGTTGCAAAAAAACATGGGGTCCACCACTGCAAGACGGTCGCCATAGCACACAAACCTAGCGCTATAGTGTTGGCAGATCAAGCAGTTGCGAAGCGTACGATTCAGTGCGTTCGGCAGTCTCAACGGAAAAATGCCATCCTTCTTTGGCGAGTCAAGTTCATGTGGCAAACGTGCATCTCGGAGCCGCAACAAGTGTTCACACTCTCCCTGGTGAATATATACCCCCGGCACGTCGACATGCAATTCCAGATCAGCAAAAGTTGATGAGTGAAGGCTACTAGGCACGCTATCACCATCAAGAAATGTGCCAAACTTGGTCTGGCGCTCCGGCTTTGCTTGAATCCAGCGAACAATCTCCTTCGAGTAGTCCAGAGTTCCCGGAATGCGTCGATCCACAAAAAACTTCCGACCAAAGTACACAAGCTTTGACGCCTTTGCGTGCTCGCGTAGTCTTTCGTCATTTGCACACGCAATGAGATCTACAAGCTCAGAAATTCGTTGAGACCTTCGTACAAGAAAGGATTGTGTCCTTGCAGGGGATTTTGTCGGATGCAACACATCAAACCACAGAATCAAGTCGTTGTCCTTTGCAGCGTCATCCGAATTTTTCTTGATCTTGTCGGTCTTCAGCTTTTCCTTTATCTTCTCTACCGTAGCATTGTCCTCGGTTTTCTTGTCTATCTCCTCCTGCTCATGTACATCCAACATTGGCCGTGCAAACTCAAAACTCATCGCCGTGACCGTATCTGCAGCCGACCTTTTCTGAGCCAGTCGTCTCTTTTTGATCTTGAACGTATTCACAAACGTCTGTAATCGTTCACTCGGCACTCTCTCAGCTCTCAGCTTGTCAATATCCTCCAGTTCTCCAAATACAGCCTCAAATCTCACTCTCTCCTCCTCTAATTCTTTCTGCACCTTCTTTCGTTCTCTCTTTTGCCGATGTAATGCAGCAATTGCTGCTTTCTCCTTGGCCACTACAGTCGCTCTATCCATCACTTGTGGCTCTTCTTCTTCTTCTTCATATTCTGTACCCATCTCCTCTTCCTCTTCTTTCATTATATTATTCAATACTCCATCTGATTGTAGCGCTAAAGCAGCAATACGTTGATATTTCTTGACTTTTTCAGAATATGGTAGTGCTTTATCCGTTAACGCCGAGTCTCCTTCGTTCCAACGTCGTAAAGCACGGTAAATACCATTTTCTACCGCTTTTTCCAATGGTACCAATTGAATATCATCAACACTGATATCAACCGAGCACACGTCGCCGTTGTTGTCGTTATCTTGAGGCACAAGCGATGGAAAAAGCGCTTCAAAGTCCATGGGTTTGTAGCTAATTGTGGCCATGGAATGTATCGAGTTTGACAGGGGGGTTAAGCTTACCGTCGTGGCATTGTAACATGGCTACATGCACAATGCAACGATCAAATAGTCAACAATAGTAAACAATAGTAAACAATGTTTACACAACAACAATAACTTGGTACGTAAACATTGCAACGTGGGACTTGTTGTATCATTGAAGACACAGGACTGTATCGTGTCAATACTTCAAAGGTCTTTGGAGCTTTTGGAACCTTCCGACTCCATCAAGACTCGAATCTCGAAAGAAGTCTTACCGTTCATAGCCACTTCAGTTCAAAATTCAAGCCTTGTTGCTAGCGACAAGAGTGGGTAAGAAACCTGGTTTTGCAATGGCATATTTCTTTGTCGACAAGAGCCACCTCGCCTACTTTCTTGAAGCTTGGGTGACGTACTTGATTTTCTACAACAACATGGTGCCAATTTCACTCTACATCAGTCTGGAAGTGGTGAAATGGTATCAAGCACAGCAAATTGAGAATGACCCAAAGATGTATTGCACATCCACTGGCCGAGGTGTTACTGCACGCACATCAAATGTGAATGAAGACCTCGGACAGATCAAACACATCTTTAGCGACAAGACAGGAACGTTGACGAAAAATCAAATGCTCCTCAAAGTGTGCAGTATTGGTGGAATCATCTTTGACGGATCGAATATGCATCTTCGTAGAACAGAGCAAGGTCACAGCGACAACGTGGGTGATGTCAATGACATGAGGCTCAAGTTTGATTCAGCAGCTGGTATAAGCCGAGATGGAAGCGCAACTGGAAGACCGAAACCAAAGTGCGTAACGGTAACTAAGAAAGATGTTCGACCGCACTCTGATATGATAGAGTTTGTGAAGAACCCTTCACGGTTGTCAGAGAAAGAGATGCATGCATTGGAGTTGGCTCGACCGTTTTTTAGATGTCTACTGCTTTGTCATTCTGCCTCGGTGGCGATTGAAAAAAAAACCAAGCGACGAGACCGACCGACACAGTGCAATTGGTACACAAACTAATAGTGTAGAAGATACCATGCAAGCTGAATGCAATCGTCAAGGTAGCGAATGCAGCTCTTGTCAAAGTCGATCAACTGACGCTACAGACGCATTTTCTTTTGGTAAAGACAACCGTAAGTATTTCGGTTCTTCACCTGACGAAGTTGCACTCCTTAACGCTGCACTGGAATTTGATTGTGTGTATGAACGACGGGACAGAGATGTGATCCACATTCGTTTGTTTGGCAAACCCAAGTCATATCAACTGCTGGCAGTGAACGAATTCGACAGTACACGGAAGTGTATGTCTGTAGTTGTAAAGTGACTACATGGAGACGAATCGGACGTGGCTTTGGCCGATTCAAAGCTCAGAAAAACTCAAGACACCTCAGCACATGTGATGCCTTTATCGAAAAAGAATGTCAATGTAGAGGTTGAATCGTGGCTCCAAACCGAAAGATCATGATATCTTGGTATTTTCCAAGGGCGCAGATGCGGTGATGTTTGCTAATGCAAACAAGGATGAGGATATCAGCAAGTTGGCTCTGCATGTGCATTACTTTGCGGCCATGGCTTTACGCACTTTGTTGCTTGGATACCGTACACTGTCAACAGTAGAATATCTATCAATCGTGGAAGAGTACTTTTGACGAAGCAAAGACGGCTTTGTCCGATTAGGAGCACCAATGTGTCGACGTAGCTAAAGAGATTGAAAAGTCCACCAAACTACTTAGCGTCACAGGTGTCGAGGATGTGCTACAGGATGGAGTACGAGAGGGTATTTCTCAGCTGTCACTTGGTGGAATCAATATCTGGATGCTTACAGGAGACAAGGACGAAACTGCAATCTCTGTTGCGCAGTTGTGTGGCCTCATTGGTCCCAATAGCAAAATCATTATCATCAAGGGGAAGACCAAGCAAGATTGTCTCGATGAGATTTCAAAGGCTTGACGAAAACTAAAGCGAGATGATGTATGGGTCCCTGGAGTAGCTTCTCAGGACCTTTTGTTGGTTGTCATTGGAGAGGCATTGGAATAATTGCTTTCGGATGCACTTCCTGTCAGGAAAATGCAAGCTCAAGTTTCGCTCAATGACACCGATTATCACGTGAATGCCCATTGTACCCGCGCAAAATCACTAGACCAAACCTTCCACGACAGCATTATCGCGGAAGAACTAAGAACCGAGCAAGCCGTACGTTTTGATGGATGGATGTCCTCAAAACCGATTGGTGATTTGCCGATACCAGCAACTTCTAATTGTCGACCCGGTTCAGCTCGCGCGAGGACTACGGATACGAATGATGCTGTTCAATTGGCTCATGAATTGTTTCAGGAGCTTGCATCGCAGTGTAGAACGGTAATTGCTTGTCGACTTAGCCCCATGCAAAAGGCTCAAGTGGTTAGTTTGATGAAGGCATCTCCTGGTGCACTCCTCACATTTGCTGTAGGAGACGGCGGCAATGATGTCAGTATGATTCAAGAGGCTCATGTTGGTATCGGCATTTATGGACACGAAGGATTGCAAGCTGTCCGGGCTGCAGATTTTGCTATTGCCACGTTTCTTCATCTCTCTCGACTTTTGCTTGTGCATGGGCGTTGGAACCATCGACGAGTAGCTCGGGTTATCTTGTTTTCGTTTTACAAGAACGTGGCTTTGATCATGACGTTATTTCTTTACAACGAGTTCTCGGGACAAACAATGTACGAGTCTTACCTGATGGTTGGATGGAATGTACTGTACACGGTCCTACCGATTTTCGTGCTTGGAATCACTGATGAGGATATTCGGGATAGTGCTGTGCTTCGCTTTCCATTTGTATATCGAATATCTCTCAGGAAATGCGAACTAAGCATTCAACGACTGGGTGTAGCGGTCGTGAACGCGCTGTTTCATTCTTGTCTGGTGTTTTTCTTTGTGTCGAAAACGGTGAGTGGAGTGTCGTCAAAGTCAAGTCTTGCTAACGGCTTGTTTCCGGATGGAACTGCTGTCTACGGAGCATTGATAATCACTGTGACGTTAAAAGCTTCTCTCCACATGCAATGCTTATATCGCTGGACGCGAGCTCACTACATCTCTCTCTTTGGAAAATTTGTAGCCTACATTTTGTTTGTAGTGTCATACTCGCAAGCGTACCGAATATTTCCAGACTTTGACGTGTTTCGCGATTTCCACGGTCTAGCACAAATGCTTTCCACGGAGATGCTGTATTGGAACGTCCTCTTCTTCACATCTATTACTTGCCTCTGCGCTGACCTGGCTGCCATGTACTTGAAAAAATGTATTTGTCTTCAAGCAATGACATCATTCGTGAGATTGATAGTGGATTTGGCGATCACCCTGCTGTACTTGTTCGCAACACCGATAGCTCTACTGCCAATATCCATGCAACAAAGGTAGTCTATAGTTCATACGGTCGGTATGACGAGCGTCGATACGAAGAAGACGCAAGTCCAGGTGGAAGCAATCGATTGGAAAAAGAAAAGCTGACAGCGTTACTTCTCGAAGGCGAGTGAAGTCAACACTTTCGCGATTTTGACCAACCTTCCGAGTACGATGAATTATCGAAACAACTTGTCTCGATACAGCGTGATTTTGCTCGGGAGATTGAACACCTCGACGATTGCGTGCAAGAAGATTACGTGCATAGCTCACGAGCATTACGTCTGCAGCCACCCGTGCACCCTGTGACCTTGGAGTTTATGGGTGACGAACATCAAAGTTTTGAAGGGAAGTACGAAATCACATTTGCCTTTTGTGAGCGAAGTCGTGTGATGTTATGCTTGAAAGTGATGGCATTCATGACGCCACTTTATGCAGCTTACGAACTGTTGTGGGAACATGAATCGATGTACATTTGGATTCGCGTGGGATACTTTGTATGCGACTTGTTGTTCATGCGTTTTGTCCCGTACCAAGTACTTTGTTCAAAACTACCAGGCTGCGATTCTCTTGCCTTACTGCATCGTTGGAATGGTCCTTACGCTCACAATCTCAGACACGGGTAAATTGGCTGCTGCACTGTATCCAGTTGGGCTATTTGTGGTCATTCGCGTCAAGTTTCTTCATGCACTGCTGCTCTCACTGTACAATTTTGCCTTCTACATGCTCTCGGATCGACTGTGCTCAGTGAATTACAGCAACAGTGTCGATTTGTCGGATCGTATACTCTTTGCGCTCTACTTGGTGTTTGTCATCACTTTTGAGGCCTAGGCATGCTACTCGCTTCAGATCACCATGCGAAATGATTTCCTCCAGAGTCGATCACTTTTCATTGAACAACAGCGTTCTACCCGAATTCTCCAGAATATGCTGCCCGAACACATTGTGCAACGCATGCAAAAGGGTGATACGTTGATCAGTGAAGATGAACAGGACGTGACTATCTTATTTTGTGATATTGCTGACGTTGATTCCTTCGTGAACCGCTTTGATCCGACAGAAGTAGTGTCTATTCTTGATCGAGTGTATTCACTCTTTGACCAGATTTGTCAGAAACATGGTGTTCGCAAGATGGAAACCGTTGGCAAGACCTATGTGGCTTGTGCTGGTTTGCAAGGCAAGAATCAGGGCAGAGAAGCAGCATTTTGTGCTGTGTCAATGGCATTGGATATGCTAACCTGTCTCAAGAAATGTCGTGCATCGAATGGCAATGTCATCAAACTTCGGATTGGAATTCATTCAGGTCGTGTGGTTAGTGGATTGGTCGGTACTAAGAAACAACAGTTCTCGTTGTTTGGTGACACTGCAAACACGGCATCGCGCATGCAATCAACAGGTGTCACTGGGCGATGTCAAATATCGTACGTTACGTACAAGAACCTTGCCAAGCATTTTGCCTTTGAAGAACGGCACATTGATGTCAAGGGCAAAGGAAGTATGACAACGTATCTAGTAGACGAACCGATATCTGAAGTAGCAAAACTGTCGTTTGCCGGTCAGATAGACCTTGCGTTTGAACGTGGCTTGGTCTCCACGTCCTCGTTAATGATAGATGTACATCGTCCATTGGATTAAGATTTTCTCGTTTCAAGTCGAAACCGGATACTCCACTCGTCAAGACAATGCTGGAAGAAGTATAACCTGACTCGCATTCGGTTTGAAACACCGCCTGATCTAGCTTCATGGGGAGGAACGGACACAAGCAAGAGTATTAAGCAGCAAATGCTAACGAAGACCCAATTTATCACATGTGCTTCAAAGACGACGATATAGAAATAAGTACCTCGAACGTACATTATCTGACCGTGTCGACGGAGCACGCGCTACGCTTCTCTCTTTGGCAGCGTACGCTTTATTCACTTGCATGCGTGATCTCATCGTGAAATTGTTCTCAATAAGCACCTCGTATGAAGATGGCAGCCATATCTCGCCGAAGATGTACGCGATCCTATTATTGATCCGGAGCTCATTTGCAATCGTTGCGATATTGGTAGCCCGGCGTGTCCGCAGCAAATTTGTCCTCTACTCAGAGACGAGGCTTTGTAATGTGCTACTTGGGTTTTATCTTGTTGGGCTCCTCTCGTTCACTCTAGCTCAATCGCTTCTATGGGGACTCAGCTACGATGCGGACATCGACACGTCACCTTGCTATGTGGATTTGTGCTTGGACACAGTACTAGTGATGTTTGTCGTCTCCAACGGCAGATCTATATCGTACCGTCATGTGGTTGTATTCAACGTCCTCGCCCTGTTTATAGTGTCCATAACTACACTGGTGTCTCTGCAGAGGTATCACCAGGACGCTGCAAAGTTAAATTCCTGGTTCAAAACGGGCTACCCGATTGTACTTACGTACTTCTCAGTTGTGGCAAACATCATCGCATCACATAGTGTCAAATTCTTCACGCGGCGACAGATTTGGCTTAAGACCCGTACTCAGTTGGAGACGATGAATGCGGATCGACTACTGTACCAAATGTTGCCAGCTGCTGTCGTCATGCGGTTAAAAGAGGGAGACATGGTTTGCGACCAGCATCAGCAAGTGGGGATTCTGTTTTCAGACATCAAGGGGTTCACGTCTATCGCTTCACAAGCTGCCACAGCACAAGTTGTGAACATTTTAGCCTCACTCTTTTGTGCGTTTGATAAACTGACCGAGAAGCACGGGGTGTTCAAGATGCAGACCATCCGAGACGCTTACGTGATTGTTTCAGGTCTACCGTATGCGGACATGAGCCTGGATTCTGATCTAGTGGTAAATGTCGATATGTCGAATGCAGATACAGGGACGAGTAATGCACTAGGATATCTCAGTGACACTTTGCGAGGGTCCAGCATCAAATCATGGCCGCCTCGATTGCGACGTAATACATTGAGAAATAAAAAACACAAAAATCAACTGCACTTGCGGAGTCACATTCGAGATCTGCTTGCTATGGCCCGTGACATGCATAAGGAGGTACGAAAAGTACGAGACCGGTGAGCGATTGCAGATGCGGATTGGTATCCACATTGGTAACATCATTGGCGGCGTGATTGGAAAGACTACACTTTGTTATGACAAGTGGGGTCCAGACGCACTCACGGCCAACGAGCTCGAATCCAATGGTGTTCCCGAAAAGATTCTTGTAAGTTTTGTTGTGCAAGAAGTCGTCAAGGACATGCCCGATATTCGTTGCACACCCTACCGCACGATGAACTTTACTAACGTCCCTATGATGCCACCTATTTCGTCGATTTTGTTGAGCCCGATGGAAAAATTAGTGACAACAGCACCATTCTAGGAAGCGAAAGCGGCAAATGCGATACAGTTCGGCCAGCATCGCGCTATGGGACCTTGGATGAGAACAAAAGACGCGGAGAGAACCCAAACGTGAATCACCAAATAGTTATCCAGCTATCAAATCTTCGATAATTGATTGCATAATGAGAAAAACAGTGTTGCCTTGTTTCACGTCATTTGGAGTCGTCTCTTTGGTGCGTCTACACTACAACCATCGGAACCGCCACCACCAACCAGAATGTTTGGCAAAACTCAAGTGTTGCTCCTTTTTGACTACATTCAGGGATGCTGGTTCAAACAGGTGTTCGAAATGTGACTGCCTTTGACACCATCTGGGGCCTGAACGTACGTGATAGAGCTTTAGTGAGCATGTGCGGACGTCTGGATTCATCCAAGCCGACAGAATGGCTACCACATGAGAATGGCCAGCCTGAAGAGCAGCAAGGCGTGCGTCGAAGAGACAACCGCGAATCGAGCAGCGAATCAAGGCTTCCACACAATCTGCATTGCCTAGCGCAGCAGCACGCTCAAGCGCAAATTCATGTGGGCCTTCCTGTCTGTGTTCTCCAAGAAAACAAACAACGTCTGCATGGCCGTTGATTGCTGCGTTCGTCATAGCGTCCTTTGTACAACCCTCCACTCGATTTTCTTGCAAATATTTTACGATTTCTAGATGACCACCACTCGCAGCACTATCCATTGCAACGGTCGTACATGGTGCATTTCCCTGTTCATGCAGAACACGCATGATCTCCACATAGCCATTTTGACAGGCAGTATCCATGGCTTTGAAGCTGCAGCCATCCGAGCGGTTTGCCACTAGAAACCTAACAACGTCAAGGTGTCCTCTCCATGCCGCACCATCAATTGCTTTGGTCGTACATCCTTCCTTTCGGTTTTCATGCAAAAACGTGATAATGGACAAGCGTCCAACAAGTGCAGCACCGTCCATTGCATCCGTCGTACAACCTTCCTTACGTTGAGCATGTAAGAACTTTACCATCTCTAAATGTCCGCTGCGAGCTGCTTCGTCCATGGCTTTAGTTGTACAACCTTCGTTGCGGTTTTGATGAAGAAAGCGCACGACATCAAGGAAACCTCCAGCTGCAGCACCATCCATAGCGGCAGTCGTGCAGCCTTCTCTACGGGTGCAAGAAGTCGTCAAGGACATGCCCGATATTCGTTGCACACCCTACCGCACGATGAACTTTACTAACGTCCCTATGATGCCACCTATTTCGTCGATTTTGTTGAGCCCGATGGAAAAATTAGTGACAACAGCACCATTCTAGGAAGCGAAAGCGGCAAATGCGATACAGTTCGGCCAGCATCGCGCTATGGGACCTTGGATGAGAACAAAAGACGCGGAGAGAACCCAAACGTGAATCACCAAATAGTTATCCAGCTATCAAATCTTCGATAATTGATTGCATAATGAGAAAAACAGTGTTGCCTTGTTTCACGTCATTTGGAGTCGTCTCTTTGGTGCGTCTACACTACAACCATCGGAACCGCCACCACCAACCAGAATGTTTGGCAAAACTCAAGTGTTGCTCCTTTTTGACTACATTCAGGGATGCTGGTTCAAACAGGTGTTCGAAATGTGACTGCCTTTGACACCATCTGGGGCCTGAACGTACGTGATAGAGCTTTAGTGAGCATGTGCGGACGTCTGGATTCATCCAAGCCGACAGAATGGCTACCACATGAGAATGGCCAGCCTGAAGAGCAGCAAGGCGTGCGTCGAAGAGACAACCGCGAATCGAGCAGCGAATCAAGGCTTCCACACAATCTGCATTGCCTAGCGCAGCAGCACGCTCAAGCGCAAATTCATGTGGGCCTTCCTGTCTGTGTTCTCCAAGAAAACAAACAACGTCTGCATGGCCGTTGATTGCTGCGTTCGTCATAGCGTCCTTTGTACAACCCTCCACTCGATTTTCTTGCAAATATTTTACGATTTCTAGATGACCACCACTCGCAGCACTATCCATTGCAACGGTCGTACATGGTGCATTTCCCTGTTCATGCAGAACACGCATGATCTCCACATAGCCATTTTGACAGGCAGTATCCATGGCTTTGAAGCTGCAGCCATCCGAGCGGTTTGCCACTAGAAACCTAACAACGTCAAGGTGTCCTCTCCATGCCGCACCATCAATTGCTTTGGTCGTACATCCTTCCTTTCGGTTTTCATGCAAAAACGTGATAATGGACAAGCGTCCAACAAGTGCAGCACCGTCCATTGCATCCGTCGTACAACCTTCCTTACGTTGAGCATGTAAGAACTTTACCATCTCTAAATGTCCGCTGCGAGCTGCTTCGTCCATGGCTTTAGTTGTACAACCTTCGTTGCGGTTTTGATGAAGAAAGCGCACGACATCAAGGAAACCTCCAGCTGCAGCACCATCCATAGCGGCAGTCGTGCAGCCTTCTCTACGGCTAGTGTGTAAGAACGTTACAATGTCAAGGTGTCCACTACGTGCTGCACCGTCCATAGCAGCAACAGTACATCCTTCTATTCGTCGAGTATGTAAGAACTGCACAACGTCCATATGTCCGTTTTGAGCAGCGCGATCCATGGCAGCAGTAGTACATCCTTCTGTCCTATGATCATGTAAATATTGCACAATGTCTAAATGTCCGTTTGCCGCCGCACCGTCCATAGCATTTGACGTGCACCTCCTGAACGTCGGATCTTGATCAATTTTGCTGTCGCATAAAAACCTCAGCGTCTTTATCTTTCCCATGGTCGCTACGAAATCGACAAATCTCGGGTCTTGGAATCCATTCGTTGCTACTTTTTTTCTCCTTTAAATACATCAACACTGGTATACTTGCTTGACTCAAATCTTGTGCCGTTACGTCCATAAAGGCCACATGTGAATACTTTTTTACCACCCATTGAATAATTTCCAATTCCAATCTCGATTCAAACAGGTTGGAATATTTTACCGCCCATGTTAATAAATTACTTGCAATCTTAGCACTCTCTTCTTGATTTGGTTCAGAGTGTAACGTCCCCGTCTCAGCTACATACTGCAGCATCTTGACATGTCCATATTGTATCGCATACTTCATACTAAGCGTCTGATTCCATACAAGCTCTGGACAGCACTGAAATCTCTTGGTACGTGATAATTTCGTCAATTGATGCAGCATTTCAATGTCTCCACGTTCAATTGCAGCACGAGGTAAAGCACCAAGGATGGACCAGGAGACGCCTTGATTCTTGTGCTGAAACTCCGTCACTAGTGAGAGTATGGAGCCTGGAATACCGTCAATGAATGACATGATTAGACGAAAGAGAGATTGATTCGTTAGTACGATGAAAGCAGCAGTACGGATCGTGGTAGAAGCTAGAAAAGATGATGGACATGAGACCATGGAGCTGCTGGAATAAATTACCATTTGGACGTGTTGAGGTAAAATAAATTCGCAGTATACTTTCCAAACGCATTGATAGATTTCAAACAGTTAACGAGCACTTTTTGGAGACTCATCATTTTCATGCGACGTTTTGCACTTGAGTTGCATTTAGTATAACGCAACTTCCGTAATCGGTAACTTTCTGCAAAACCGATACCAAGTAGTATGTACCCATTTTTAGTAAAAGCCTTTCGATTTGCACCCCTTAATAAGAGCATTACGCGTTAAACGACCAGTATGCACATTAGCTTAATGGAAAATGAAGTAGCGCTTCGTAGCTGTCCAAGTTGTCCATCATCATCATCGTATCCGTCTACACCTACAGAAGAGCCTCCAAATCTTATTACTCAAGTACAGGATGGACCAGAACAATTTGATTTTCACCAGTAAGACCACAAGCAAAGAAATGACGTTATCGTGTGATAGGGCAAGAACCCTAATGTAATATTGCAATATTTTTATTGTTATTATTGTTGCTATTATTAGGTCTTTTGGATGTATGACTGGACGGCGACTACAACGTCGATATCGAGGTGTGTACCAGAAATATTCAGTCATGGCACAACTTATTACATGGGGTATTGTGATCTACGTTATGGTGGTCTTTGCAGTCCTTGCTGTGAATAATTCTGGTAAGAATATCATGTTAGGGTTTATCTTGTTATTTTTTGCAACCTTGAATTGTTAATGTTTGTGTAAATGTCATTTTTCAGCAGATACAAGTGAACAGGCTTCACTGTCAGATGGTGTTTTCTACTTTGCAGTGATTGCATTGGCCTTATATCTTCTCGTCAAGTTGGCATTGATCATTAGATGGATAATCTACTGGATTATTCTTGCTGAATTGCTGACGTATGCAATCACTGGCAATTTATACGTCTTGTTCTGGATTGATGACAATGCTGTGACGGACACGGATCGACAAGTGCGTTATATCATGGTCATCGTTCTCGTTCTCGTGGAAATTCTCACGATCGTCACGTATTGGTTTACACATTATGCATACTTGCGGATGGTGCTTGACGAGAAGTTTGATCTTCAAGATTGGTGGAATATTAAACCCGGTATCGAGACCAACACGTTGACATATCGCTCCAAAGCACGCTTCTATACACGGAAGCGCCATGTCATAAAGTACCGTGGAGGATTGAACGCACAGGGTCAGCCGCACGGATACGGAATGTGGACCGACACGGGCTATCATGGCGAGAAACTGACAGGTCAATGGGAGAATGGTGTTCCTATTGGCCCATTCCGCAGTTTTGAGCACGGAAGCGGTTATTCATTTGTGAACATCCGTGTCGGGTTTTGCCACAATCGAGCCGAGAAAGGATCTGCAGATATTTTCTTTCTTCCACAACACTCAGACAACGGCTTGAACTGGGGTGTAGCAAGCGTGGAATGCTCTGTGTCAGGTGGATTCTTCAAATATTTGCCTACAGTGACGCACTTGACGCCGTCATATGTGAATGGTGCTCCGCGGAACGCGGCAGAATGTCTTTCTGTGCTACGGACTCCGACGGATAATGTTGTATTCAGCCGCAATGGTGCAGAAGCTATGTTGCAAAGAGAACCTTACAGAAAGGAGGTCTCTATGCGGCATGTTTTTCGGGAAGAATCTGCACCTGTGCTTAGTGTACCTAGCAGAAACGATGACGAAAGTAAAGAAGCACTGGTTCTACTGCACGGCTACAACTGCTCTCTCGACTACGGTATGAATCGCCTCGCACAGCTTCTCGCGCTTGGAGACTTTCCGTCATACATTCATCCTTTTGTGTTCAGCTGGCCTAGCGGGGGTGTGCTGGCGTATTTCCAAGGTGAGCATGTCTGCATTACTAGTGGGCTGATTAACTTTGCAACCAACGTATTTCAATTCGTGTATGTGTAGCGAAAAAGATTGGTAGCGAAAGCGAACGCACATCGCATGACTTCATTTTGTTTCTGAAGAGCCTGATTGGTACCGGCTACACAAAGCTGAACATTATTGCACATTCTATGGGAGCGCGTGTTTTCTTTGGTTCCCTTAACAAAGGGCTTTTCGAAGAGGTTTTCATGGTACGCAAGGCATCTACTTGCTTGTGGATCAAAACCCGGTTTGTTACATTTCACCAAACACTCGAATCTCTCTTATCAAATTTTGCCAGGCTGCTGAAAGCGTTTCAAATATGGATATTTCCACAAGCAAAGCAGAGCTCTCAACACTCATTCTTTGTAATCCGGATTACGACCGAAACGAATTCGTAAAATACGGAGGAGGGTATGACCGCGCGCGCCACTTTTGCAATCACATTACACTGTACGCGGATAGTATGGACGGTGCTTTGTTTTACTTGGAATATCTCTCGAAAACGTCGATCCTGGGTCCGCTTAATTACTCTTTAGGCAGGCGTGGACATATGATTCATCGCGACCCGAAGGACAACGACGTTGCAGGGCGATTGGATACACAGTTTTTCAACTGGCAGAACAAGAATTTGGTCGTACCGCAAGATTTAGACCTGGCGTACGCAGCAGTGAACCACCGTGCGAACTACCCTGGCGTGACATCATTTGCGTACAATCGCAGTCGAATACACCCAAGTAACGATGAGTCTAGACCCTCGACACGGTGTGGCAAGAATGATGACGAACTCTTGTTTCATTACTTGGACATGGATGTGATTGACACGACGTGGATGGACAACAATGTGCACTCAATCCGACATAACTATTTCAACCTGAATCCGACCATTGTACGTACGCATGACCGACGATAGTATCAATTGCTTCACACTTGTTGTTTGCTGTCTAACATTTGAGTGTATGGTTTATAGGTAGATGATCTTCGCCATTTGATCGTACATAAAAACCGTGCAAGTTGTCGTCCAGGTCTATTAAAAACCACGTCGGCTGAGAATGTCTACATTTTTCTAGTCGCACCGTCACACGTGAAAAACAAGTGATCAGGTGACAAAACCATCAGGACAGAATGTTGTGTCGTGGGTACAGAAGAAAAAAAAAGTGTCCGAACAGTTTGCACGGTACCATTCGGACTTAGTAGAATCCGTACGATACCGTGTATTATTTACTACGTAAGCGACGGTCAAAGCGTCTGCGGACAGGAGGATTGGTATCGTCGCTAGCGTCGCCCCTACAAGCTACTTACTTCCATTTTATCTTGTCTACTACATACTCGTCTTTGCTATCGATCTCATATCTTTTTACTCGTTGAAACGCTTTGTAGACGTCACAATTTGGTACTTTCGTGGTGTATCTGGCTTCCATACTAATGCGACGGTCCTGGAGGACGTCCATGAGCTCTCAAGATGTTCAGCAGTCTCATGCTATCAAGAGAAAGGACGTATGTATCCCTCTTGTGATGTGGAATGAACCTCCACAAGTGGAAGTGTCGACTCTGCATGTTCTTCTATTGCCAGTGTCTCAACCGAGTCAGAATTCTTCGTGTTTCTTGGCCAAGCAGGACGACAAGAAGATGACGATTGAGGTGGATGATTACATGGAAATTTGCACTGAAATGTGTGTATTTGCAGGGACAGTAGACGGTGCTATTCTCTTTTGGAGGTTTGAGCAGGATACTGTCGCACAAGTGAATATACTCGTGTTTCCAAGAACTGAAGGAGCAGGAGAACCAGTTGTGGGAATTGTTAGTGGTACAGACGAGTGGGGACAGAGTATGTTGATTTCTGCTACACGGGATGGAGCATTGGCAAGGTGGCAACTTCCTAATGGAGCTTGTGCTGAAGCCAATGCTTCACTGGCAAAGGAGTTGGCCCCACTTTTGGGACTCGAGATGCTCTGCAACAAACGATTTACGGTTGTCGTGAGTGAGGAGTCGAGGCTTATGGTGCTGGATACGTGGAGGATGCAATTGCTGTACTGCATGGACACAGCACAAGAGCAGATTCGACGGAGTATTGCCGTTGGAGAACTGCCAATGTCAAGACCAAAGTCGTTAAGGCCGAGGGTGGCCAGGGTGACAAGTGGTTTGGATCGAGAGCCAAGTTATGGAAGCGAAAGTGTGAATCAGGCGAACATCAGCCCGTCAGCCAGAGAACGGATGTCTCCGTCTCCATCATCTCTTGCTAGCAACGCGCCAGACACAAATAGTTTAGCAGATTTTATTGCGTCAAGTGCAGCAGCAAAACAACAAACTCAACATTGGGATGCAGTGGTGCTTTCTTTGGGTACTAAGGGACTTGTGAAGTGTTACTTGTGGCAGCAACCCAGGAGATCATCGAGTGGCACGTCGTTTAATGTAGCTAAAGGTGATGGATCTGCGAGTACTGCATGGGGACCTTGTTGGGTGCACCGCAGCAGTTGGGTCATTTCGTGGGCTGATCAGGCGGAGGACATTACGTGCTCGCAAAGTACATCATTGAAAGACGGGGACAACATGAATCCGCAAACTGCTCTCATGGGCTCTATTGACAACAGCTATTTTCCACTCTCTGTGAAGATATCTCGAGATTCATCTCTCGTACTTTTAATTTGGAGAACGAAGTTTGTCGTGCTCAAGCGCAAATGGTTGTGTCCGCTAGAATCACGCGGCGACAGCCAAGCAAAGAGCGAATCTTTTAGAACGCTCAGACCAACTACTGGGATTGGAAGTTGCCGCATTACTCCGGCAGCGTTTGTTAGCCAGGCAGCTTCTACGTATGGTAGTATACACCCCACTTTGTACAATGCAAGTGACAATTGTGGAAGTATTTACTGGGAAAATGGCGAGTTTTTGGAAGACGGCAACATTGTATTGTGGACCAACACGGGACATGTTTTTCAATTTATATCACCTGAAACGTCTGGAAATCCTGGTGGAAAGTTTTTTATTTTCACGAAGGATAAAGATCAGCTGGTACCACGATCTGACTCCAAGTCGCTATGTGTTATTGCTAAGGCCATGTATATTACGTCAACGGATCGCTGCAAATGCTGCAATCGGCTTGTGCACAAAGGCAAATACTTACACCCGAAGCCGAGAAGGGCAATGGGTTACCTAACAGGGCAGCGACAAGATGCAGGATATACGTGTGTAAATACTAGTTCTTTGCTATCAGGATTGCAGATTGTGCACATGTGCCATCACGGAACATTGGGACATTGGACGATGCCAGCATCCCCTATGTCGTCTTCAACGCGCATATCTCAGAATAAGAAGAGCAGCATTATCGCAGCCAGTGCCCCGTTGGTCGAACGAGTGCGCTTTCACTCGCTGAGTGATGGATTTGAAGCCACGGAAGAAGCTACTCAAGACGAAAGCACTGATAAGGGAACACAAGATGAACCTCGACTTCGATGCTGCTTAACACACTTCATTATTGGAAGGGAGGAGACACGTTTGTCTTCGACATTTGAAGTAGTCCGGCGAGCTGGGATGCGTCGCAATCGCCGGCAAGGACTTGGTGATGTATCAGTAAACATAAGAGGAAGTGAGTTGTCAAGCACAGGCACTTCAGCGGTAGCCATAGCTAGCAGGCTGGCCACTGCTTTGACAGGACGAGGAAGGCCCCCAGGTGTTGGGGATGAATCTTGTCAACTAGAAGCCGATGGTAGTAAGCAAATGAAATCGGAGCACTTGGATTATTGGTATTTGCTGGACATTCCTATTATTGCCAAGGGGTTCACAGATGGAATGCTTCACATCGAATTACTGAGCCAAGATCATTTGTCAAGTACAGCTCAGGTGTCCGCAAAAGATACAGCAATACAACTATCGTGTCATTCTGGGCGAGTGACAGCACTAGCGCATTGCTGTTGGGAAGTTAGAGCAGCCTCAATATCTTCCTGCGGGGTTGCTTCTCCCACTAGTGCAAGCCAGGTACATTTTGCAACGGAGAAGAACCCTTTTTACCAGTCTCGCTTTCGTAATCCTTTGTCAAAAAGAAAAAGCAAAGACGGACTAACGAATACTAACACTAGCAATCACACATGTCGAAGGTCATTGACGATAGAAACTTCCGGCAGCTCAGAACCAAACAATGGGTCGTCCTGGGACAAGCAGCCTTCGATCACATTTATGCTTTTTAGTGGTGGCACAGACGGTATCCTGCTTGTAATCGAGCTTATTCTGTACCGTTCGGCTACTACTAATGACGAGGCAAACGGCTTTGTTCGGCAGAAAGCAAAAATGTTGCAAAAGTTTCGAAATCACCGCGGAGCAATCCAGCAGATTAGCATTTCGCCGCTCAAGAATGGCTCTGTTGATGGTCCTGATGGAGACAATCTGGATACGAAGTACCCTGATAGATTGGTTGCAACATTGGGGGTCGATCACAAAGTCGTCATATATGCTCCTCAGTACTCGCGACACTCTTCATCACGACAGCCAAGTGTCTGCAATACACAAGAGAGACGTAGAGACGATCGGTATAGTGTTGAGTGGAGGTCCGTGCTAGAGTTGTCGGAGCATGCTGACTCAATCTGCAGCCTAGTCTGGCATCTAGAACGGGGTTTAGTCCATATTGAATGCAATGATCGGATGGTGTACGTTTGGAGCACCGACACTGGCATTCTGGAGCGTAAAGTTCCGTATGCGCTAATTTACGGTGGTGGACATAATGTATCAGGTGAAAGCGCGAGTGACGGAGCAAATGGTATCGGCTGCTCTGTTGTTGAAAACTTCACTTTATATATTGGCAATACAGCCGTGCAAGTCATCGAGTTTGGCGCACTTCGAAGCGCTGAGCAACTCAAAAAGAATTGGTTAAGTTACTATATTTCACAATTCCAGAGCAGCGACGCAGTTGTCAACGGCTTTGAGACCAAGTTTCAGTCTTCACGAGCTTCTATATATGCAACGGGCTCCATGGAGCTATTTATGCTCTCGCTGCTGCTGTCATGGGGTGTCACGCCTGCCATTGATCAGTCGTGCCACGCCATTTTGGGAATCAAACCTGTACATGCGCTTTACTCGTGTGCACTGCAAGACTATACTTCGGGAGCTTTGACAATACCCGTTCCATGGTCAATGCCAAAAGTCTTACCTTTGCCAATTGGTCACTCTTCAGTAGCTGTTGCGAGTAAGCCAAATAATTTGGTGATGCCTGTTGTACCTGCTTTTGCACGAAACTGGCAGCATTCATCGGCTTTGTCAGCTAGCATAGCACTGGGCGTTTTATCATTTTGTATGAGCTGCATGGAGTTTTCACATCCCAAGGCTGGCAACGGTATCATGTCGCCCGCTAACAGGGAAGAATTCCAAGTGTTGTGGAGTCAGTTAATCACGCAGCATTCGGTTGTATTACCAGAGTGTGTAGCTCAATTTCGCGAACCGGCTCTCGAAGAACTTGCAGTTTTTGGATTCGACTCTTGCGAGTACACTCAATTGGCGGCACGTACACTATTAAGTGGCGTGATTAAGCGCCTTCCTGCAGCAGAGCGAATCATACTTTCAGCAGAGTATTCGGCAAAACTTCATTGGGAAATCGTCCGTTTGGAAACAGAGCTTGGTACTTCTTTTCTAGGGAAAGTTAGTGCGGGTGGAAACAGTGGTGGTGCAGCTTCAAGCTCTCAGGCAAGTAGCAATAATGTCACCCGCGGAAGCAGCAACAGTGCCAGTGCGGGCTCCGATATAGAAACGACGGCGTTCACTTTAGTGGTGGAACGTCTTGGCTCGCTCGTGCTCCTCACGGGTATGATCGGCACGTATTTCCCTGGTGAGATATCACCAGCTGGTGCGCGTGAAGTGTGCGACATACTCGTGTTCCTTCTTAAAGCACCGGAACGGTTTGTGGCATCGGTGGCAGCTGAGCTGCTTACGAAAGGACTTATGTTGTTCAGACCGCACCTTGTTGACTTGTCTTCACTAATTATCCAGCTTTTGATGATCAATTTGCGTGAGAAACAACGCAGTGCCCAAACTAAAGAAAGCGAGGAGGTTTTATGTGGACCAGGAGGATCTCTTGCCAATTTTTACGATGGTGGAACTGGTGGAAGTAACGCGGCAATGAATTTGCTGGTGGAGATCGGTGCTTACGAGTCGGCTTTTGTGCTTGGACTGCTGCAACAAGAGATGCACAATCATGACCGCCCACCTGGCTTTCACAAAATCATTTTGTTGTTTGTAATGGAGCTTGTCAACACCCATTACCTGCTCATGTGTCGACATTTGCCAGCGTTCGTGGATACAGTTATGGTGTGCTTGGACCCGACAAAGCCTGAACGTCGTCGCCGTTGTTTATCACTGAGTACTCGCTGTCTCCACAGCCTTGTGCAACGGTTTCCAATGGTAGATTTCCACAAGGATACGCAGCGTTTAGCATTGGGAACAATGGAGGCTGTGATTGTCATCTACGATCTACGCACAGCCACGAAATGGCGTGTTCTGGATGGCCACATGTCAGCTGTCTCTGCTGTCCGCTTTCGATCCGATGGACACGTTTTAGTGTCGTATGCAGCTCGTGACGGCAGTGTTCGGTGGTGGAATAGTGGCAATGCTGGTTTATTTGGTGGTATGCTCAAGATGCATCAGTCTTGTCTCAAAGAGCACAAATTAGCAGCATTGACGGAGAGTTCAAATGGTGGTGCACCTGTTTCAACGGGTGGAGCAAGTGCTGGACTCAAGCAAATCATTCAGACGTGCCGTTTTCATTTTCTTATACGTAAAGACAATTCTCATGATGGTAGAAGCAATACGAATCAGTCGAAATGCATTTTACGTCTCACACGTGAAGATGCTAGTCAAGTGCAGTTTTTGCTGTAACACTGCAAGTTAAACCGTAAATACCGAACAATGTATCGGTATTATTTCGTGCTCTGTCTTTCGACTTCCAATGTCGCGTCCGAGTATATTTGCCCCGTTTCGCCTGCTCCCCTCTCAAACTCGATCCTATCATTTTTCCAATTCATTTTAAAGTTAGAATCAGAATTCCACCGACGATGGCACCGCATCGACAGAATGCTGCTACAATCAAGGCGAAAGGATCGACCCACCGCAATGCAGATGAGGAAGCACTTCAAGCTGCACTTGAAGAGTCACTTGAGTACATTTTCTACTCGAAATTTCATGTCAAATTGCGTTAAATTTGCGTCTAAACTCTCTTGATATCTCTTTTTTGTATCAGATCGGACTTTATGGTTGAAATATTACAGTCAGAAGACCATCAACGACGGCAGCAACACGAAGAGGATGATACAAATCGATTGGAGCTTCGAATGGGTTCAAATGGGCAAGAAATGGAGCAGAAACAACAAGAAGAAGACAGTGAAGTCGACGAGGAAGACCAAGACGAGTCTAGGCCTTATGCACGTGCTTTTAATGCCGTAGCAACAGGAAAAGACGATGAGAAGGAGGAGGAAGAAGAAAAAGATCCGAACGACGATCATAAATTGCTAAACTTTGCCGATTGTTTGCTTATTGACATTCTCAAGTGGCTGGACGAAGATACTGTTGGTGCGTGCTTATGCACGTGCAAAAGACTGCTACATGTGGCTCAATCAGAGATGATTTTTGAAGCACTATGTCGACGTATCTTCCTGGTGCAGAATCCAAGAGCTGCGGCAGCGGCTGCACGCAACAAGTTTGGACTGCGTCGCTTCTCAACGTGGTTTGACATGTTCCATGACAGACCACGAGTGCGATATAATGGATTTTATTGGCTCAAGGTGTCATACTACAAGAAGCCAGAGCTGAGCATGTGGACGGATGTTTTGCCAGGCACGATCCTTAAGTGCGTTTATTACCGCTACTTTTCGTTTCAAAGGGATGGCACCGTGCTGTATGGCATGCTTTTCAAAGCACCGCATGAAGTCGAGTCTTACATTCGCAACCGACGCAAGGGCGTCTACCGGGGCACATTTTACGTCGACAAAGATGCGGTAGTGGTAATGGTGCCTACCAACTGCAATGAAGTTAACTTTAGACTGAAAATCACCCAACGTGAGCGCGGTAAAAACGTAAAGCTGGTGTTGAAAGAGCACTTTGCTAACTCAGAGCCCAACGGCAGCGGTTGGTTCAACTACTATGATACAGCGGACGAGGAGTTTTACTACTACCGTTCATGGAATCTGTGATACTGCTAGGTGCCTGAAAGTTTAGCGGATTGATACAATCCGGCTGCTCACTTCATGTGTGAATATTGACGAAGACAGCTTGTTGCAGGTTACTTGCTGCAAGCAAATGTATACGCAAGCAAAGAGATGTCAAATTGCGTGTGTTTGCTATGCATAATTGCTACGTTGGTAACGAGATTGCGTACTAAAACGAAGAGATGAAGCTTGACAATTATGTGCAACAAATAATGCGCGCGTGACCAAACTCCAAGAGTGACAAGAGTGAGAGAGCAGCGGTAACAATGGAATAAATTGCAGTCAATCACGCAACTACAAGCAAACAACCTGTGTGCTGCTGCGCTCATTCACACCACAACGACAACTAATCGAAAGGTTGACAACCCCATTGCCAATGAAGTCGTCTTTGCGTTTCACTGTACCGGATAATCAAACTGGAAAGAAGTTGGTGATTCCATCTGCAGTATGATGTAAATAAGCTTCAGTGTTTGGTTCAAGAAGAACACGAGGTAAATTTGGCAATCGTTATGGCAGCAACATCTCTAGTGCATGCGACTCAAACCATGATTGATTTTGTCCGTATCAGCTAGGGCAGTCTGTGCAGTGAACGAAAGTCTCAGTAAGATTTTGTGAGATACATCCTTGGTGTATCACTACAGACGCGTGCTCACTCTCATTTCAAGCGTTTAACCTGCTGGTTACTATGTGTACGAAGGGCTCTCAAACAATGGACCACGTTTTTGCTTTTTTTCTCGCTCGACCTCATGCCGTTGACGCTGACGCAGATCCACCGAAAGCTTGATAACGAAGCTATTGTACAGCGACGTTGGTTGTTCTGGAGAGCAATAATGGCAAGGAGACACCTATGTGTATTGTAACCGCGGCAATATTTGACCGGGGACGCTACTTATATCCTTGTATTCTGATCTTGGTGGTGGTCTACTCCATTACAGTAGTGCTTAAATGCATAGCCTACTTTTAAGCTCTTTGAAAGATTCATCGTTGTTACTTGAATTTGCCAGCGTCATCAAAGCCACCCACACTTCCGTTTCCACCAAGATGTTTGCTGAATCCGCCCATGCCGGCGTTAAACTGACGACGAAGACGTAATTGGCCGGCACCATTTCCTCTTCCGCCACCAATCTAGCCGCTCCAGCTCCAAGAGCGCCAGCACCAGCAATACCGGCTCGACCTCTAGCTCCTCTAGGGGTAGCTTCTAGGCCAACTGGTAGGTATTGATGGAGCGAGCGGGAGTCACACGATCATCATTACTCATTCTGCCATTGCCTCCTTACGTTGTACCAGCATTGCCGACCCCTGTAGCGCTAGTCATGATCCATTCGTCGTCGTGCAAGTTGGACTGAACGCATCGCCGTTGCCATGATCCGCGCCGAATCGTTCACGGCACGCAGCATTGGACCATGCGCATAGCGCCGGTTTGGGCGGTAACCTCCGCGTGAAAAAAGCGTGACCATTGATGAAAGTTTATAATGTGATTGCGAGTGGTAGTCGGGGTTGACATGCTGGTCAAAGAGACTTGGGATTGAAGTGGCTGGTGCAGCGAATGCACCAAAATAGAAGAGTTTGTAAAAAAAGCTGCATGGCACGAGCTTGACGTTAACACCTACAATTCAACAGAGTCACGAGTCTATGTGAGATCATTTGATCAAGAAGGCTTCAATCGCTCGTTCCTGACTATTTATCCACCGTGTCATCTTCGTTATTGAAGCATAGTCGTTTGGCATCCATCTTCATCTTTGGACTGGAATGGAATTAGATTGGCAACGTAAGGAGTTGTGACAAGTACTCAGAACTTGAGAGTGATCTCCCGATACTACAAGAAACCTGCAAGGCATGCTACAGCTGAAGGGTGACAACGTGTGGTAAGCAGCACAAGTAACGGTGAGGAGCCAAATGCTGAGTACATGTATGCTTTTTCGTATGAGATGGAAACTAGCAATGACATCCAGCTTGACTTGCAGAGACAGAATTTGAGTAAACACGTCCTGATCCTGAAAGCAAGAAAAAACACCCATATACTTGACAGTGCAGCTATAGCCCACGGATCGTACCGAGTAGATTAAGATATCGCAAGATATTTATGTTGATGGCTTGAGCTGAATGCAGATTGGTTGCGGTCACATGACGAGTCCATGTAAATTAAGATCATAGTACTCCATTGCTATATAGAGCTCTGCGTTTTCTTCGACTTTGTTATCAATTGAATCACACTTGTAGTCATTAATGACTCTAGGATTGCAAAGGTGTTACAAGTGCTCAACACCCTAGACCGGATATCGTAAGAGAAGCGGAATGCGTGATTGAGGTGCTTGAATTGCTGTATAAGAAAAAAAGTCGCTTAGGTTGTTGTCAGCGAAGGTAAAATGGAATTGCCAGTCGACTTGATGTTGATGGCGATTTCCAGAGACTAAGACGGAGGCTAAGATAGAAAGAACAACAAAATTAAGGCACTGGTAAGCTTTTGTAGCGGTGTCAATAGTACGACGAATGCGGCCACCTTGACTCTCATTATCGAATTGTTGGTCTCAATCTCAAGCTCTTACCTACACTCGCTACGACAGCACACTTTGAACCAAGCAAACACTCATAACCAACATGGCAACTCGACTCGCACTCGCAATCACGGCATTGACTTTCATCAATGGTGACGTTTTTGCGCAGAGACCCCGCAGTGCTATTGAAATAGGTCCCACGATGGCGCGTGGCCGCGAACAATTTACCGCGGGAATTGGCAACGGAATTGGTGGTGGAATGGGTGGCCTGAACGGAGGTGGCAACGGATTTGGTGGTGGAATGGGCGGTCTGAACGGAGGTGGCAACGGATTTGGTGGTGGAATGGGTGGTGTGAACGGAGGTGGCAGCGGATTTGGTGGTGGAATGGGTGGTCTGAACGGAGGTGGCAATAGATTTGGTGGTGGAATGGGTGGACTGAATGGAGGTGGCAATAGATTTGGCGGTGGCATCGGTGGCGGTATGGGGGGCTTTGGTGGCGGCGCTGCAGGTGGTGCCGGAGGCTTTGGTCAGTTTGGCGGCGGTGCTGGTGGCTTCAATCAAGCGGGTAACAACCCTGGGCAGCTCGGTGCTGGCGGCGCCTTTGGCGCTGGCATCGGAGCAGCAGGAAATGGCGCTGCAATCAGCCCGCCTGGCAGGACCACAAATGGGTTTACGACTAGCGCTCGAGGTGTCGGTACTGCTGGTACAGCGACAGGAGGCGACGGCAGAATCAACAACGACGGTCCTGCGACTCCAGCTCCGACGATGCCTGTCCGTAGACCTATCAATGGTGTAGGGGGTTGCCTCCGGAGGAGGAGACGGAGGAGGTGCCGGCGTTGCTGGTGCTGGTGCTTTTGGAGCTGGAGGTGGCGTCGGCGCTAGCGGTGCTGGTGCTTTTGGAGCTGGAGCTAGCGGCGGTGGATTCGCTGGAGCTGGTGGAATTGGCGGAGGTCAATTTGGCGGAGTGGGAGGTGCCGGCCAATTTGGAGGTCCTGGTCGTCAATTCAGCGGCGGAATGGGCGGACCTCTTAGTGGCAATGGAGGTGTGGGTGGCTTTGCCGGTGCTGGCGGAAGTGGGGGGAATGAACGGTGGATCGTTTGGTGCCGGAGGACGTGGAGGTTTTGGTGCTCAAGGAAGGTTTGGATCGGGAGGCGCGTTCGGTGGCATGTCTGGTCAAGGTGCTTCTGTTGCTGACAACGGCGCGATCAGTAGTCCTTGAGCATTTTTTTCTGTTTTATCGGCTATAGCGCCTGAAGTCTAATGTAACCAAATAAACTTGTGTTTAACCAAGTAACACAATCCAGACGCGCACATTCAGCTTCAACATTACTTGAACAAATAAATAATGTAGTGATGCGTTACGGTGGCGATGAGTCAAGTAGATCCCATCTGTCTAGCTTTGTTCTCTTCGCAGTGGTCAAATAGTGCTAATCCGCGACCGACAGAATTGGACGTACACCTTGAGAAACCCCCAGTGTCGTTTAATTCATCATATCTAGTGTCTTCAACATGTCGTAGAATCTAAGTGCTGCCAGACTTACTTTGCCACAGGCTGCCTGCCTATCGTGTTTCTCGAAACACATGTATTTTATGATGCTTCCACAACCATCACCTTGTCTCCTATTGCTAACCCAAATTTCGTGTTATAACTTGATACATCATCGTGCTCGGATCGACACAGATAGAGGATGCGTTCAAGATGGTACATCGCTTGTGGGTTGATGTAATGAAACGCTACGCTGTCCGGTGCAACGCTTTCAGTGTGATGGCGCAAACCTCCCAGTGTTTTGTGGTACTTGATGTACCAATCATTCGGAGCTTTGTATTCGATATAAACATTATGGGGGGATAACGTGTGCCAACGATCGCGACCTCGGTGATCTCGGGTATCCCAGGGGTAAACATCGTTCCGCGTCATACAAAAAGAGACACCCACGTCCTCCCATATTGGTACGGTCGCTCCTTCAGGCAAACAAGTCGACTTGGGCAGTGATTCCACAATCTTATCCAAGTATAATCTGTTCATGACGTAGCCGGCACCTCCTGAATTGAACACCATGCGATCATAACGCGAATACCACAACGACAGCTCCGTTTTGTTTTGAACGTAGCTTTCGAGAAGGTTTTTCGGCAGGTCAAGCCGATGACCCAGCTGCATTGGTTGTCTATGAAAACGCTCCAGGATCTCTGGTCTCCTCAAATAAGCTCGCATATTTTCTACAATCATATAGGTATCGTCGTCGCACTTGTAAAACCAGTCGTAGTCATGACGAAAGCTTTCATGCAGATACGTCAGTGCGGCTCTTGTACGCAACCACAGGTGTTTGTGGTCAGCGATAATGTCCAGCTGTACGACTTTGAAACGACGTTCTGCTGATGTATTGGCAGCCACGACTATCGTGTCGCTCATATTACTGAAGAAGAGTAGCTTGTCACATCGTTGGCCCCACGTTTCAGCTGTCGCACGAACTCGTGTTTCATGGTGCACCGAGTACGTAACTGCAAAACACAAGATGCGAGGATACCTTCTCCGACTACTGTCGTTATATCGTGGGATCTCCTCCTGCGAAACTCGCAACAGTGCCAAGGTCTTGTTCGCTTTGCCGACGTCGATAGCACAGAGTTCTTTCTTTGACAAGGGTAAAGCTGGTAAAGGAATGACAGTAGCCGACCACAGTGTAGCGATCAGAATGGAAAGAGACACAAGTCTCATGTTTTGTTGCTCTCTCAGAAAAGTACAGAGTATAGGGATGACGTCTACGTAATGGCAGGAATATTAGCGACTGATGGATGAGTCGTGTGTGAGCCGCTTGAAAAATATCTGAAGAGTACCAATGGTTTCAAATGGTTTCATCCTGACGATTCAAAGATGACGGTCGCAGTTGCAACAATTGGCGCGTGCAATTGTGACCGATCATCATAGCCACACATATGGAGTAGTGTGGAAGAGCTGCATGAGGCGCATTTTCGGTCAAGTGATGACGAGGGCATGAGATTGACGACACGATCTCATGCCCTCGTCATCACTTGACAGAAAGTACTTCCGCTTAAACTTGAACGTGCTGGTTGCGATAGAATCGAAAGAGCTTCATCCTTCTAATGTGGTGCAACATTTGACTTTGCAGTTTTTCTTGCAAGAAGCGTGTGCGAAGAATAACGATAGTAACATGGCATGTTCAGCGTTTGTCAATGGTGAGAACTTTGCTTTAAGAAAAACTTCTACTACTAATCCATTCATCATGATCATCAATGGATCAGCAGTATCTTTCAAGATTCAATATCCCACTTCACACTGGCTACGAGTAGCTTTCGCGTTGGCGACAATTCCCTTGAGATTGAATAATACGTTGGCAAAGAAACCAGACAAGACGCACGCTGTCATAAATCGAACATGTCTGCATTCGCATGGACACACATCTCTCTCTATTCATTCAATTTATAGCAAAATCATAAGCAGCTGGCCCAACTTCTTCTTCATTCCTTCTCCATTCTCCAGTAAAAAAAAAATAAGTTGTAAGAAAGAAAAAAAAAAAAAATAAAATTAAATTTAAAATTTTTATTTTTTTTTTTCCCCATCCCCCCACACCCTTTAAATATTTTTGTAAAAATTTTTACTTTTTTCTTTTTTTTTTTTTATTTTTTTCTCTTCCCTTTTTTTTTTTTTTTTTTTTTTTTTTTTTTTTAAAATTAAAAAAAATTTTTTTAATATTTTTTACATTTTTTTTAAAAAAAAAAAAAAAAAAAAAAAAAATTAATAATTGAAAAAAAAAAAAATAATTTCCTCTTTAAAAAAAAAAAAAAAAAAAAAAAAAAGACCAAAAAAACACCCACCCCCCCCTTTCTTTTTTTCTGTAAAGCCCACCCCCCACAAAAGGACAAAAAAAAAAAAAAAAGTATTTTTTTTTTTTTTTTCTGTGTTGGGGGGGGGGGAAAGGAAAAGAAAAAAAAAAAAAAAAAAATTTTTTTAAAACAAAAAGAAGAGAAAAAAAAAGAGTGTTTTTTGTGTTTTTTGTTTTTTTTTTTTTTTATTTATTTTTTTTTCTCCTCGCCCTTTCTCGGATTCCCCCCCCCCTTTTTCCCCCCTTTTCCAAAAAAAGATAAAAAAAGAAGAAAAAAAAAAAAAAATTTTTTTTTAAAAAAACTCAAAATTTTTTTTTATTTTTTAATTAAAAAAAAAAAATTTTTTTTTTTTTCCAAAAAAAGGAGAAAAAAAAAAAAGAGCTCGACGTTACACAATAAAAAATGCCGCTGTAGTATCGCACTTGCTGTACTATAGAAGACATCAGCAAAAGGCCTCAACAGAGTACCTACAACTGGCAAAGCTAGTCGACAGGATACGAGATACTACTAGGTATTCGAGTCGAACTCGAGTGAAGCTGCTGTCACTGTGAAGAAGTGCTCGCAAAGAGCAATCTTCAGTCCAACAGCGAAGTAAAGTCCGCGGTATTCTCGTAATCACAATGGCTACCAAGATGAACAGGATGAGAAACACGACGCAGCTAGATGCTTTCACCAGGTTGCCGAACATCACCACTTTGCTTGCCGTCAAGCTTGATTCCATCGTGTTGAGCTCACAGTTCGATCTATAATACTGTAACAGCGAGATGCAGTGGTGTTGAAGGTCCGGAACCTCAATATGTTGTGATATAATCCTGTGTGGCCCATACTCTTTGTTCAATGTCGCTCTCAACCTGTCACTACCACAATGGCGTCACAACAACATAGCTGTGAGCTATACCTATTACCCGTTTCTCATCTTACTACACGAAGAGGTACCTGCCATCATGATGAATTTCCAGTAGCTACAATACAAAATAGAAAGTCAACTCTCAAGTATCGAAAGAAACATACACCACACCACAGCCCAAGCTTCACGAATCAAATGCCTTCATCTACCATCAAAGACGCCCTGACACATCTAACAACTCCATCAGTACTCACACTCTTCTGGCTTGTCAGAAGGGTTGGAACCACTCGTAGCAAACGGATCCGTCCCCTCCTTCAAATGAACTGGAGACTGAATCTTGGATGCACATGGCGTCGTACTAGACTCTTGAACCTCTACACGTCGTTTCTTCATGGCCATCGTCGGACCGGCACTTCCTCCTCCAGTCGTCTTTGATCTAGCTTCCTCCACTAAAATCTCTTTCAGCAATTGAAACTTGGCGTGTTTCTGGTCCGTTAATTCCTTCAGCTTGAGCTCAAGTTGCTGCAATTGTTTTTTAACTGCAGCCACAGTCTCGTGCTGTTCCTCCAAGTCATTCGTCTGCTGCGCTTGTTTCTCCTCATTGATGCTCTCTTCAATGCCTTCTTTCGCCACAACTTCACCTTGAAGTCGACCATGTCGAAGACTGATCATTTTACGCCAATTCTTTTGCATACAACGGCGACGAATGGCACTACAAGATACGAAAAGAATATCAACTTAATTGTTATTCAAGCGACAACCGACGTTCCATTGGCACTACACGCTTGTACCTTCGAATAGCTTCATGTTTTACATCTCGAGGATAAAGTACTGGTACTTCAAGACGAAATGTGTGCGGCAGTATCGCTTCTACATCTCTTGGTCCTGTGTATGGAGCGCGTGGATTGCGGGCATAAGGTCGTCCGCTCATGTTATTTTGTATATTTATTTCTATAAAAACAATTATTTTTTTGTCAGTTTGAATTGTTTTTATAATAAATATCACGAACCAATCAAAAGTAGCCAGATCATACCCCCAGTCTCTTTCATTAGTGCCATGGCACTATTTCGTCCACCTTAAGAGAATAGAACAATTAACCGCCGAAGGACCCTTAGAGCACAAGTTTGTTAGTGAGTACGTCTTCTTTTGCTTACGAACCTGTTGTACACACGCACGTATCCTTTTGTCTCCTTCTTGTATACACGATCATGAAAATTGTTGCCATTGGTGCGTTTGTGTGTCATTGTCTCTCGCTTCTTATTTGCTTGGGTTTCTTTCTATTGTATAAATTACAAAAATGACCCCATTGTGGACTTTATTTTCATTTCAACTCGTCATATTTATTCTTCTTTTTATACTTATTCTCCTAATATTTATTATTCTTTCTTTGTATACTGTGAATAGAATTATTACGTCAAAATGGTCAAGGACAAGACCCGATTATTCTTTCAGCATGTTTTGAAGTGTCATCTTTTGGATATTTTCAACGCTCAGGGTAACGGGCAATGCAATTCCTTGCTCGACTATAGATTTTGAATGTGTCATGGAGTGTCGTAGCTGATTCATCGTTGTCTGGCATGTTATCATACCCTCATTGACGTATACAGTGTTCGAGAGATGATTAACTTCTTTAGTCGCACGTTTGTGAAGCGTACAGCGCTTGGCCAGCGACAATCAATTCAGCATGAAGAGTACAATTGTCATGTATATGTCCGTCGTGATGCACTGTCGGGTATTGTCGTGTGTGACCAGGAGTATCCACCGCGTGTAGCTTTTGCACTGCTTAACAAACTTATGGACGAGTACAATAAGACCAATGGGTATGTTGGTTTTAATGTTGAGTTGATCTACGACGGTGAGAGTAACTGATTATTTGTGGCGTTGCTTTCGGCAGTGGCAGCTGGAAGACCCAGACGGGCAATCCACAGGACTTTGCACCGATGACGACAGCTTTGGCCGAGTATCAGGACCCGTCCAAGGCCGACAAAATCTCAGCTATCCAGAAAGAATTAGATGAGACGACTGCCGTTTTGTCCAAGACTATTGATAACGTATTGGAGCGTGGTGAGAAGCTGGATGACCTCGTGTCCAAGTCACAAGATCTCAGCAGCCAGTCCAAGGTGTTTTACAAACAGGCCAAGAAGACCAACTCGTGCTGCGTTGTCATGTAAGATTCGAGTACCTCGCTGAATTTTCGCTCCCTATTCATCTTTCTCCATCGACTGGGTTTCCTACTCGCTGCTTTTTTTTTCTACTGTATGCATGCTGGTTCATTTTAAACAAAACAAAATATTTTACTTGCAAAACAATGTTCAGGGCTTCCAGCTGGCTCTGAAACAGTCTACTTCCGCTTTGGAGAGACTGTAGCAGCTTTTCTTCGTGGTCGAAGAGAGCGCTTGATAGGCTTGGTTTTTGCTTTGGTCTTAGCACTTGTAGCGTCATTTGTCTCGATGCTGGTCTCATCCTCTGCGCTTTCAGTATTGTTGTGCTTTCTCTTTGACGCTTTCCTCGCATCACTGTGTATACTGTCGTTGTCACCGACTCTTGAACTCTTGCTATTGGTCTCAGAGAGTTCATCATCACCTTCAAAATGCCGAAGTGTTCTACGTCAGTCTGCGCACATACGAATCTCCTGTCACAGACACAAACAGAAAACACGTACTATTGTCTTGTTTGGCACCAAAATCTTTCCGCTGAATCATGCCGCCTTTGCCGTGATACGAATTCTTGACCATTGGTGCATTCTGGCTACTGCAGGTTTCGCACGTGCTAGCTGAATTGCTTGGGCCGCTTAGAATACCAGCATTATCTCGTAGTTTGTCCAACTATACATAACACAGTATCAGCAATGACATCTTCACGTTCGCCCAGGCCAACTCAAGCTATCGCACCTGTGATACAAGCTGATTAATCGACTCGAGCTGATCACTCGCAAGTTGCTGTGCATCCAGCTTTTGCGCTGCCATACATGATGAAGCCAGTCAATCGTTAATGTTAGACTGCAATTTCCAGACTTTGTTGTTCTTTTCCAATTAACTTGCCTTCGGCTTTCTGAAGCTGATATCGCAGCCGTTCGATCTCACCCTTCATTTGAAGTGAAGATAACCGCTCTTGCTCCCACTCCTCCATGTTTTTAGGCAGATATGACGGAAGCCACTGAACTGCACCGGGGCCAACAGCAGCTACACGATCGGGCAGCGCACTTAAAGGACTTATCAAAAGTCCCGTTTCATACGGAACGACCGGTATCGTACATGCTGGAAACTCGATCACACGACGGTTCTTCAACTCTTTACTGCTACCTCCAGGCGTCGGTGTCATAATGAGTCGTCGCTTCTTACCTTTACGCTGACCTGTGTCTTCCATATAATCATCACCAAATGTAGCCCCTGTATCCTCTTCTGATAATGAATCTTCGTCACTATCATAGTCTGAGGTCTTCTCCTCTTCACTATCAAATTGTGTGAAGTCAAAGCCTCCGTTCAACACACGCAGCTTGCCTGTAGGCTGCACAAGCGCTCCTATTTTCTCGAAGAAACGCTTTTTAAGCTCTACTTCGGTTTCGGTAAACGTCATGCCTGATGGCAAGACCTCCACATCTTCTTCGTGAATGTAGCCAATGCCACCAAAGTCCATCTTTACCACAAGTTGTCGTGTACCTATGCGCAAATCAAGCACACGACCGGTCCCAAATGGAGTCCAACTTACACGGTCACCAGTACAAACCTCATCAATCTCAGGAAGCTCAACATTATGAGCTTCTAGCATTGCTTCAAGCCTGCTCTTTTCACGAGTCAGGCACAATATACGGTTGCCTCGCGCTTTTAGCTCCGTCATGATGTCCTGAAGTGCGCTAGTGCGCCGTCGACTCGACTCCAAGCTCTTTGCCGTATTCACCACTTTACGACTTAGCGCACGTGTTACACGTCTCTGCTGCTTCTGCATACGCTTCATCTCGCCTATTTGCCACAGTAACGTGCAGCGATGTCGGACATATGTCCGCTCTAAGTCTTCGCGTTCGGTTTTCAAGGCTCGAAGCTCACGTTGTGTGATGCGCACAGCACGTCGGGCAGCCGGTATAGTCTCCACAATCTCTTCCGGCGCAATGACTCCACTTGGTCGTGCACGACGATTCTTTAGCCCTGCAGAGAGTGGATCCGTATTCACCTTGCTACCAGTCTCGTCTACAAGAAAAAGACGACGATGGTCCTTGTCCCCAACCTTTGAACGTTTTCCTGACATTTTGATCCCCGCACAAGCTTCAAACGCTGTTAGTTGATGCTGGATTTTTTTCACATCTGACTGAGCCTCATATTGTGACAAACTCTTAATGCCGGCAATATCTGGCATTGATCTCGGCGGACGATCGTATCGCTGGTCTTCGTGCAACTGCTGCATCAGCTGCAGACTGTCAGGTCCCAGCGGTAATTGCCTCATCTCTTTGTGCGTCTTGTACACGTCTTCTTCCTCTGCTTCTCGTCGCTTCTGCGTTACACGTCTGCATTTAACATATAACCCATTAAACCCAGCACTAAAACAGGAGCAATCCAAAGCTTTTCAAGGCTATCTTCACAGTCCTGAAATTCACACCACAGACCTTCTCTTGACCTTTTTTTTCATGTTATTAAGACCGACAGCAGTCTCAAAAGTCGCTGATTTCGTCGTCCGAGGTTTAGCACGAGTCTTGGTCGTTATGTGGCTGTCCATCTCCGTCTCAATCATGACGTCCTAGAACAGATCAAGATAGATCAATACAAACATGATACATGATAAGTCTTTTGTTTGTTCTAGACGGTATTCAATCCATCGAGACAAGAAGGAGGTAGTAAAGTACCAATGCTGAGGGAGATATGATGATAAACAATTGGTCAGTTAGTGAATTTTCTGTTTCGTTCAGTCTATTGTAAAAGTGGGTTTTAATGAAAAGCAAATGGGTTATTTAAAGTTTCTGGTCTCAGTCATATGGGTGATTCAAGAAACAGACAACAGATGGGTTTAGACTTGTTCTAATGCGAGACACTGCTTACTAATCCACGTATCACTTTTATATTTTACATAAAACTGTCAAAACAGCTGTTTATCGTACCTTATTATAAAGCTTGTCCTTTTTTCTTTAAAGAGTGTCAATTCATCATTACACAGTCCTAAACGAATATTTGTGGTAGACTGATATATTGTAAATAACTAGGATTCAATAATAACATTAGGAAGAACTCAACAACCAAGTACCAAATAGCAATATGATCTCAAATTCGACACGAGAAAAAGCCAAGGCTACAAAGGCCTATTTAGAGCAAAAGTATGCGACCATGAAACGTGAACGTGAAGAAAGTCGAGAGCGTCGTGATAAATTAGAGCAACAGATGACGGCAATGCGTCTTACGGAGCGAAAGAAGGAACAATATCGCCAGGAATTACGCAACAAGGAACTCCAGAGTCTGCGGCATCAACGTAAGCGTCTAGCCGTTGGTGATTTCCAACCACTGGCTGTCATCGGACGTGGTGCGTTTGGTGAAGTACGACTTGTAAGGAAAAAAGATAGCGGTGAGATCTTTGCACTCAAGTCACTTGTAAAAAGCGCCATGGTATTGAAGAATCAAGTGGGCCACGTCAAGGCCGAACGAGATATCTTGGCGAGTGCTGATCAAGATAATAATTGGCTCGTGACGCTTCATTACTCATTTCAAGATGATCATAGACTCTATATGATTATGGAATATTTGCCTGGAGGAGATCTCATGGGCTTGCTAATGAAGGAAGACACGCTTAATGAAGCTACGACACGCTTCTACGCGGCAGAAATGGTGCTGGCGATTCAGTCCGTGCACGACCTGGGCTACATTCATCGTGACATGAAACCGGACAATGTACTTCTTGATGCTCATGGACATTTAAAGCTGACTGACCTTGGACTTTGCAAAAAAATGGACTCACGAGTGGACTTGCTACCTGTTTCGCAACATGCCATGAAGCCGGAGCAAGCTATGTCAACTGCAACTGCTGCAGCAACGAGAAGAGGAGGTGGTGGGAACAGTGTGGACGCATCACGTAGCAAACCCTTTTCACGTAATAGGCAGGTTGCATTTAGTACAGTTGGTACACCGGACTATATTGCGCCCGAAGTGTTGGCACAGAAGGGGTATGGTAAGGAGTGCGACTGGTGGTCTATGGGCGTAATTTTGTATGAATGCTTGGTCGGCTACCCTCCGTTCTACGCAGATGAACCGGTACAGACGTGCCGAAGGATCGTTAATTGGAAGCAGTCGTTTGGATTCCCGCCGGAGGCAATTGTGCGACTGAGCCCGCAATGCTTGGACTTCGTTCAGAGGCTCATTTGCAATGCAGAGAGTCGTCTGGGAACAGGATCTGTGGAGGACATCAAACGGCACCCGTGGTTCAATGGTGTCGATTGGGCTACGCTGCGCTCGATTCAAGCACCTTACATTCCACCGGGAGGCGGCCCGCAGTTTGACTACGTGTTGGAACAACTGCAAATGAACGACCCTGACCAATCGGGTCCGCAATACCAAGAGCTTGTTCGACAGATCACGTCAAACTTTGACGAATTTACGGAACCATGCGAATTGCCAGTGCCGGCCCCTGTGCAGGTGATGGGCCAAGCACCTCCTGCTGCGCCAATGAGCGGGCCCAACGGCGTAGCACGCGGCAATCATGCCGTGGTAGGTGATAACAGCGAAGGCGAACTGCCACAAGCCTTTGGATCGGACGGCAAGCCGTTGACCTTTAACAAGTTTATCGGGTATACATACAAGCGGAAGTCACCAGTCCGTATGGCACTCAACGACGGGCTGTTTGACAACGGTAGCGTGAGGACAGCGTCTAGATCCACAGAGCTCGAAAACGGCTCGGGGTCAGTGCAGTACGCTACAATACCCAGCAGCTATGAGAGTCATGCGGACGCCGGGACTTTGACACCCAGCGCGACATCAAATACTAATAATGCAGCCTCGGACATAGGTAGCAATCCTTACAACTACTTCAGTAAGTAGAAGACGACATAGTAATGGAGCTAAAAACTTGTACACAACATACGGAAATTAGCGGAACAGTCCTAATTTAAACACCTAAAACTAAAACCAGTACAGTATGTGGCGCTTTGTTCCATCTCTGCGTAACATGATATTAAAACACTTTTAGAATAGTTAGAAAGCTATAAAATTAGTTGTTGCAGGCTCTTGATTTTGCACTACCTTGAAGTCTACTGATTCTCCTATTCTGCCTGTATCCCGCAGCTGTCGTGCTGCCGGCCGACACCAGCAAGTACATTGGTATCTAGTTGACCTTTACGTGGCTTGAGCACTCCTTTCTGTCGCGAAGATATGTCGTGACTCTACTGAGGATGCGGATAAGTATGTGGGCGGCATACGCCTAGCCACGGCATTTTGGCTCTGAGCCCAGACAGTACCGAGAGTCGTTAGGTTAACCTTGATTGTTTCAACGGCTTCTGATGTTAGCTTTTGACTCAGCTACCTCCGACAGCAGCAGCGAGTTTGATGTATAGTTTTTCTACCCTCGACACTAGCGTCGCTTTCAGTTGCAGCATACAACATGATTTGTGGTGAGTACGCATCATGCTGACGCAGGTTAAGGCCGAGCGACCACAGCTGCAGATCTAATTTATGACCATTTTATTGTCGAAATGCAGTTAAATACGCCAGCAACGACTTGCCGCTTCGTGGAGCTAGTACAGCCCGGGATACAGGCCAAATGCCGAACCTAACGATGCCGTAAAATTTGCTGTTCAGGTTGTCATTCTCACCGAAATAGTGGTAACTGCGGCGCATGAATTGTCGAACATGAAAGCTTCATATTCGACGATTCAACATTCAGGAACGGTACCCTCGAGAAGTACGTTTGAACTTGAGAGGGGATTTTATACTAGCTAGTCAAAATGGATACAGCCATGTAATCCTTCTTGTACTTGTGAATGTTGACGCGAAGCAGTTCCGACCTGGTTATTGTCACGGAACATCCTACGATTATACTGATAACAGTAAAGCTACTTTCGCTGATGACAGTGTAAGCAGGAGGCAGAGAGGAAGTATAATACGTCCAAGTGATGACAATTGGTTCTTAAAATCGCCTTCACGATTTTTACCATTTCTTCTGATTGGTCTATGCCCATTAAGGTACGAAGTAAAGTAGATCATCAATGAATTACATGTTTGGCAATATGCAACGCGAATATATTGTTTTGGTCCTTCGTTCACAAAAGTATGCTGCTACGGTAAGCCTATAGAAGCTTCTAGCACCTTCAAAAACCTTTTTTCCATCCTGACCATGATCTTGATCGCTATCAACCATTGCGTAATCGCAGTGACGCCAGTGTCATAGCGTCATCATTTATACTAGTACTAATAAGAATCTTGGTGAAACACCAAAGCTATCGAGGTGATATCGAACATCAACATGCTTGTTTTTTTTGTGCAGCAATAGGTATCACCAAAATCACACCATAGTAATATATACCATTACCCCATAATGTATTAGAGCGTATCAGTTCTCCAGTATAAAGTAAGAAACGCTCACGCCATTCCAAACCAGACACTAAATCACCGACAAATTCCAATACAAACCCGAAGTGGTTTGTCAAAAACTCGAAAAAATCCTAGAAACCGTTACGGCGCTCCAAAAATTTCATTTTATTTTTCAACTCTTGGCCAGCGCATTAGAGCCTTGACTGACTGCCTTCGTCGATCAAGACTGACTTATGGATTGTCTTTTTATTAATCTCACACCGACACACTTTGAGTCATACTGCTTTTTTGCTTAGCCTTTGACAGATGCATGTATCCTACATCCGTTGAAGGTAGCGCCGCAGTAAGCTGTTACTTTCTTCGCCAGCTGATACATCCACTGTTTATCATGAACGCGTAGCTGCTCGTGCTTCTTCGAGACTCATTGTCACTAGCGCTAGTCAAAATATGAGTGTCCATCGAGATAACCTTGTCACTACGCGAAAAATTAAGCTCGTGCATCATTGTTGCTTGTTTCGAGATCGCAATACTAGCTTGAGACTTTGAGAGTGTTGTAGTATAGGGATCAGTCGCGAAGTGTCTCAAAGCTTTCACTGCCGCAGCGAGATCCGGCAAGTCGCCACCATCAGCCTCCTACGCCACTACGATATGGCACATCCTTTATCGTGTCTTCATGTCTACATTCATCTTCGCACATTTTCTTGGTCAGCTTGAGTCAATAAATGCAGGGTAAGTAACAGCTGTTAAATTTGGTAGAGACTAGAAGACAACCCATTTAGTAAAAGCAGAATCCTTTCACCACACACCAGTCTCAACCACCTCTTGAATAGCTTAATAACTAACACCGTGGTATACAATTAGATACCTCTACCTTCGACGTTTCCTTTGAGTAACGTTACAGGACTATGTGATATCTTTATGAAGGAGAGCAAATATGCAAGACGCTACAAGACCCTAGACTAGGACGGATCGATATTATGTGCAATGGAGAATGAAAGCACGTAGGATTCATAAATAATTCCCCTCATCGGTGCCGTCTGTACTTGATTGAATGGTGGCGACTTAATTGGACCTAGCTGCTGGAGTAAGAGTAGTAGACAATGCTAAATTGTGCTCGACGCATTGGCAGGAACCCAAGCGTTTACTGCAAAATACCTCTAAGCTACGCTAACGTTATGGTATCGAGTGTCAAGACAACATCGATTTAATCTCTATGTCAACTCATATGCAGATTGTACTCAGCGTCACAGAGAAGCATAAGCCGGTGAAGCAATAAGCTATGCACGATAATGTTGTCTTTAACGAAAGCCAAATACTTAACGCTTTCGAAAACAGCCAAAAAACGCTGTTGATTCAAGTAATTGCTGTCTAAAATCGGCAAGGTAGAAAGCAATAGCTTATTAGAATGTGTTTAGGGACATTCAAGGCTCTATAGCGCTACCCATGACTGTTTGGTTTCACAAGCGCGTCAAGCAAATCTGCTTTTGTTATCACTTCGGCCACATGGAGGTGGAAGAGAGTCAAGTGATGAAGTACAGCCCCACGCGAAAAATGTAGGTGAATCGGTTGACGAAAGAAGTCACCGCTGCACACTGTATATTTTCACGGAGCAAGCTCAGAATTTACGATGATGGAATGACTATCAGGACGACTGTTCGTGTGATTTTGTGATCCGCTGTTACTAATGTCACTCTAGTGTAGTGTAGCCAGCACGATTGCATAAGAGAAAAGAAGCTGAAAAGATACTGAAAAGGTCGAAAGGTCGGTAGTTTAACAAGATAATAATCAGTATGAAATTTCCCTCTCGTAGCTGGCCCGTTTCCTTGTCTGACAATATGCGATGCTGCAGCGTTAACTCGAGCAAAAGTGTTACTAAGTTGGCTTCACTACAGCTTCTGTATAGCGGCAGAAGAAATAGCCGGTAGGTTTTGAAGTAGCACGTAAAGTGAGCAAAGAGCTGAAATAATGAGTTAAAGGAAATATGACCTTTTGAGGTTATATTTCTACAATAGTATCTCTCAAGCAAATATTGTCGAATGTTATTTACACAGACAATATTCACATTAGTTGGTGTTAATATTATGTAATGGGTCCACCACGCTAAGTATTTTTTCAATTCGTTCATTATTCAAGTCATTTTTGACAATAATTGAACCAGTTTTGAACGAGTTAAACGAAACCAATTTTCTGATGCGTTCTTCGTTTGCAGCGCCTTCTTGCCTCCCTATACTGCTCTTGCCTGACCACGCCGCTCATCCATAAAGCCAATTTCTTTACCTATCATCATCCTGACTTTGTTTTTTACTGCAGCCTTTTATCGTTGTTGCAGCAGCAAAGGCTGCCAAAGTACACAACATAGGGGTAGTGGATGAGTTAGCAAGACTAGCAGACCAAAATCTGTGCGTTGCTCGCACGAGAAAGCAAATCTTGATCGCTGGTGTTAACACGTTCTAGCTGTACTAAATTTCAGGTTCTATAGTAATTCTTTGAGACGTAGAATGTAACTGAACATTTTTACTACAGCTAGGGGCAAACGTAGTGTGTACTCATAACAACATAATGGGTCTTTCCTTCCTCCATGCGTGGGCAATTCGCTACTTGTAGTTGAAAAAGCTAATTGTGATAATTGGTGTTCGAGCATTGGCAAATAAAGTTTGTTTCCACACGTGATGAAAGAAAGTTCATAAGTATTAGGGCGTCGCGGTATCGTCTACTACAGAAACTAACCTTGATGCTGTGCACGACGAAACAATGCTGGTAACAATATTGCTGCGATAGAGATATTATCGATGTATACGCCCCATGCAAAGGATGGTAAGGCGGATCGTCTTAGACGGTGACTATATTGTCTCTTACGGCCGCCGCAGAAGTTCTGCATTCAACGAGAATCGACCACGGTGCAATCCGGTTGTCTGGCGTATCTAGAGAAGCCGCAGGAGATAGAGTGGAACCAAGTAGCCAGCAGAACGGCAAACTGAGGAGGCGCAGTTTTATAGGCGGTTGCAGTCCATCACGAGAAACAAACAAAAGTTATCGGAAGCATCCTAAGTTCTGACATAGCAGCGAGGAATATATAAGCTCTATAGATTTCTTCAATGTTTCGGTGTGGTCGGGACGTGATCGTTGATACGGCTTTATGCAATTGAATCAATCTATGTCAACCCAATATGTAAAACGTAGTAGTGTTCATTACGGATGCCATAAAATCGGTCCGAGAAAGGGTCAGACAGCTTGGGTTCCTTAAGCTTGAGTGTGTATGAATGCAACAGCATTTTCTGTAGCTAGAAGCCATGCGTCATCGTATTCTAGGCCGCAAACATCAAGCAGGAAACTGTCTATAGTATGCTGTTGTAGTTATGGACTGGTTTACACATATCATCTCAAGCTATTCCATGGCAAATAGTCGATAAAGATGATAGAAAGATGTAGTAGATACTCAGATCGAAGAAGAAAGTCGATATCAATCGATCAATAGATACAGAATAGAAACAGACTAATGATATCGAGGCCTACACGTATTTGCTTCTACAAAAATGCAGTCTCGCCTTGTAATATGCCCTACAGAGGATCAAGAAACTGGCCGAAACAAGGCTGAAAGATTTAGAATAGCAAAGAGAAACAACAGCCGGTTTGTTTTACATCCAAATCGAACGGTTTTGGACCATCTGCGGCATGACGTCTCCTTTATCTCTGCCAAAGACCGTCGTGATTCTATGTCGCAATTATCAAGTAGCACTTTGATCTTGTTCCGTCCTTTTCTGCATCAAATGTCCTTGTTTCTCTTGTTATAGAAGCACAAAAAACTAATAAATAAAAGCCAGTAAACCTCGACGTTTTCGTCGATTCCTTACTATGTTAATGATGTTTCCAGAATATTCCGAAGCTTGAGAACGAACAAGGGCAACGACATTTGTACAATGCGAGATAGCTTCGGATGCAGAATATATAACGACAAGCTCGATCCAGTGCTGCTCTCAAAACTTAAAGAGACCATGCGACGTGAGCTTTGGTCCACCCATCGATCGTGTTGCCGTTCTTTATCTTTGACCAGTTGCATGATGTTTGCGTTAATAGTGACACACACAATCGTTTGGCTTGTGCCTGTTCATCGCTTGCTCGAAGTCGTTTATTTCGTACAATCCACCAAGAAAAGATGCTTTTAGGTAGCCTTCTCGATGATGATCAGACAGAGCTAGCTTCATATGTCTGAACTCAGATTCACCCTTTATATCTCGTACTTAAACAAAAAAAATCGAAACTTGCTTTCGCGCGCAGCAAGATTCGACAGCCGTTGCTGCTGGACTGAGCCGGTAGTGCATAGACTTTACCATATAAACTCCTTGGCTGCGCAAAGAGAAACTAGTTCTAGCAAGGAGATGAAGAGACAGAAACAGAGAGACACACCCGTGGTTCAGGTAGTAGTGACCCAAAATTTTGATTACGGGTAGGGTCAGCTGTAGGGAAATAAATTGCATAGTAAGAGCTTGTGTAGCAGGTGACACGTCAACCTTTGACGCGTCATGAAGCCATGCAAATTGCTTGCGCCGTGCTTTTGTGCAAGTGAAAATGGCGATGGGTAAAACGTACCAATGGGTTATGGACTAACAAACACCCACCCATGTTGAAGGCACGGAATGGTAAAAATGTCCAATCTGATCAAAGATACAGATGTTTAGTGGTTAGAATCACGATACAAATTCCTAGATTACATAGCTCCAGCCATTGAATTTTTGATGTGCAGAGTGTGACTGCTTAAGTCACGCCACTGGTGTAGAATTCAAAAGAACTGGACCATTATTAAATAACTTGCAGCGAACGTCAGAGACAAGAGATTTTGTGGTCGAGTTTTCTCTTTTCCATCTTGTTCTCCTTTCTCTTCTTCTTTGTGAGAATCATGGAAGAAATGAATCCCAACTCAACACGTGCAGAATTTGCCCAAGTAACTACTCCTGGTATGCTAGCACCGATGTACGTGAATAACGTAAATCATTTGCCATCTCCGTCAAAGGTCTTGGAACTTGATACACCACGTACAGTTGAAATGGTCCCAGGTGATGGAATCCCAACAGGAGCATGGGCTTCAGGTCTTTTTGATTGTTTCGATAATCTCGTACCCAATTGCTTCATGGTTACGTTTTGTCCTTGTGTGGCGCTAGCACAATTGTCTACTCGACTAGGTATCGCGTCTTACAGAGTTATCCTAAGCTTGTTGATTTTCGTGATGGCAGTAGAGCTCCTGATGTTTGCATTGATCTGGACCACACCTCACGAGAATGATGGCCATGACTCGAACGAGGGGTATGAACAATTGGCTGATGACACGTTTGTGGTCATTACGGTTCTTGTACAAATGTTGCTGTTGGTTTACATTTGGCAGCTTCGCACCAAGACGCGTGCGCAATTTCAGCTCCCAGGCAATGCGGTGACAGACTGTGTGAGCTCATTCTTCTGCTCGTGCTGCACGTTGGCTCAGCTTCGAACGCACGTGCGCAGCTATCAACCGGGAAGCTGCTCCTTTCGAGCCCCCCGATGTGCTCCAGGCTTACCCAGGCAAGTCCTACGCCGTGTAATCGTCTTGTGAACGTTCTTTAGCTTTGACGTGTCACTGCATTTCGTTCATTTAAACGTGCTATTGCACGAAATATATTCCATGTGAGAGAACGGTCAACCGTTTTGGTACGATCTCACAGCTTCAATGCTCTTTTACATGTGTGCTGTATTCTTCTTATCTACTACTTCATACCTTGCCTGTAACTAGGACAGTCATCTCTCATGACCCTTTGCTTATACAAGAGACGCTTACTTATACACTCGACAAGACTCTCATTCAGACTGGTCAGCTAATGTAAATGATTGAGGCGTGACGATTATTCACGATGCACGTCGACGTTGCTCCTTCACAAGACTGTCAACTGTCGTTTTGTTGCTCATGCACCGATAGCATATTGCATGAGGTTTATAGCATGACAGATTCTAGCTATAATTGAGATATGTTGCGGCCGGACACTAAGAAATAGGAAGTCAACACAAAATAGATCAAACAGTCTTTGAAGCGCATTCGTCAAGATCGTAAGCGCTGAAGCACAAAATACTCCTAGCTAATAGCAATCTTTGATCGACAGGTTTATGGGGCTCCGTGCCTAACGGAGATGATCCAAGTCGCTAATAGACGATGTTCAGTCCATAACCGACTGTCTTAACGTTTTACTCTGACCTTTGCCGCAGCAAAACAGACTATAGCGTATCAATGACACTAGGCCGTACGTAATAGGGCTGCTCTGTTGGCAAGTGCAGACTTTGCAAAGCTCTAGTTAGCTTGGGCAACAAGTTTACTTGGTAGTTGTAATGAAGTTGCAGTAGCTCAAGAAAGCGAGGTTGTTAACGGAAAAAGAGAATGGAGAGATTGAAATTCGTGGTAAGAATCATCCGAGTGTGTAGCTAGCTATACGATAGCATCAGATATCCAGCAACGTCTAGTGTCGTCGAACAGCTGTGTCAGTCGCTAGGTAGCATAATGAAGTACTTGATTATGTTTCGTGTTGTTAGTCTCATAAATGGATAAGAAGGAAGATTCCACGAGATACTGATCATGTTCACATTTAGTGTATCAAGTCAAAGAGGTAAGAAACATTGTTATTCTGCATCGAGAGGTTCAACTTCTCAATGCATGTATTGCTATTATATATACTAGCAAGCTGGTGGAATCGCAATCAGGTCAGAATCCTTGCAATACTAAGAGTGACACCCACCGGATCTTGTCGCACGCGTCTACGGCTATTTTTGAAATACAATGAAGGTTCTAATAGCTGCTTGTGAAGGTCATTGATGCCACGTTGGACACTGGACACGCTTGACGCTTGCTAAATGCGATGCTCAAGTCAATGTTGTATATCAGTTGATTCCAGGAGATGTTCACGTCAATGCTTGTTTTGCACAATCTGCAACATTCCTAGAATAATCTTCCTGTTTAGTGTGTGGTGATGAGCAGTGCTATAAAACAAATAGCTTCAAATCTGTCGTCAAGGCACCCAGAAACTGACATTGTGTAATACATGATTCACGTAAACCATAAAGATCGAAGATGTGATAAGCGGTCGGCTGAACTTGTATCAATGAGTCTGACATAAGTCACAAATGAGTGTCACATAGCAAATAGGGGCTTGATTGCAGTTTTAATACACGTGGAATAATGATCACAAGGTTTAGTTATACATTCCACGGTTGGTGACAGCGTTCAAGTTGACAAGTTGATCAAGGCGTAGAATGAAATGGCCGAATATTTGAACCACATTGCGAATATGTAGAGATGCAAAACCGTGTTGTTTACGCTTAGGTTCGGTAGCTTCCGACACGAGGAGATCATAATCAGACGATAAAGGTATCTAAAGTCCACCAGATCTCATCAAAAGCTGATTGAAGTTGTGCCATAGAGGCGCATTGCTACGCTGAACCTTATTGTAGCTACGATCCAGTCACTGATATAGTAAAACTTGAATCAATCGACTGATGCGGCCGGCCAGCTTCAACACCAGCATTTTGCTGCATCATTAGAGTGAAGCGAGTGATTTGGCTCTATTCAAAGTATACTAAAAGTTGCGATTCTGAATCGAGATGCAGTTGTTATAGCTCTACTAAGGTTGACAATCACTTTTCCTTGTAGTTGAGCACTTTGTACAAACAACAAGCTGGTTCTGCCTGTTGCCATTATCCAAGTAATCAACGTGTAACGAAAGCCACTCATTTCTAAACGAGTTTTATACCTGTTTCTCGATCGCATTGAAATGATCGCACCAATATCGTTACATTTCGCATCATTATTGACACTCTCACGTATGCCATCCCTCCGCTGCATATTTGCCAGGGGCTCCCCGCTCTTCCTGTACGGCTCGACAGGCCTGGCCTTTGCTTCCATGGCTTCTGCTTCAACTTGCCTGGACAATTGCAAAACTGGACACTCTGAATCAATTCCTAGCCATCGTCAGTCGCAAGATAAAAAATCCATGATGTTCGTGCGAGACGCAGGTATGTTTCGAAACCCTCTTTTCGACAATGGTCGAAACTTCGATGACCTAATACACTCTGGAATTTTGTATGGAAATTCAACACTCAGATGAGTTTGCTCGAAAATGGAAGAAATTTTCCACCGATCGACTGGATAAACTGGTGGTTATTGCAGACTTTGACTACACTCTTACTCCTGCCTTTAAGAAACCCTCAGGTATGTGAAGACTACCTTGATGTTTGAACTTGTTTGTGTCAAGAGAACATCAATAGCTTACACAATAATGTTGAATTGATTCTTTGACAACCTTTTTGTACTTTCATAGATGACCAAGCAGCTAGTACACATGGTATTTTGATGCAAAGCAAGGCATTTGGTCCTCAAGCAGAGACTCTTTCACGCGAGATTTTTGAAAAGTATTACCCGATCGAACAGTCTGCTACAATGACAAAACAAGAAAAGCTACCATTCATGATCGAGTGGTGGACAAAAACGCACGAGCTTATCATCAAGCATGGTGTCTCGAGGATTGATATACGTAAGGCAGTAGAGGAGAGCGACATTACGCTTCGGGAAGGTTTTATGGAGATTTTTGAGCTGTTGGCGCGAGAGAATGTGCCAACGCTTATTTTCTCCGCAGGACTTTACGACGTCATCCACGCCGTGCTGAACAAGGAGTACGCCAAAACTCCAGCCAAGGTACCTCCAGGAAACGTGCACGTTGTTTCGAACATGATGCGTTTTGACGAAAACGACAAGGTTGTGGGATTTGATGGAACGGTAGGATCGACCTGTGTTGTTTCTTGATGGTAGAGTAATTCCCGGAAGATTTATGGTTGTGTCTGAATATTTTGGCTGTAGCTTATCCACAGCTTGAACAAGAACGCAAGTGCGCTAATTGATACCGATTTCTGGAAGCAATGTCAACTAGAGAAACGTCATAACATTGTGCTCTTGGGAGATTCACTAGGCGATTCTGATATGGCCAACGGATTGGATTTCAAAGAGGACGAAATTGTGCGCATTGGCTTTTTGAACGATGGTGTGGAGGAAAAACTAGATCTGTACCTGCAGCGCTTCAACGTTGTGCTTACAAATGACTCAAGCTTGTTACCTGTCGAGCTACTGTTACATCAAATCCAGCTGTAGTGTGTGCTCGAGACTCTATGATTCCAAGTCGAACATTATCTTACGTATTTTATTACATCAAAGTGCATTGATCGCCCTCTTCGCGCGGTTAACAGTTTCCTTTTTGCTGCAGTTTTGAGGACGCCGTATCGACGTGTCGTAGCACTTCGCCAGCTCTTTGATCCTCACACCGATGGACGTGAATATCACGAACTCATAACCGTACAAGTACACGGAGAGGCTGAGATTGCTCATGTAGCACAACATCACCGACTCAAAGATCTGTCATACGTGGACGGCTGGATCATCTGGATAGCAATGAGCAGGAAAACTTTGCGATTGTGAACATCATAGCTTACCAGGTTTTGTCGCTGGAAATGGGGCACCCACCCCGTGAAAACAGTTCATGGAAGACGACGTAAGGAACGCTGCAACCAAGACAGCCCCGGCGACACGAACCACGACAATGTGTAGCGAACGGTACTCGACACCTGTGGTTTTGTTCCATGCATCGCAACATGCAGTATGAGTTCGTCGTCATGCAACACTGCTTTCGTCACTGGGCACCGAAGAGCGAGTGCACATTTAAATTTGGGTTCTGGGCTTGCTGCAACTTCACTTGTGCCTCACATTCTTTACCGGGAATCACCAGCTTCTCCGGAAGGTCCTGGATGTTCTTGATCGACGTATTTGTCGTACCCAAAATTCCTCTCAAAGGCGATGTCGATCCTGATGTTAGCGACTGCTCCCGCCGAAATGCCAGAATGGGTATCTCCAGAAGCTCCTTGAACGCATTTTTTTGTGTCTTTGTGCTATGCTTCGCACGTAAAAGTGTGTCCAGTGCATCTACCTGACCAGAAGTGACATCTGGAAGAGATAGCAAAATCTCGCGTGGAACTACACATAGCGACGAAGCAGGACGAAGTGGCTGGTTGCACGGGTCAATCCCCTTGCACTCATCTACAGGAGCTAAGCCAAGTGTTAGCCTGCAGTAAATGTTTCGCGCAAGATTGATGATCTCCCATTTAAGGCCATCCTCCTTTACGTGACCGACATGCTCCTTCAAAATGCCCTGAAGTGCTGCAGAGAAGATATCGCGACCGAGTAGGGTGTGATACTTTATGTCAGCATGCAAGACGTTGACAAGCTTGTCGCCAAGAAGCACTGCTTTTCGGCAACTCAGCGTATCTTTCCAGCAAATCACCTGTACCAGGATTGCACCAATCGCAAGCGGCAGTGAAGGCGATTGCGTCAGAATGTAATCACGCAGGAAGGCATCTTCAGAACTTGTAACATGTTTCGGATTATCTGTGTCGGTTCCCACAACTGTCTTGGGATCAATAGCATACTCAATGAAATCAATAAATTGACGGGTAAGCTCCATGACCATTTTCTCACGCGCAATCTCCTGTTTTGCATCTTCAACACCAACTACCAGCGCGTTCCAAGGAGCTTGGGTTGACTTATCTCCAGTTACGGGACTCTGCAATATTATTGCAGCTCGCTGAGTGAAATGACCGAACAAAGTTCCAAGCACAGGATCCAGTAGTGATGGGTACAGCTCTTTTGGGCAGTTCTTCAGGAACGGTAGATACACATACGCTAAAGCACCCTTCAGGTGGCGGTGGTCCATCAAGTCTAAATCGCTAAGCATACTATTCAGGACAGAGGCTACCTGGGAACTGTTAAATAAACTAAACCGACCCGCAGCCACACCCATCAAATGGTACGAAATATCACGCACACTCTTATGCCATTTCGACCATCTAGAAGCGGCAGATAGCTTTGCCACTTCTTCTTCATCTAACTGGTTTTTCCCTCCAAGTAACTGAGCAACCTCATCCACAGAAACACTCAGCAGCCAGCAAGCACTCGACATTTTCAGCAGTGCTTCTTTAACAGCCAGCTCTTTCAGACCATGAAGCGAACGCACGAGAGCCAACAAATTTGGCAGCAGATGCGGCCAAGCACTCTCGAATGCTCCCGTGTCTTGGGCAGTCTTCGGTGAAAAGGTCGCACCTGCCCGTTTCGCAATACCATACAACGTTGTAAGCGTCTTAATAATCATTTTGAGTTGTTTTTTTGACTTTTCGTCGTTCGTAGCCGCTTCAATCGCCGTAGCAATGCTCTGCGGGGAGCTGACGAGAGCGGTCATTTCTGGTGATGTCCACTGAGTGAGCGGGTCCTGTACAATTTGTTGCACGAATTGAACACGTTCCTCCCTGTTCTCCATCGAATTTGACACCAACACCAGCATTTCGTAAAGCATCACCCCTTCTGTGTCGGTGACACGATCAGCAGCAAAGAGCTCCTGAGCCTTAGAACACAACACAGGGAGTACCGGCAAAATGTGCGCAGGAATCGTTTGGCAAATCGAAACTAGAGACGATAGTGCCCGCCGCCGAACATTGATAGTGTCACTGCTCATTTTACCGTGCACGTCTTCACCGGACATGACAAAATCAATGTTAGAAAAGAGCATCTCAAACACTGCTGTCAGCGTGCTACCATCGAGTGCATAGTACTTTGAAAACGATGCCAGCACTAAGAGCTGGCGGAACTTCAGAAGTGGGTCGGGAGTCTCAAACGACAAAATTGCCTGTAAAATCATCTGCAACATCTGGTGGTTCACAGGATTTTGCATTGCGCTTGGAGGAAGTTGCTTTACGATGCAATCTATCAGAGACGAGATTCCTTCGTGATACAAATAGGTGGTACTGAGGTCAGTGCAAAAGCCTCGATCAGGACTTAAGTGGTCCGTTCCGACAGCGTTCTGCGTCAGTACGAATACCACGCGCTCGTGCAAGGACTGCAATACAACGGTAGGGTTCAGCTGTACCAATATGCGGATCAATGCGTACAGACGTCCCCGAAAGTTTCCGTAATACGATATGTACTCATTGTGATCATCGAATTCTTCTCTACTGCAGTCGCAAGCAGCAGCTTGATTTCCCGGATTATCTCGCTCCGGCGAGCCTAGCTTAAAGTACTTGTCGAATGAGATCTGTCGTAGCTGCTCCAAGATGTCAGCTAAGAATGTTTCACCATGCTTCAAAACCTTTTTGTTTTTCAGCACCGCCAGCCACAAAATAATTTGCGCTTCCGTCAAAATTAAACTCGGGTAGGCAAACAACTTGCACAGATTCTTCAGTACCATACGAAGCAGGGCCATTTCCTGCTCACCAGGTTCGTCCTGCAGTAGCACATCCAACTGACTCGTTCCCCATGCAATCAACATATCGTTCACTTTCTTGTTAAAATGCAGGTTTGTCTTCACATCCGGCCCTACAGTCGTCAAATCCAGCGTATCAACCTTCTTGATAATCTGACTGATACTCTGTAGCATAATTTCCCTGTGTTCCTTTCCAAACCCACGCATCATATATACTTCTAAACACTCTGCTCCTGCTACACGAAACTCGTGATCATCTAGCAACAAGACGGCAACCATACAAAAGTTTGTTGATGGGTCCACAGGCTGTTCCAGTGGCATCCACTCGAGGAACTCCTTCAACATGTTTAACACTGCATGAATGAGTCTCTGACTCGAATGCTTCTGTGATTCTGTGACTGTTTGTGACTTGTAAAGTGCAAACTGCTTCTCAAGTTCGTGATACACGACTGGAAACAGTTGTGGCAAGTACGCATTTAATCCTTGTAAAATATCTTTTCTCCTTGCAGGAGGAATGGACGTATTAAACGACATACTGACGCAATCTTCTGCCAAAGACCTCAAGATTAAGAGTACAAGCTCCACTTGTTTAGACGAACCACTTTGCCATACTTGAAGTAACTCTGGAACGAGATCAGGCCATCGTTGAGGGAATTGTCGCTTTGCAATTTGAGCCAATAGCGCGACTTTTTTCTCTCGTACAAACACGGGCTCTTCCACGTCATTTGAAGTGGTCTCAATGGTACATAGTAGCAACTCGACAAGTTCTTTTCGCATTTGATATTGTTCTTCCATTGATAATGTCTCCCAATATTGTAATAAATAATGTTCTAGTACGTGTAGAGCAAAGTGTTGACGTGTTGCGATTTCCAATAGATTCTCACCACGGGGATTTCGATAGATTGCAATGGCATAGAGTCCACAATCTCGACGACTTTTAAATTCTTCACAAAAGAGATAAGCAGCTTGACGGTCCGTATGAGACACGAATGGAGAGTGGCTTACGTGGATAGCCATCAAAATCTGTTCATATAGCTCGAGGTCCATTCGAAATGAATGGATGGAGGTGTCAAAATGAATGACTAAGTACAATTTTATTGTACGGATGAACAAAATGTACGTAACAAAAAGTAAGTACATCCATAGGCGACAGAACGTTCGGGACACAGGAAGAACATGAAAACGCGAGGATATTTTTTTTTAGTTTACCGCTGGGTATTTTATCAGCTTAATCTTACGATGTAGTTAGGTCTGGAGATAAAGAACTTGCTTGTAGTTGGTATCATGGTGATCCTTTTCATCGATAGTAGTAGTAGGTACATGCATTTCTTGTGGTGCAGATGCAGTACGATAGCATATAAGACGAATGTAGACCAATAGTAATGCAAACCAGTACCAATTGTTCACACCTTCGTCGAAAAGGAGGTACGATACAGCCACGGTAAAGATAGGACCCGTGAGGAGACTGAGATTGAACATGAGTGACTCAGCCCAACGTAGAAAGACCGATGTAATCGTGTAAAATGCAAAAAGTACGCACACATAACCTGCCATGTAGCCATAGATGCGACCGGTAACGTCAACGGCTTTAATGGGACTCAGCTCAAGGAAGAATACTTGAATGAGAGGCACAATGGATGCCCAAAAGCCCAGAAAACCCAATACTTCAATGTTGGCATCGACGTTACGTGTCTTGCCCACAGCTTGAACCATCACGTTGGATGTGGCATAAAAGGCGGCTGCAATCAGTGCGTACATGTCACCACGAACTTCACGACTGCTTGTCCCGTTAACGGATGAAGTATAGTCGGATACAAAAATAACGACGGAACCTCACAGAGCGATTGTTGCACCAAGATAGTGGCGTACTGAGTAGCGCGTCTTGAGGAAGACGAAGCAGAAGAGGGTCATAAATGGTACCGTCATGTTTAGAATGAGGCTGAGTGTTGCGTAATTGGCAAAGTTGTAGGCCTTGACAGCAAAGTAATTACCCTCGACGTCGACAATGGCCAGGATAATGTAGAACCACCAGGGTATACCGATAAACGGCGACTTGCGCATAGCGCGAACGAGCAAGTACACTACTGCCAACATTACATACAGACACGTGCTTTGCAGCGTCGGCAAGCTGGCATTTTCGAGAGTCAGGTACTTGGACAAGATGCCAGACGCTACGTTGAGTAGCATAATAGCTTGTCCAAAGCCAAAGCATATGAATTGGAAGTACACTCCCTCTTTCATACTTGGCCACAAAGAAGATATTGCAGCAAGGTGAACTATGGCACTTGGTCGGCGTGATGAAGGGTATGGCGCTTTGGTAAGACCGATCAAGTACCCGGCGTCTACGGAAAATTGGAGCCACTAACGACTGTATGATACGATTATGTGGGAGGAGACCGAGCAAAGATTTGGCCAACGGAACCTCATACGCGGTCAGTCTGAGTTCGCTCATAGGTAGCATCCCTTTTTTGTCATTCGTGTCTGTAGTGTGTGGAATTCAATGGACAGGAGTTGCCAGTGCATAATGACACCAACGTATTGCATTTGGACCATAGAGTGTCTTTATTTTTTGACAAGCGATTAGTCTGTAAGGAACTACTAGCATTATACGCTATTTGCACGATCAAGTACTCATTCATGTTGACGTGGTGATATAATTCCGTGCGTCTCAGAAGACGCCTAGATGCGCGAGTAAGGTGGCAGTGTGTCTGGTGGTCCAAAATCGCAACTACCAGGTTGATAACTCTTAATGTGTGTAGCAATTTGTGCCAATGTACAGCACGGACAGAAGAGAGAGGCGCAGCAGTCCTGACAGCATCCGCCTGGAATTTGGAATCGTTCACGAGTTAGAGCACGCGCCTTCCAAATCCAGAGAAACAGGATCACGTGCACTGTGCCACATGTAAGCAAGATTAGAATAAACAGCGTGACTAATGCGCACCAATACGATGCCATTCCAAGGCGAGACGAAATTTGTGCTTGGGTGACGCAGGGACAGAAGGTCACCATGCAGCAATTTGGCACACAATGCTTGAAACAACCAAAGCATAAGCTGGTTTCCCATTCTCCAATCTTGATATTGCTTACTCCATTATCTCGGGCAAACATTTCTCCTTTTGAATTTCCAAACGGAGTGACCGAAGCGTCAACTTGAATAGCATATGGATGGTTATTGACCTCATCAGGCGTTGGAGATGATGGCGTCGGGGATTTGCCTGGATGTTCATCGTCCATAAATTGTGGAGTTGGTATTGGAGAAAGGGCCATAATTAGAGAGAAGGATTGTTGTTAAGAAATACACTTGTGCGATGAATGAATCAAGAGTGAAAATGATCCATAGGACTACAAAGCTAAGAGAAGACATACTGGACGATTTATTTGCTTATCCGTTTAAACGTTAGGTCTCTCACAAGTGTGACAGACCAAAACACTTTTCCCAATTATTCTCCTCTTTTGTAAGCTATTCGAGTTAGTAGACTCACGCATATAATAGACACGGATTGTCATAATTTGATTGAAGCTTTTGATGATCTCGAACACCATTACATCTGCGCAAGTGAGTCATTCAAGTCTAGTCTACTATTAGTTTTAGTAGCTACAATTAGAACTAGAATCCACACTTGATATTCTGTAACGCCTGTACATGATTCTAATTTGACATGATCTATTTTCGTCTCAATGTTTCTAATAGCAATTGAATAAAAACGAATCGATTTCTAAACATGTGACTACCATCCATGTGCACGCACATCGTTGATTTCTAAAAAAAATAGCACACCTCATATGATAAAGTATATCAAACACTTTCTACCCCACTAAGTATCCGTCATGACGCCCTCACGTGTCCGTCATAGATCTTCTCTATGCATCCATCTTCGCCTCCGTCTTGTTCCTTCTCGTCTCCTTTATTTCATCATGTTTTTTCAGGTCTCAAGTCTTTTTGCTGCGCTCTCTTTAAGCTCAAATTACTTGCATACTTCTGCTCCACGACCTATCGGTCTCTCAAAGACAGATCTCTGTGCTTTAGACTGTGATCAATCACATTATGCACTCGATGTGATACAAGTTACCCCGGAACCACGTCCAACGCGACATTCAAATGTGTTTCCCACGATTTTTTGCTTTGTAAACACGATTTCAATTCATCACAAGACCCGAGCACGAGCCGTGGCGGAAACATGGGGTCAACGCTGTGACAAGCTCATGTTCTTTAGTAATGTAACAGATAATATTGTGGTGGGTAAATTAAGCTACGAGGTTATTAAAATGGACGTCACTGCAGACCACAATCATCTGTGGCAGAAACATAAAGCGACGCTACGCTACGTGCACGAGCATTTTCGACACGAGTATGACTGGTTCTACAAGGCTGATGATGATGCGTACGTTATAATGGAGAATTTGAGGAAGTATCTAAGACAACCGGAGATTATGCAGACGTACAAGCAAGAGCCCATGCAGATGGGACATAGGTTAAACTTGACGCAGGACTTAGTGAGTTATTATATTGTGGACGACATGTTAGAGAATATTTGGAGATCTCGATGGGACAGGTGGGTGTTTAACTCCGGTGGACCTGGGTATATCATGAATCGACTGTATCTGGACAAGATCGTAAGCATCTTGCCGGACTGGACGTGCTTATCGGGTAAACACGATGAAATGCTGCCAGACGATGCATCAATTTCGTTTTGTATGATGTGGCACAACGTCTTTCCATGGGATACACGCGATCTTCAGAGTCGGGAGCGATGGCACATCCTACGGCCCAAGGATATTTACTTTAACGCATATTCGAATCTACCGGAGTTTTGGTATATACAGTACCATCAGCACATTGGCGGAGTGAAGTGGAAGCAACATGGTGTTGCGCCTGACAGCATAGCCTTCCACTACATCAACCCTACGCTCATGTATCATCTCGAGCGGACACTTTACTTTTGTCGCACTGAAGATGACGTGCAAGATATTGCTGCTTTCAATGAGAAGTATGGTCTTGCTCTAAGTGATGACGTCATGGTGTATGGAGACGTGTAGTATCTGTCAAAGTTGCGCTGGACGATAGGTGGTGAGAAAAAGTATCTTTATAACGAATAGTGGTTTGAATTGGTCGTGACACTAGTGTCAAGTCCACGTACTTATGAAACGAGACCTGCATTCAGTTTGCTTTGGTCACTCTCATTTCCTCAGCGATAGTACGGTGATGCCATCATCAAGTTGCACTCTTTGTATGCAAATCGTGGACATGTCGTCCACAATTGTGTGGTCCTTAGTACGTACTGATAGAAACTCAAGTTTACCATAAAACATGAATATTGTAGATTCAAAAACCGTAAGATTTTACCTTGAGCTTAGAAAAAAAAGGTATTATTACGAAAATCATGTGAACCACACCATTTGCAAACAGTATTCGTCAAGCTACTGTTAGAAGTGCTAGAGAAAACAAGAGGGCAGTGGAAATCGCTTGTATTCCTATGACAGAAGACGGCGTATCGATGCGTTCAAAGCAATTGGAACTGTTTAGTAAAATGCATCTTGGTATGGATCACGTGTTATCGAAACTTTTGCAGGACGCACCACCCCTTCCCAACTCGTTAAAGCTCCTGACCGAGACACAGTCACTTAGTTCCACGTGGGTACAAGTGACTGAGATCTATGAGAAGCGTAGATCCATGTTACAACGTCGAAAAGAAAAGGAAAAGAACAAGAGTAAATTAAAACGACGTCAGGATGTTAGAACTGTGCAGAAGGAGCAGGAAAAGGAAGTGAAGAACAGTTCGAAGAAGGAGTCAAAAAAAGCGTCCGAGCGCTAGTGAGTTTCCACGTACGACAAAGAGCTATTCATGTGGAAAGGGGAAGAAGAAAAGTGTCAAGAAAAAGACAACGTCTGTGACAGATGTTGCAAGTGTGAAGGAAGGGAGGCAGTCAATTGCATACAATGAATTGATATTGAAGAAAGTGCGGAAGCTACCATTATGTGGGAATGTAGTGCTCGGCAGCAATAAGTTTAAGGCTGTTGTCAAGTGGATGGAGTTAGATAAGGGCAACAATGCACCTATATCGACTGAATTGACCAAGCTAGTGGAAAAGCTGCAGCATAAAACTGCATCGGAAAAGACAAGTAAGCTTAAGTTGAGTCGAAAACGCTCATTGGATCCGCTGGATGATGTATATCGGGTGGAGGAAAGAAAAAGTAAACAGAAGAACTTGACCGAGGATCGAAAATTCGGTAATAGACAGCCAGGATTTTGTGGTGAGGATGAAGTGGTCTATAAATCGCAAAAAAAAAGAGAAGAAGACAGCGTATAAAGAAGGTAATTCTAGATCTAACAAGGCCGAGTTGGTATCAGAGCTGCAATCGGGTTCTTCACCGATAGTAAGGCCTCAGAAGAAGGGAGAAATGCGGCTATCGAAGCGCCATAAGCTGAAGATGGAGGAAATGAATGAAAAGGAGTTTGTCATTGAGATGACATCTAGAGAGCACTTGGCTACAGCTGCATTGCAGAATCGAGCAGATAAAGTAACTCTAGTGAACGAAATCAAGGACTCATTTTACGAGGAGAAGGAACAGCCTGTAAAACCAGGAGCTTCTTCTAGGTCTGCTATCGTTTTAGATGATAGTGAAGACGAGAGAGATGAAGAGGGGGAAGAAGAGGGTGAGGCGGAGTTTAGTGTTGAAATAAAAGAGGAAGAATTCATGGAGGCGCAGGAACAAGATTCGTCTACAGATGACGACCGTGGTGTCTTCGATTTGAATGAAGAGGATATTTTTGTTGTGGACGCGATTTTGTGCGTCAAGGAAGGACGGGTACTGCTGTCGGCAGGAGGACTGCGACGCCACAAAGAATCAGATTTGTACCTTGTAAAATGGGAAGGCTACAATGAACTGACGTGGGAGCCGGACGAGAATATTCCACGGCGACTTATTGAAATGTTTCGTGAGCGTGAGCGCGCCAAGCGGGCGTGCCAGTATCAGATCAAAGTCGCTCATGAACGGAGGGAGGTGATTAATTTGACCACACAAACGAGAGAGATTATTTACAAGGTTCAATGGATCAACCAAGACTTGCCAGTGTGGGAGTTACGAACCGCGCTTCCAACTAAGGCGCAGATATGGTTGGACAAGGTTTTGGGTGGTGCATCGGCGAAAAAGCGCCGCGACGCGAAAGCTGTGAAACAATCCGACTAGCAATAGGCAATTCGGCGTATGAAAATACGAATATAAAGTGGAAGAGCAAGAATGAAGCATGATGAATTGAGGTCCACCAGTAATGACGCAACGGCACGGCTGGTATTTCTTGGTTCATAAAATGAATTCCTTTCCTCCGCCTTAACCAGATTGTTCTTTCTATACGATACGGTCGAGTTCCGTAGCGTACGCGAGCGTCTCGCCTACTAGTCTCAACGAAGGAATGTCCGAGGCGCCTAAAGATTTTTCCGGCGCCTTGAACCACACTCGACCTTCACGCACAATCCACTCTGGCTTCTCTTCCTGAATGTAGACACCGAGTTCAGCAGCCGAGTCAAAAATGAGCATCTTTTGGGCGTCAGCCAAGGTAAGGCATTGATAGGCTACTTCAGCACAATCTGCAATGTTCTCGCGCACAGTCTGTAGCAATTGTGACAGATAAAAGGGAAAGTACGGGTTGGGCACGTTAGTGCGTGCCTCCAGCACTTTGTTGTATGTGCCTTCCATCAAATACTGTTCCAACTTGACAGCAAATGCAATATTAGGATCCTCACGACTCTGTTCAGGTAATAGCTCCAACTCATTGTGAAATTCAGCCATACGATTTTCCACTAGCAACTGCAGCAGCCTCGTGCCCAAGATTGGATAGTGTAGCGGTGATGGCTGAAGTCCGCTACTGTAATAGATCTTAAGTTGAACCATACTGCGCTCAAAAGCAGTCATATCTTCACGAAGAATACTCAGCAATGTCGCGCTTTCCAGGACGTGACCTGCCGCAAAACAAACAAAACACACAGGACAACACACTCATGTCAGAAAAATGCCAATTGAGAGGCTCAAAAGCTTGAAATGAAGCACGCACGTGCAATCTCTAATTCCTTTTGAGTGGTAAAAGATTCAATACCACATGGAGGAAGCGCTGGTAGCGTTGTCAGTGCCATCTATAAGAAAACAAGGCATTGAGTTCATCTTGTTTAATGTATTGAATATATTGTGGTTTATTTAACTGCAAATGCACCAAACATGGGACGTACCTTGAGCTGAACAAGTAATTTCGTTGCCTCCGTGACGTTGTTGCTGTCAATAGCAGCACGTAACACGTGCGCCTTATTGTCCAGAGCCTCAAGATTCGTCGACATGTTAACGAATTTGGAATCTTTTTCAATAGATACAAGGGTGGTATGATGTTGTATAAATGTTGCTTGTATTTGGGAGAGTGCTGAGATACAATTTGATTGACTAATAATGATATTATTATTAAGTGCGACATGCAACCTACGTCAGTATGCAAAATGACGGCTGAAGTAAATGTGGCACTGACTCTCCAGGTGCCTGATCTAGAAGCTATTGATCTAAACAGCTTATCCGAGACCTCGTCTACCATTTCAAGCTTAAGTGTGCACCATGTGGGTGATAATGATCATGATGTAAACAGTTTTAAATCAAAGCAGCTTACTAGTTCTGCCTTGAACAAACCCACAGAGACTGCTCTATATCTTACATCGTAGGTTTTTTTATATATATATTGTGTATACTTATGTAAAGTTTATGAAAAGAAAAGCAAAACAAACTGAATTTATTGAATGATTACGTAATTATTTGTTTGATGTCAGTGATGGTAAAACGTTCATCAACACGTGCATTGCTTTTTTGGGCTCAGGGGTATTAGGTCTTCCATATGCATTTCGTCAGTGCGGTATTTTGGTATGAAAAACACGGCCAAATACTTGTATTTCTTTTAACACCAACATTATTGTATTTTTGTTTCTACTAACAATATTTTTTCTCTCAGATGGGGTTAATCACGTTACTAGGTGTAGCTGCATGTAGTACCTATGCTATGATACTTGTTGTACAATGCAAATACAAACTAAAGCAACAAGGAGAAAGAATTACAAATTATGGAGAGATTGGCTACTTTGCGATGGGTTATGCCGGTTCTTTTATTGTAAATATGGCACTCGTAATCTCTCAGACGGGATTTTGTATTGCCTGTAGGTATTTGTACCCATTACTGCATTGGACTTTGTATCTACTACTTCGTGTTTGTTATTACTTTATTGATGCCTAACACACAAATTGCTCACTTGTATTTTTAATGATATTACGATCAGATTTAATTTTTATTGCTTCCAATGCAAACAAATTCCTGGATGTGTCAAAGCAATTGGTCGTGTCAGTGTGTGTGCCTCCACTTGTTGGGTTATCATTGCTAAAACATATGAGAGAGTTGGCTTACGTAGCAGTCATTGCTGATTTGATGTGCATTCTTGGGCTTTTGGTCGTGCTTAACATTGACTTGACTTATATGGAGCAGGACCATGATGACATTAAAGTAATAGGCGTGGTGTCTGCCGTACCATTTTTCTTTGGTGTGGCTAGCTACTGCTTTGAAGGTGTGGGAATGGTACTATCACTGGAGAATTCGATGCAGAACAAAATGAATTTCACGCCTATTCTTGTTAGCACAGTTGTGATCATTACGTCGCTGTATGCTACTTTTGGTATCTGTGGATACCTCGCTTTTGGCAATGACACTGATGCTGTCATCACCCTCAACTTTGACGGTGGCGGCGGGTTGGCTATTCTTGTTCAAGTTTTTCTGTGTTTTGGGCTCTTCTTTACGTACCCAGTAATGCTGTTCCCGGTCTTTGAAGTATTGCATCCAATGATGGCATGCGGCAAAAATCTCGAGAGCCCGCAGCCCAGTCAAATGAAGGGTACAGTTTTGCGCGTGAGCATTGTATTTTTCACTGCTGTTGTGGCTGCTGGAATTCCAGGTAAGATCATTTCTGTCGCTTTGTCATGAACTAGCTGAGATTAACCTTTTTTCGTTTATTTTCGACAGATTTCGGTCGGTTTATTTCGTTTATTGGCTCGACATGCTGCTCGTTGCTGGCCTTCATAATGCCAGCATTCTTTCATTTGTGTCTATTTTGTGATGAACCGCCGACCTGGAAAAGTCGATTGCACCATTTTTTGTTGTGTGCAATGATGATCTTAGGGTTTGCAATGCTCGGTGTCGGGGTTGTCGAGGTTTTCAACAGCGTACACTAGGTGACGTTGCCGAGCAGTTTCACGACAAATAGGCATGAGTTCAATGTCAACACATTTTTGCTGTACTTTGCACACTCACAATGTTCATGCTGCGAAACAAGAACCTGTGTCTACTACACACATACTTATATTTTTACTCGATCCTTTGCAGATTCTCGCATTGTTTCATCTGATGAGCCAACATGACGCTTTTGAATACCAAAGCTCATATCATGGAGACGTACATGGCGACGTGAGTCATCGTGGCCATGAAACAAATCCACGACACCTAAAACATAGCAATCTTGCCACCGCCCCTTTACCATGACTGGTACGTACTTGGTGGCGACCGACTTTTGAAGCTGTACAATGCTGACAAAAGGCATGAAAATGCACGTCACACATAAACGAAATCTCCAAGAATCTTGCGTCAAAGTTTCGAGCATTGCACGACTGGTGTAAATTGTTATTTTGAAGTAATGCAAAGCGCTGCATCGGCAGAGAAATAAAGAGAAAAGCGTGAGGTAATAGTGACAACAATAGACCGTCATTTTGAGCTACGTCGTGCACTTCTTACAAATGGGCGAAAGCTACAGCACAGTAACATTATCTTGACCTGAAGTCCGATGATTGCTTCAGCATACTAAGCAAGATCATTCTTACGACCTATTGACAAGTGTTTAAGTAGGAAAGCAGTGACATCGTCAAAGAAATAGTATTTGTTAGTTGTTAGCGCTCATCCAGATCTGTCGTATTCGTCTACACTTTGTAGCTACTTGACAAAAAACTGACAAAGGAGACGTTTATCCGCGTGTTGAGCTTCTAACCAGCTGTGATGGCGGGTAGCACTATTGCTGTTGTATATCGAATGATAGCATCAATCTTTTCAGTTGCACGATTGGGCGAAGTATCAGAAGCGCGTGGTCAGCATGTCACCAACACCGCCTGAAGTGAGCCAGTCGAGGGTGATAGTGGCTGTAAATAGTCCAACTTGGTCTTCGTCTACAGGCGATTGGATGTGCTGATCCATATCGCAGTCAACATTTAGCATGATACGAAAAGGATTGAAGCGACCGCATTGTTCCTTGCCATTACAACGCGAGCAGCACGACGACGACATACGACACCGTGAAATTAAATAATCAGAATTTTTTGAGGAAAAGATTCGGATCGGTATTTGGCTTTGATGTGTCTACTACTGGCTCAAAGTATTCTGATTCCTTCCCTTGTAATGTATTTGCTATACACGTCTTAGCTCATCCAGCAACTGACTAGCTTGATTCATTCGACCGTGTCTCCAGCGTCTCCAACAGTTCGAGATATAAATTCTCACTTTTCATTCGAACAGTTTGTCCTCACTGCACACTCTCAACCGCATTTACTGAAATAATAATGCGTATTCCGTCCGCCCCTCATCTGTGGGGCTCTTGCTGTGAGCCTATTGCGTGATGGTTCTTGTGCAGAACCGTTAGATGTCGTCAGATCAGCTCGCTCACTCCCCGTTAATCGAGCTGAAACCTCGGCCAAGAGGTCCTCAAAACGACAGAAGCTCTTACGAGACAGTGAAGATAACAGGGCTTCTTCTGATGTGTTTTTGCAGTCGGCCAGCAAAGAAGAAAGGGGTGTAAACGTGCTGGAGTCGGCAGTGGAGTCGGTCAAATCTTTAGCTTCGAGCATTCACCTCGTCGCAGATAAGACACCAATAACTGGAGCATATCGTCGATGCCGCGAAAAAAAAAATTTCTAGAGCAACCTACCCCGGAAATTGGTATAGCTTCAGTAATTTGATCGCGTCATCGTCCTCTGGCACCCAAGCCACTCCCCCGGAAAAGTTCGCAGCCAAGTGCACTTACGCAGAGCTGCTTCAAATAATTGCTGTTGGAAACAAAGTTGGAGCTGTTAGGAAGCAAGTTTATGGCGCAGAGATGGGGGCCACTGCCTCCGAGCAGGTGGCCACTACCCCAGCCGATAAGGCTGTTGCTCCTGATGTTGTGAGCATAGCTACAGATCTGGAGTCGTGGTCAAACAACAATCACCCCACAGCAAAAGTGATGAAATATGTGCGCAACAAAGCAAAAAAGGTGTTTGGGAGCAAAACGTTAAGCAAAGAGGTGGAACAATGGATCAAGTACATCAGGCTCTACAACGAACAGTACCCTGGTGATGCAATCAATCCCGCTGAAATTATTATGAAGGTCTATAATGATAAAAAGCTGGTTCAGTATGTGAACAGTTTGCAAAAATATACTACTACCAAGATAACTCTACAACAAGAGCAATGGTTAGAATCGAAGATGCATCCTGACGAGGTTTTTCACGAGATGGGGCTTGACAAGCCGTTATTTACGCTTTTAGCCGATACTGGCCGGATCAGAAACTGGGTTGCAAAAATGGAACAATTCACAATACAGTACCCTAATATCAACGTGACCATACGCGATTTGTTTCCGTACGGCGACAAACAAGTGATCGATATGCTGTATTTCTTCAGACAACTTGTTATAGTCGAACGTTCTTATAATCATCAACTGCTACTCGAGGTGATTGGAAAACACCTGCTACGAAAGAATCTCTAATCGAAGTTTACAAGCTTTTAGGTCTTGCTTGGCACGGGCAAGATCGAAGAGCTTTCGAGTCCGAGAATGGTGGGATGGCTAAGTTACGTGAATAGTTGCAATATACAAGCATTGCATATATTGATATTGCTTGATGAATACGGATTTGAGAAGCTTGCTCATTTTCTCGCAAATGCAACGGATTCAGAATTTGTCCGTCGTCTACGAAGAGATTTCAACAAAGTAAAGCGTGAGGATAAAAAGCGGAAAAGAACAAGCTGATGGGAAAAAGCACCTCGAAAGTTGATTGCATCATTCCTTTATAGTAGAATGGAGATGGTGAAAATAACTAGGAAACAATGGCCACCTCGCTTTCTCTGTCAGCCTTCAAGAAAGCAAAAACGTCATCCTGAAGATATCCATGCTTGGCATGAAGATCTGTCAAGGCATCGATAGTGCTATGTCTCCTCAGCCATGCTAGGTCAAGGGTAGGCGCGTTTAAATTTGAATGATAATAAATGCAACTTCATCGTTGCCATAAGTAGTAGCGCACAGTGTCATCTATTGGTCACAGGGATCAAGTTTGCAGCTTTTCTTTGACAACCTGCTCAAGCACGCGATGACTTGGAAGCTTTCAGTAATATGTTTTAGTTAGTCAAAATGGTAGAGCTCTTTCTCGTTGTTTGCAAAGCAATCAGCTATTCGTAACCCGTCCATTGCCACTACTATCACAATCTGACGTCATGCAGCATTAATCAAAGAATGCATTCATGCATGCCATGATACAAACAGTGCAAACAGTATAGCACCTTCCACTTGACAATTCATCTGCATTCAACTTTGAAGAAGCAGACAAAGCCGGCTTTTTGTAGGTTACATGTATGAGTTTTGCTTCATCTCAGAAGCAAATGCTATACCGAGTGTTAAGTGTACCTTTCCTAGCTGCAAAGCACAAATCTGTGAGGTGTGGCTTCTGACACTTTTTATACAACTTTGCTGATTTGTCGCCACAGTATCGCCAATTCATAAGTAACGTCTTTACAAGCTTTTAGATCACGAGTCACTCGGGCATACTGCTGCCAGACCAAGACCCAGCACGAACGATGGCTCGCTGTTACTGCGCTTATATTGACTGCAAAGACTGGGGCGATCACGCGCAACGATTATTGTTTGCTCTGAGCAAAACGTGTCTCATTCGAAGCGAGAGTTGAGTAGACCAAAGTCACATCGAGTTGGAGCAAGCCAGCCTACGATTTAAAGACATCAGAATTCTTTGTCGGTGACGTTTATGATAATAAATTTGAGTGACATCATCACAAAGAATCTAAACAATTGCCTTTTCCATCAAGTTCAGTCTTATCTTTATTACCTATTACGACGCAGTTTCTTGCTGTGGGGTTGCAAGTGAGCAGCGTTAGTGTTGTGTGGACGAACGCTTGCTGTAAAAAGAGAATCCTCTTGCGCGTCCCAATAACGTTTTAGTGATGTCATTTTAGCTCTTGCTTCTGTCCTCCTTGATTAAGAATGCAACTTCTTCTATCCAAAGGTCTGGCAAAACATAACATGTCCTGTACCGCTGGTTTACACGTAGATAAGCAGCTCCATTCAATATTAGTTTTTTCTTGTCTACCTCTTTAAACCTATGACGTAGCACACAAGAATTGATGTGAACCAACACAACGTGCTGTCGTTCTTGCGATTGAGCACGATTATTACCATAACTGCTCAATTGTCGTCTTGTCACCACCTCACAGAATCTGTTGCTTGACAAAATGATCACCATTCGCGTCCACTGCACCACGTCATACCTTCTGATCACCTTGCTTAGCCTACATGTGGCGTTGTCGCTTTCCATAAAAACCTAATGTAAACTAGTAGTTTGGCAGTGACAATAAGCGATGGTCCTTGCACGTTTAGCTGTCTGAAACTGACGCGTCTGTATGACCGTATATCCTTACTCCGTTGACTCGACAAATGGCAATCCTGGATTTGAAGCAGACGGATTTAACAAGGTCTTTTCATCACAAAAATAACTCATTCCTTCAGCACGTGCTGATTTCACACAACTGCATCTCTTCCTCTTCATCTCTTGACCCTAAGTGCACTGAAGGGCGAGTAAAACTACTGTGAGCTGTCCTTGCATTATGATGCCGTCTTTTGCTTGCTATGCTTGCAATCTCGGGCCTGAGTTATAAGTGTGTTCATTAGCGGAGGTTGGGAAGTGACCATTGCCAGGCACTTTGGTCAATAGCGTTTCTTTAAGCATATATATACCAGCTCGAGAAGCCCCACAGCTGTAATGCTGCTGAGTTTCGCGAACGAGATCCGAGCTTTACTAAAATATCGTCAGGTCAGTGCATTTTGTCCAGAGTAATAAGGTGGCGGTTTCACTCAAAATCGCTCCAGTCTAGAGCTGCTGCAAATGAGTCTAGGAACAGATAAGCTTGCACTAACATCCACGTAACATGGCATCATTCAATCAAACCGCCAGCTCCACTAATTTATCGCGCACAAGCGTCTACGTTCACGAAAAGACGTTTCATCCAGCAGCACTGCCGTACCTGCTATGAAGGGAACCATTGCTGGTTCTCTACACTCTGGTAGTCTATCGAGAGCTCAGCCACTTCGTACTCCAATGCACAGCAGTCCACCAAACACGACGACTGCAGCCCTGACGCCACGAGCAGTAGGTCTCCGAAGCAGCATGTGCACTTGACCCAGACGCAGGTGCACCCCACGTCCTTTCTTTGATTGGCATAAAGATGCTGACTTAAATCGAGACGCTGGACATCCGTCGGCAATGATACGCGTCCAGTAATATTTCTCGCCTAGCATCGTGCGTATGCTCTCTCTCCTCGTAGTCAACAGCCTGGCGTTAGAGGACGCGCTAAAGTCTATACTCAAGCACGAGCACGAGTTTTTAGCTTGAATAAAGACTTACGCTGTTGTACTTCTCGGATGCGCAGGAGTTCGTCACTCGCTTACAAAATGACATCGCCATGACTGTAAATTTTCTAGCAACACTTCAACGTAGACCACAACGAGTCCTTGCATATGTCACTAAATGATTCCAAGTAGAAGACGACAGAGTTCGTTTTGCCCGAAGGGTACGTCAAGCGGTACGTGTGTCCATCCTTCAAGCATAACAAAAGCAGAGCCATTAATACAATGGGGCATATATTAGTTTTCTACACGGACAAGATTTCTTAATGCAGGTAAAAGTACCATAATAAAGGTACACACTTGGTTTATGACATCTCGGTACGTTCGATTCAGTCATGGTGCATTGGGGGACTGTGTTTGTGACGGTAACAGCGGCAAGTTTCGTACTTGGGCGACGTGAACTGCCCAAGCTCGGACGCTTTATAGGCCTCTATAGTGGACGCTCAGTGGGTGCTATTCTTCGTGCCAAAATGGAGTTCTTTGATGCCACGAAAGATAATGATCTTGTCAAGCTTCAGCGTGAATTTCAGCGTGGCATTGAGGAGCTCAACGAGATTCGTTCGGAGCTTACGAGCGTTGGTAGTATACGAAGACCTTTACAGCCTATAGGGAAGTCTTCCAGTGTCACGTCGAGTAGTAGTGCGGCGGCATTTGTGCCTACTAGTGTATCCATGTCACAAGCATCTGGAGGACGCTCGTGCGTTGCACTGGCGTCTACAACCGAGTACGAGGCGCAGAATGAAGTGCGACGTAGTGATGAAGCTAAGTTGGCTATAGCTGAGTTGAAGTTGGTAAAGCAGGGCAAGTTTGCTTCAAAGGTCGAGAGTCAGGAAGGAGGTGCGGATTACGTATCTGCAAGCATCATGGACAGTTTGCTGCTTGACCAAACAAAGACAAAGCAGTAGAAGATGTAGGATTCGATTCATACCACATTGCAGTGATTCTGTTCATTGAACAGCCATTGGACTGAACGACGATTGCTGCACGTATCAGCACTTTGACACCGAGATTTACCATTATTAATCTTATCTACTTCTTAACTCATTATTGTGCAAGATATCATTCAGGACAGGCCGTGGCCTAGGCCACGGGCCAGAACCTAGATCACGGCCAATCCTGCAGATCCTTGTTCTGGCTCATTTCGCGTAAGGACAGTCGACACCATTCATTTCAACGTAAACGGACTTCAATTGCGTCCATGAGTCGATACCTGCAAGACCATTTTCACGCCCAATCCCAGACTTCTTATAGCCACCCCATGGGGTCTCTACAGGAGCAAGATTATAATTGTTGATCCACGTGGTCCCAGCCTCTATCTCGTCAATCACACGATGTGCCCGCTTAATGTCTTTGGTAAAGACACCCGCTGATAGACCAAAGTTTGTGTCATTGGCGCGAACCAGCACTTCATCCTCAGTATTGAATGGCAGAATGCACATTACCATGCCAAATATTTCTTCACGCACAATAGTCATCTCATCAATACAGTCCACAAAGATAGCTGGTGACAGGAAGAACCCTTTCCTCGTGGCTTCGGATGGTATGATACGTTCACCTCCACCTTTCAGCAAAGTAGCACCTTCTGCTATGCCCCTTTTTATGTAGCCCTGCACTAGTTTCATGTGTTTCTCGTGAATCATTGGACCAATATCCGTTGTCGGATCCAAAGGGTCTCCAATGCGCAGCTTTAGGGTGCGCTTGTGTATACGCTGCACAAATTCATTATAAATCTTCCTTTGCACAAATACCCGCGTGCCATTTGAGCACACCTGCCCAGATGAATACCAATTGCCCATCATTGCTCCGGCCACGGCATCTTCAATATCGGCATCTTCAAATACAATCATAGGCGACTTACCTCCAAGTTCCATTGTCACCTTTTTCAAACCCTTGGCAGCTTCAGCATACACATTCTTCCCATTCTCAACTGAGCCTGTAAAAGAGATGTCGTACCAAGCTTTTCCAGTCTCACTGCACCCAATACTACATTGGAAACACCTTCAGGTACACCTGCTTCCAAGTAAGCTTCTGCCAGTTTTAACGCCGTAAGTGGAACGGTTTAAAAATGTAACGGGGTTACACGAAGGTGTGTATTGTACAAACACACCTGCCACACCAATGGAGTGTGGCTGTACCTTGGGTACAAAAGTAGGTGATGTGACCGTACCTGAAGTACGAAGGGTCGCATTAAGTAGCTTTGCTACAGTAGCTTGGCTACATCCTCTGCACATAGTGCATAAGTAGCTTTGCTACAGTAGCTTGCTACATCATCAGCACATAGCGACTGGCCTGTAAAAGAGACCTTGGCAATATCTGGATGTCGTACCAAGCTTTTCCAGCCTCACCTGCCCCCAATATTACATTGGAAACACCTTCAGGTACACCTGCTTCCAAGTAAGCTTCTGCCAGATTTAACGCCGTTAAGGGGACGGTTTAAAAATGTAACGGGGTTACACGAAGGTGTGGATTGTACATACACACCTGCCACACCAATGGAGTGTGGCTGTACCTTGGGTACAAAAGTAGGTGATGTGACCGTACCTGAAGTACGAAGGGTCGCATTAAGTAGCTTTGCTACAGTAGCTTGGCTACATCCTCTGCACATAGTGCATAAGTAGCTTTGCTACAGTAGCTTGGCTACATCCTCTGCACATAGCGACTGAGCCTGTAAAAGAGACCTTGCAATATCTGGATGTCGTACCAAAGCTTTTCCAGTCTCACTGCCCCCAATACTACATTGGAAACACCTTCAGGTACACCTGCTTCCAAGTAAGCTTCTGCCAGATTTAACGCCGTAAGTGGAACGGTTTAAAAATGTAACGGGGTTACACGAAGGTGTGTATTGTACAAACACACCTGCCACGCCAATGGAGTGTAGCTGTACCTTGGGCACAAAAGTAGGTGATGTGACCGTACCTGAAGTACGAAGGGTCGCATCAAGTAGCTTTGCTACAGTAGCTTGGCTACATCCTCTGCACATAGTGCATACGTAGCTTTGCTACAGTAGTCTGACTACTTCTTCTGCACATAGTGCATAAGTAGCTTTGCTACAGTAGCTCGGCTTTTCCTTGTAGCAGTTGTAGTCAATCCCACAAATGGGTTTGCGACTTCTTCTCTGTGTGAGAATGGACATCGATGAGATGTCAGCGGTTGACCTGTCACAGGCACAACAGGAAGGGTTGCAGAAGCTGCTCCCTATTCTTGGCCCTAAGGACGTGGAGTTCCTCATCGCCCAGGGCGAAGAAGAGGCCAACAAGCGTATTTATATGCTTGATGAATATAATAAAGCTCTAGTCAAGCATTTAAAGGCACAGATGCCTTCTTCTGCGCCTTCGCCCATAGCGACTATGGCGCAAGAAGTGGTCCGCAGACTAAAATCCATACAAATGGTAGTCAATAAGTTCGACGGTTGAGTCGGCTATGTTCATAGCCGACATCACCTATGAACCGTACCGTGTGGGCTTTGTCACGGGCAAGTTAGGTGGCTTAGCCAAACAGTAGGCATTCACATGTGGTGCATCATTGCAAGATGCATTCCCAACCTGGGTCGATCTGAAAGTTCAGATGACCTGGCAGTATGCACCGCCAAACAAAGCACACCGTAATTCGTCGCGATTTTTGGCGTGTCGCCAAGGCAAGCGTGAGCTTGCGGCATATGTACAAGAGTTGAGACCTCTCATTGCTGCCATGGCCATAAACCCTATGCCTGAGGCAGTGACCGTCCCGGTCTTCATGGAGGGCCTCCGAGTTGGCGTTGCCAGAACGGAAGTCTTTCGGGTAATCCCGTCCTCATTCGAGGAAGCCGCTGGAGTGGCATGGAATGCCAAGACCAACTTTAACGCCGCTAGGCCTGCCACTCATAGCTACTCGTCCGATGGGTCTGTACCCATGGACTGTAGTCAAGTGGAGGATGAAGAAGCTGGGCTTCAAGCTGCGGAGCAGCAAATTGTGCGCAGATGTTATATCTGCAAGAGCACAGGCCATTTGGTGGCAAAATGCCCTGCAAGAAAGGCATATTTGGCCTCGAAGGGCCGACGCCCTATGGGTAAACCTTCTGGTTTGCCGCGGGGAAACGGCGGAACCCAGGTAGGCGCGGGGCGCCCTACTGGGGAAGAACTGAGTT